CGGGCAGCGGGAGGGTGGAGGTGTACCTGAACGGCCAGTGGGGAGCGGTGTGCAACTCTCACTGGACGGACAGAGATGCCAGTGTGGTCTGCAGGCAGCTGGGTTTTGGGTAGGAGGGGGGGGGGGGGGTGGAAAAAGAAACCACACTCCAGTTAGCTGTGGTGGGAAGCCTCTGGTCTAACTGGTTCTCCTCCTTTGCGTCCAGGGACATCGGCACGGCGCTGCGGCACCCCCAGTTCGGCTCCGGCTCCGGCCTCTTCCACTACGAGCGCCTGGGTTGCCGCGGGGACGAGGAGACCCTGAGCCGGTGCCGGAGCAGGACCTTCGTCACCGGCGACTGTAGCCACGGAAACGAGGCGGCGGCGGTGTGCGCGCCGCCGGAAGGTCAGTGTGACTCCCCCCGGGGGCGTCATGGTAACCGGGGCCCCGGTCGTTTCCACCCACAGCATCTTTTTTTAGCAAACCCCTGTCGTCGTGTCTCTAATGACCAGATAAAAAAAATGTCTCTCCCCCCCCGCCAGGCAGCGGCCCCCCTCTGCGGCTGGTCGGAGGCGAGGAAGACTTCGAAGGGCGAGTGGAGGTGTTTCACGCGGGCCGGTGGGGGTCCGTCTGCGACGACCAATGGGACGACAGGGACGCTGAGGTGGTGTGCAGACAGCTCGGCTTCGGGTGTGTATCACCGGGGGCCCTCAGGCAGAGCTCACACACAAACTCACACAGACAAAAAAATCCAAATTTATGCTGTGATTTTACCACACAACACCCCCTGACCTCTTCACCTCGTCTGTCGCACACAGCTAAAAGGAAGCCGTAGATTCCAGCAGGGGTAAGAAGAGAACGTCAGTGTCTATTTTCAGCCGTATGAGTTATAGATGAGTCCTTGCAGCATCAGAGTGTGTTTACCTCCGGACGCAGATGGATTCTCACAGGATTTGCCTAAACAAAGTGTTTTTGAAGCACTTAGAGTCGCAGGGACCATTCGGAGCGCCGGCCGACAGCTCTGGGTGGACTTAGCTGAAAGAGCATTTAGTCACGGCAGGAGCAGAGTAATTAAGAACCGAAGGCTTTCATTGGCGGAAAATGTGTCTGTTCCCCTGGCTGTTTCGCTCATCTCAATGGATGTGTCAAAGTACTAAAATAAACCCTTTCACTGCCCTTGTCCAGTGTCCACAGAAAGAATTCATGCATAGTTAATCATTTCAGGCTCAGACGAATCAGATTTAAGATTTGACACCCGGCAATAGTTGATATAAATCGCTAGAATGTGTTGTGTTTGTACAGACTGGGTCTGAATCCGAATAGGAGTCTCATCCTCACACTCTGACTGTACAGAAATATCACAGGCAACTGGCTGTCAAACGGAGATGAAGTCGTAGCTGTGAAGTGAGAGAACCCCCTTCCTGTTGAACACAAGGATTCATTTCATCTCCAGAACCCTCTGAGGGACACCTCCCCATCTGTTTGTGCTTGTAAATAATAGAAAATCTGACAGCGGTTGCACACGTTCCCACACAGCTGCACAATTGCTTCTGTTTTGTTTTTTTTACTAAATGAAGCTGAAATGATCTCTTTTCTCTCATAGTTTGACACATGTACTCACTGTCTGCCGAATGTGTCAGAAAGTGACATGCTTTTCATGTTTATAGCACCAGAGCGGGTTCTTTATATCAATAAAAAGCACTTAATGGAGGAAACATTATTCATTGTAATTCAATAGTAAGTAAGTGTTTTAAGCTGAAAAGTCGGGTTGTTTCTTTAGTAATACTGATTTATATTTTGTCCTAAATGTTTGTTTTTTATTAATTAATTATTCGGTTCAAAACCATGCCATTATGTACATATTTTTAAAAGTTAAAGGCTTTCTCATATAAAAGAAACTCACATATTTCAAAGTTCTGTTCAAAGGATGATAAGTAAGTCTGACAAAATGATGCCGTGCTCTTTGTTACATGCAAGGCATTTTATGTCGCCTTTGCATCAATAAGTCATGACAACATAAATGGGAAGTCTCTGCGTAGCCTTTTATGGAACAGGCAGGGACATTTTAATGGATCATATTTTAGTTTAGTAAAAGCAGTGCAGCACAAGAGCTCCGGGGCAAAATGAACACACCCAAAGTTTAACCACATCAAGTGATGCTTCAGACTCAAGCTAAAACGGATTTAAAGCTTTCATTTTCCCTAATCAGAGATCACGTTTTTCTAAAAAAAAAAAAAGGCACAGTAATGCAAAATTTAAATTAAGAAATGATCCCAAATGCAAAAGTTTTCAAACTTAATTCTCGGTAAAAGCACCCTTGGCAGCCTCAAGTGTGCTTGGAAAGCTTGAAACGTGTTGGTAAAAGCTTCTCTGATAAGGCTTCATCAGGAAAAGGGGAGGCATTAGTGCACAACTCCCAGGCTGTCCAGAGCTTCTCTGCTGTCATTTTATGCACCAACGTGTGTGTGTGTGCGTGTGTGTGTGTGCCGCAGGGGTGTCGCAAAGGCCTGGTCGTGGGCTCACTTCGGTCAGGGTTCCGGCCCCATCCTCCTGGACGCCGTGAAGTGCACGGGGAACGAGCTGTTCCTGGATCAGTGTCCCCACGGCGACTGGGAGCAGCACAACTGCGACCACATGGAGGACGCCGGGGTGTCCTGCAGTCCTTATACAGGTAACAAACTCAACCCCCCCCCCCTTCAGCTATTTATAGCCGCCGAGCATCAATAAATAATTCCCGCACGAGGCAGCGACATCCTGTATGTGACAGGCGGGATCAGGATTTATGGGGGCTCAGAGGAAGCAAATCAATTCCTGTGAGCAAACTCGGATCGATATTTGACACGAGAATTAGAATTTAAAATCCCGGGCGGCCTTCATGAAACGGGATCCTGCTCAGCGGCCGCGTCAATTTCGGTTTTTGAACCCTTTCAGACGGCGTGGTGCGTCTGGTGGGAGGAGACAGCCCGTGGGAGGGCCGGGTGGAAGTGTTCCACAACGGCGACTGGGGCACGGTGTGTGATGACCGCTGGGCCCAGGAGCACGCCGAGGTGGTCTGCAGGCAGCTGGGCTACAGGTGAGGAGAGGGGGGGGTTTTAGGGAAGAAGAATCCCTGGTTTCCAAAAACACCACACGCCCGTGCTTTTGTTCACCTTCTCGCCGATGCCTTGAGAAGAAGCTTTTCCTCTTTAATCCATCAAAACGGGCCAACTGAGGCCCGGAGAGTCCTTGGGATGAGCTTGCTGGGATGAAATGTGGGAAAACCGAGAATTAATGGGAAATAGTCGCCCTCTCACATCATTGCTGATGTCTTCCCCTCTCGGTTGCTTTTTTTTTTCTCTGTTGGCTCCTATTTCAGCCTGGTCTAACTGAGAGCTGCCAGGCTGCAGATAGAGTTTTCCAGTTTTTGTGGCAGCGGCATCGACAATAAATCCAGTCGGAATTGCAATAGGACACGGAGTCGTTGGCATTTTCTTCATCACAGATGGCCGCGAACAAATATGAAAGAATCCCGAAAGTTTTCCCTCGTTTCAGACGAGAACTTGTTTTTTTCAGGAACAGGGACAAGAAGCTTTTCAGAGCTCTGATCTCAGAACCAGTTTTTTTACTCCGTGTTGGGCATGGTTGTTTAGAAGAAGCTGTTTCTTATTGTGTTATTTGAGCAGCTTTCCAGACAAAATCCAGATATTTTTTCACAAGCAGGACATTTGTCCAACTCTCCTCCCCACGCAGGGGTCACGCTGAGGTGGTGGCCGATGGGACGTTCGGCGAGGGCGTGGGTCTGATCCTCCTGGACGACGTCCAGTGTGAGGGATCCGAGACCTCCCTCCTGGACTGCCAACACGGGATCTGGGGTAGGACAGACTGCTCGCACGGCGAGGACGTCGGCGTCCGCTGCAGAGGCCGACCCGGCCCGGAGACCAACGAGGTGCCGGTCATCGCGCCGTCCACGGGTGAGCCCACAGATGAAAGCTCGACTCAGGCCGTTTGAGTGTTTCTACTCTGGCTCCTCAAACTCAGCACCCTCCTGCTCTCCTCTCCGCCGTGTATACCCGTGTGTGTGTGTGTGTGTTTATGTGTGTGACCGACTCAAAATTCACATTTAGTTTTGATGATCTCGGTCTGAGACGCCGTATTTTTAGCTGTACGTAAACACTGAGTCGGTCCAGAGCGTGACATGTTAACAGGAAACGGAAAAAAGGCGGCGTTTATTGTTGCTGGACTCCTGAGGCGTCTGTTGTTGATGCGATTAGGTCATCAGAGCGAGAGTAGCAGCTGAATAGACGTGCTAGGTGACATTTAACCGTCCCGGTGGTCTCACAGCTCCCTCCCTCCCCACTGACTGGCCCGTGCCGATGCTCAGACATGAATATGAATGAGAGTCTTTTTTCTTCCTGGCAGGTCCCCTGGTGCGTCTGGCTGGTGGGAGCAGCAGGAAGGAAGGTCGGGTGGAGGTGTATCTCCATGGCGACTGGGGAAGCATTTGCGACTCGGGCTGGAACGACCTGAACGCGGCCGTCGTGTGCAGGCAACTCGGACACAGGTCAGTGTCCGTGTGTGTGTGTGTGTGTGTGTGTGTGTGTGTGTGAAGGACAGAGTCAGGGGGAAGATTTAAAAAAAAAGGAAAGCACTAAATGACATCAGCTCTTCCTCAGCGGCGGGGCGGTTGCAGCGGCCGGGTTCGGTCAGGGAAAAGGACCCATTCACCTGGACCAGGTGAGGTGCACGGGGAAGGAGGAGTTCCTGGGAGAGTGTCCGTCTCTGGGCCAGAACATCCAGGGCTGCCGGCGCCGGGAGGATGCAGGGGCGAGGTGCGACGTCCCGCCCCCCCCGCAGCAGCAGGCGGAGACCCAGGCCAGACCTCAGGAGCTGAGCTGTGGGCTGAGGAAGCTGGTGGAGCAGGAGGGAAAGAGGAAAAACGAAGGAGAGGCAAACATGCTCAGGTAGGATGAAAACCCAGACGATAAAAGTCCAAAATGACACCAAGGTTTATGTTTATGTCCATGCATTTAGCAGACGCTTTTATCCAAAGCGACTTACAAAGTAGACACAATGTTACAATTACCATCGATATGACAATAAGTTCTCTAGAGGAAAATCCATAGTCAGAATCAGTGGTGACAGCAAAGAGAGAGAGTCAGAGTAGTAGAGGGGGTGTAGAGGTTTGGGTAAGAGTTAGGATAGGAGATGCTCTTTGAAGAGGTGGGTCTTTAAGAGTTTCCTGAAGCTTGCAGCGCTTGGTAGGTCTTTCCACCATCTTGGAACAACACAGGAAAACATGGTCTTAAGCGTGGTGAAGGCACTGCTGGACCACAGTCCATTGCTGACCGGAGTGACCGGGTTGTGACACGAGCCTTTGCAAAAGGGGTCAAGTAGATGGGGGCCTTACCCATCCATCCATCCATCCATTCTCCTCCGCTTATCCGGGGTCGGGTCGCGGGGGCAGCAGCCGGAGCAGGGAAATCCAGACTTCCCTCTCCCCGGCCACTTCGGCCAGCTCCTCCGGGGGGATCCCGAGGCGTTCCCAGGCCAGCCGGGACACATAGTCCCTCCAGCGGGTCCTGGGTCTTCCTCTGGGCCTTCTCCCGGTGGGACGAGCCCGGAACACCTCCCCAGGGAGGCGACCAGGAGGCATCCTGATCAGATGCCCGAGCCACCTCAACTGGCTCCTCTCCACGTGGAGGAGCAGCGGCTCTACTCCGAGGCCCTCCCGGATGGCCGAGCTTCTCACCCTATCTCTAAGGGAGAGCCCAGCCACCCTGCGGAGGAAACTCATTTCGGCCGCTTGTATCCGCGATCTCGTTCTTTCGGTCACTACCCAAAGCTCGTGACCATAGACGAGGGTGGGAACGTAGATCGACCGATAAATTGAGAGCTTCGCCTTTAGGCTCAGCTCTCTCTTCATCACGACAGACCGGTACAGCGCCCGCATTACTGCAGACGCCGCACCGATCCGCCTATCGATCTCACGCTCCCTACCCCCATTCGCAAACAAGACCCCGAGATACTTGAACTCCTCCACTTGGGGAAGGACGTCCGCTCCGACCCGGAGAAGGCACTCTACCCTTTTCCGGTGAGAGACCATGGTCTCGGACTTGGAGGCACTGATCCTCATCCCAGCCGATTCGCACTCGGCTGCAAACCGCTCCTAAGCACTTAACGGTTCAGCATCAGGGCAGGTGCGACACGGCGAGAAGGATAGCTGAGAATTTTCAGACGAATTTCACCTCATTTTTTATATTTCATCCAAACGGCGACGTTGATAAGCTCTGAGCGCGGCGGTGCATGCATGACTTGGACCACCCCACTGGGCTTAAACCGAATCTCTCTCAGGACCACGTGGCCCTGGCAGGTGTCGGTGTGGCTTCAGTCCTCGGACCGAGCCGGCGGGCCCCTCTGCAGCGGCACTCTGGTCAGCCCCTGCTGGGCCCTGACCTCCGCCTCCTGCCTCAGCAGGTAAACGCCGCTTTCAGCTCTTCGGTCTGAAAACCTTTTCCCCTCCTCGGCCATAGCCTACCACTCTCTCCCCCACCCCACAGGTTTGCCAGCGACCCGTCCGGCCTGGCGGTGCTGGTCGGCGCCTCGGAGCAGGCCGTCACCCCGGAGCGGGTGGTGGTTCACAGGAAGTTCAAGGGCCAGAGCGGCGGCCATGACGTGGCCCTGCTCAGGCTGCCCAGCGCCAAAGGCCGCTGCCTGACGTTCCAGCCCGACACCAACGCGGCCTGCCTCCCCGCGGCCGACGCCCCCAGCGGAGAGACCACGCCCTCTTCCTGTGTCGTCGTGGTTACGACAGGCTGGACAGGAGCAGGTTCGTTCTTTGCTTTGTGCTGCTTCTATTGCCAAGCAACACCCACAAGGCTCCTGAAGACCTGGGGAGATATTAACACACAGAAACACGAAAACTAAATGTGAAAAAACCTTAGTCAGCGACACACGACAAACCACTAAAATCAAAGTTTTGAATACAGACAACATATATGATCTATAGATTTCTAAACTACACATTGAGTTTACTTCAACACAACACGGTTAAAACAATATCCACTCAAATACCCATTACATTAATAGAATTATTACTTATGTATAATTTACTTCATTTGATTTGACAATGATAATAATTTTATTTAATCATTTATTTTAAATGTGAGACAGATTTCGAGCTACTCTGACTTCCTGACTGTTACACTGGCGCCACCATGTGGCTGAAATAAAAAAACACATTTGTAGTCATATTTCCATCAAATATTACAGTAACATTTCATCCATCTATTTCTATACTCCCACAAAAAGGAAACGCATAGCATGACAGCTTTAGAAACCATGTCATCTTTAACCACTTTGAAAAAAACGGTCTTTGTTTTAAATGCTTCCCCCTCCCCCTCCATTTAAAGACCTACATGTCTGGTCCATTGATGACCCTAAATTTCCCCCCAAAGTAAATGTGAGTGTGTGTGGTTGTTGATCTCAGTGTGATCCTGTGATGGACCGGTGACCTGTCCAGGGTGTATCCTACCTCTTGCCTAACGACGGCAGGAATAGGCTCCAACCTCCCCGCCACCATACTAGAAATAAGGGGAACAGACAATAGATGGATGTTTGTGGAGTCTCCCGTCATTCTGTACAACTCGATATGAGACTCATCTAATTGTTCATGGACTGAACGGCTGAACAATCATCTTGTATTTCTGACATCTTTCATCTCTGTTTCCTCCCAGACTCCGTTATAGCTTCATGGGTACCTCTGATGTCGCCATGGCAATGTAAGAAGCACTATGGCAACAGCTTCTCCACTCACGGCACACTGTGCGCCGGCGGTCCTCCGGACCAGGCCGTCCTCCGCGGCGACGGTTGCCAGGGCAACTCCGGAGGCGGGCTGCTGTGCCAGGGAGACGGGGGTCGATGGGTCCTCGCCGGGGTCGTCGCCGGGGGTTACGGCTGCGCCGGCCCCTCCGCTCCCGCGCTGTACACGCGGGTCAGCCGCTTCAGGAGCTGGATGGACGAGGTCACCGACGATCCAGTGACGGCGCACGCACACACACAAACCGGTCTGACGCACAATGACAATGACCTCACGCCCACGTACGGAAAACACACACACGGCCAGGGCAGAGATGAGCACTCGCAACACACGCAGAACGACATCAGTGAGGCCAAACAAACGCGCACACACACTCATTCACACACTAAAGGCACACTAAACGCGTACCACAGAGAGGACGACAGCACACACACAGAAGTTGTGGTCTGATTGAAGCCCTTGCCATCGGTTGCCGCCTGTGCCATGTGACCGCCTGTGGAGAGAAAAAGGGAAAAGGAAAGCTAATTAAAGATGCTCCCAGTTTAAAGACGCATTCAAATCTGAAGTCAGTGTTGCGAATTACAAGTTTTTTGGGGCTGCTGCTCGTCCAGCGACGTGGGCAGGACGGCAGAGAGTGGCCCGGGGATTTAGGAAGGGTGTTAGGGAGACTTATCAGAGACTGATGGGAAGTTTAGGGTGAGCTTTATCATCACCATGACAACCAAAACAGTCAGCGCAGCCTGTATATAAAGGACAATGGAGTTTGCGTTGATATTTGAGGGATATTTTGAAGGTGGTCACCCAAGAATCTATGCTAATCTCCCCTATTTACGTGTCCTCTGCGTGAGTCATAGGAAAATTGCAAAAAAAATACCCTAAAACAGAACATGTAGTGTTTAAGCTGGCTGCGTCTCATCTCTGCACCTCCAACACAAACGATGTAGATAAGCTCCTGCTAGCAGGCGAGGCTCGTCCCGAGTTATTTTTTTATTAACATGCGTGTGGGTTTCGTTTTCAAACAGGGCTCATCTCTGAAGGCTTCCTTCTTTTACCTTTATCGGTGAAAGTGCTGTAGTTTATTTAGAGACCATAAGTAAGCTACTATACAAAGGACTACACCACTGATTTATCTTGTTTTAGTGATATTAACTTTCAGTGTTCACATGGCACTCATATTGGGATAAAAAGGGTGTAAATCATAACAGAAATTAGAGTCAAGGAAACCTAGAATATAACCTTTTTAGAACTGCTGGTTTTGATTTGGATATCTTCTTAAAACCATTTCTGGAAATGGGTGAAAAACCTGGTAGGAACTGTCAAATGTGCAGTTAATTTGACCAATAATCCTACAAAACTGTGTGATATAGAAGGTATAAAAACTAACACCCCGCAAGATTAACAGAAAGAACAAAAATGTTCTGTTCATGTGTTCGGAGCCAGTGACTCAAATCAAATCAAATCAAAGTATGGCTAGAATACAACACGGTTTTCAGTCACGTGTATTGCTGATTATTTCTGGGGCTTTTAAAGAGCAAAAAACATGTAAAATCATTAGCGTAGTCTTTAAAGTCTGTACAGGATGATATTCTCCTTTCAAAGCCATTTGAAGCTGCCTGTTAGATGATAAATATGTTTTTGTATTGCTATAGATACGGTAGGTAGATTCTCAGATAGACGGATAGATAAGTAGCTGCCTCTCCTGAGATTAGATGTTTTTAGGTAGCCCACCTGGTGAAGTCGATGTAGTCTGTTCTGTAGTTGTCAGATGTGGCATCCAACCAGGGGATGGCGACATTGCTCTATTTTTCTCGGGGTAGTCTGGGGCCCTGCTGGTTCTTTTTGATACAGTTGCTGTTAGTGTATGAACTTGTGCTGGATGTACCGTGAACCGCCGTGTTGTGAAGCATCTTGTAAACCTCCGCTGCCCGTCCCGAGCCTGCCGTTTCAATCCTGTACATAAACTCATGCCTGTTCCCTTTCGCCCGGTCCTTCCTCGGACTCGACGTTCACCTCCTGCAAACCCCTGGCCGAAATGATGGAATCGCCACACCATTCTCTGATTTAAACAGGCTCCAACTTTCCCTCTGCAGCAGTTGACGGATCAGCACTGCAGGTTGGGACCTTGTCACAGACCTTTTTTTTTTCTTTTTTCTTTTAAATTTTCCACTGTTAATCTTTAATCAAATTCAGATCCTAACTCAAACATTCATCCATCGGCTCAGTAACAGAACCATTATCTGTTATTGTGTCCTTTACCTGACATCGTATTATGGGTGTTTGTGTCATAGGACCTGAACCAAACTGAGGTTATGGCATCGTCTCCCTGTCTGACGCAGACGGGTGATTCATCTCTGAATATCACTTATGTTCAGGCTCTCCGCTCCTCTTAAACCCACTGTAATTTTCCTTCCTTTTGTTTCGGTGCTCTTACGGTTTATTTTTGGCTTTTCTGAATGGGAATCCCATTGCTTTCAGTTGAGTCCTCACAGCTTGACTGCTTCCCATTTGTTTAATAATTTATTTGGTTTTAATTTTTCTATTTTCTGATATTTGGCCATGAGTTTTCCACCCTGACATTTTGACTTCATCAACCTCATGTGTGATGTGAAAGAAAGAAAAAAAATGGAACAGATTCAGAGCATTTATTAGGTCTGATTGGTTTGGTTGTGTGTTTTTCAAAATAAAATGAAAATACCAAATAAATATCATTCAAGAGTGGTGAAACAATCATTTTTGCCAGGGATTGAAGATCATGTGGGTTAATGTAAATAATGTACGTCTTCGGGAAGATGATGTGAGAGTGCAGAGTGCATATACTTTGTGTTGAACCCGCCGGCCGTTTCTCCTCAGTGTACTGTGCTGGATCATGGTTGTGTATTAAAACGTAAACCTGCTGAGAACAAATACCAAGTGTTGCTGTTTTTCTTTCCAATTTCAGATGTTCAGTTGTGAATCTTTCGATAAACCTGTTTATGAATCGGCTTTTGTTTTCGATGTGAGCACCCTATGCTACAGCATGTGAAGTAGATTAAAGGGAGAATATCAAATAGTCCAGTTAATTTCCTCTCACGCCGACAGAACACGCTCAAAACTCATGGATTGCATGCATTTGATTAAAAAATAGCATACAATCCCCTTTATTGCCTCTGAGTAATTGAAAAGTAAATCTGCTTAGCTGCTGCTCTCAGTCACCCATGAGCACTGGTAATCCTTTTCTTTTGTTTCTGTCTGAAAACAGGGGGATCAGAGGAAACCCTTGTTGGCCAGGACTGGCCTGTCTTTACAGGAAACTGTGGGAAATGGTGGCTTACAGTGAGCATAATGAAGGAGCATTTTGGGTTGCAGCTGATTATTTACCATTACGACCAAAACCGTGTTGACAACTTGTGTCGGCCAGGCTGTGGTTGCTGCAATGAAACATTGATGACAGGGTGTGATTTTATTACCAGAGCTCCACACGGAAAGCATCTGCCGCTCCCGCTGTCGATTAGTGGTTTCCTCACGTTTGGTGAAATGCGGTTCTTAAAAAATGAATTATTGATCAAGGAAACATTAATGGGAGCTATTAGACTCATTCCTCTTAAAGAACCGTAATGGTTTTTCCACACTTATATCATTAAACATATTATTATACTGCATCTCTGTCCACAGTGGCCAACAATTTTTTTAAACTTAAAAGTTCTTTAGGACCTGCTGTGAGCATGTAATAATATGCTTATAATTTCATGCCCACACATATGTTTATTTTACAATCACAGCTGGACCTTTATTGCATGTTTTGGACTGTGAGTTCTCTGAGAAAACAGGTCATGGAAACTCCGCACTGAAAACTAAAACCAGGAACCTCTGTGCTTTGAGTCGACAGTGATGGATGAATTGCTTCGTTTTGCTTGTTCAAACTTATTTCTCATCCTTCACTGATGTGAGAAGTAAAATAAATCAGAGCAGAAGAATGTGTCCGCCCTTACGAAATCATTTAAAATTAGCCAAAAACTTGATTTGAGAGGTGATAGATAAAGTGGAGACTGAGGTTTAATGGATAAATGCTGAGTCATCTTGTTAAAAAATGTCTGCAAAGCACATAAATCAGCTCCATGCATGTGCTCACGTGATCTTACAGTAAATGCTGTTTGAGTCCCTTCAACATGACCATAGATAGTCGGCTTCTGCCCCTTCAGGATATAGTCTGTTGATGGATAATACTTTACAGTTAATCTGTTTTATTGGATCTGATTCTGCACGACAATGAATCACAGAAAAGGTCACACACCCATCCCAGAGATCGAAAAGCTAAAACATTTACCAGGAAGTAACACTTTGTCGCTTCCAGAGACCTCGACTTGTGCTCGTACCGTGGCATGGACGCGAGCGTTGCGGTGATCCTCACACCTACACATCCCAAAGGCCAATATATACTGGTGTCACCAAATCCCATTAAGAGTGCACCAGACTTTCTAAATCTGGCTGTAACGCTCAGTCTCAAGCTGATTAGTTGAAGTCAGTAGTATTAGAGGCAGGAGGTCTGAAAAACACACCGAGTGGCTGTCACTTGCTGCTCTATGTGTAGACAGAAGCCTTAAAATGGATCCTGGATGTTTTTAGGATGACAAAGTTGCAAGTGATGTTTCCTGAGATATTAATTGCACTTTTTCTGTCATGTATGAATTCAAATGCTGAATGACCTTTAATGTAACAAAAATCAGAAGAACTATTTTTAGATCTGGGTGGAAATCTGCCTGTTTTCTCAGACTATGAATCCCTCAGACTCTGGAGTTGGTGATTGCTGATGAATGGATCATATGCAGACACATGAGCATCTGTCCCAACACCGACCAGAGACATAACCAAATCAATTAGCCACTCGGTGGAATAAAAGTTATATCACGCCGCACTAATTTTTGTAGCTTATTCACACTTGCTGCTGCAATAGTGGTGGAACACATAACAAGTTTAACTGGTACATAAAACATACAATGTTCCCGTACAACTCTTTTACAAATACCTAAAATATCTAGCTTATGTATTTTGTTTGAAATATAATAATGTAGTAATAATGATGATATTAATATTGAATAATATTTACCATTAATGTGTTTTGAATCAAACCCAACATTTTAAGTTACACAACAAAAATTTGACCAGGTGGTGAACCTTTAGGCTCCATTCTGGGGCCATTTTCCTTTGATCCGTGTGGATATTGCTTGTTAAGTAACTTGGATTTGCATCTACCTCCATCTAGATTACACTATTTTAGACATCATCAATATATTCGGAGGATCTGAAGATGTCTCTGTGGGGAACGAAAACCAACACTGAATAGCTGTGATCTTCCGCGATATTATCAGTCCTAGCAAGGCAAAGTGCATGTACACACGTCCCAACTAAACAGGAGACAAACCATCCTATGTATCTACTCAAATGCTACATTTAGAGCAACATATAGCCCTAATTAATTGTTTTTGTAGATGGGTTCCTGCATGTTGCAGCCGTGCAGAGGAAGAGTTTTTCCTTAAGCTGTACTGAGAATAAAATGTTGGTTTACAAGATACGAGTTGTTTTTGTTAACATTTCACCCAGCGACCCGACTTTCTCTCAGAATTGCACATACCCATGTATTTGCCGTTTTGTTATTTGAGAAACTAGCTTAAAAATGAGGACAGTTTCTTGAACAGGTCAGTACCCTCTGTTACCGCCGCCGCTGGAAGCCGTGAACTTTTCAGATGAAAGATGACTGTGAGTTTCAATTCCTTTTCTAATAAATAACTGACTCGGGTTCAATGTGAAGGCCATTTGTGCAGCGGAGCTTCACCTCGCTGCAGACGTCTGGATGAGGGGACAGACGGGGGAGTTTCTTTACCAAACCTCAGCAAAGTCAAAAGTAATTTAAATTCAGGAGGCTCGCTCCGGCTTTTCTCTTAATTTCTTTGACACCCAAGAGTCAGAGGTCAGAGAGAGCCAACAAGGCACATTCCCCTGTGAGTTTTCCCCTTCCCGCGTCTTTGATAAAGTAAGTGCAAGTGTCAAAGTTAACCAACAACTGAGCTCTCCTCATTACTCACAGAGAAAGCAGAGGAACCGGGGGGAGCTGCCCTACATCCAAAACACACACACACACCCTTAAAGTATCTAGGACCATCTGAAATAAGAACAAAAGCTTTTAAAACGAAGCTCGAAACATTACTCAACGCTTCACAGTGGAACTGAAAGCGGGGCACTGGAGGACAGGGGAAGAGATGAGACGATGTGAAAACCGCCGATCAGACGGCTCCGACCGCTGTCGTCCTGTAGGTTGATGCACTGGAGGCCACGCGCATTATTCAGAGCTTAATTTGACTTTGTTATGTGATGACAGACAAGTATGGAGGGCAAATAATGTGCCAGCTGTTGGTGTTTAGAGTGCCGAGACCACTGAAGACACGCAACCTGGTCGTGTTCAACTCCGTTGCGGGAGCTTTTCAGCTGAAGTTCCCCTCAAACGAAACTACATAAAAATCAGAAAAAACATAAGATGATCAGCATGAAAAAAATCAATGAGGTTCTCCATTTAGAAAGGCGCTTTAACAGTCCAGAAAAAAACAAAAATACTGGGGTAAAAAAATCCCCAAATAATGGCCATTAAATTATTTAAAGGGAAAAAAAAGACTGGTGAGATTCAGCTGATTTTTGTTTAGGGGAAAAAAATCTTTTTAATATCAGTTCCACTTTGGACCACTGGAAGGAATGCGAGCCACTAGTTTCTGGTCAAATCACAGAAGATCTCTGGATCGTCATCAGACTAACCTGTTGACAAGTTTGGACCCATTCTGGGTTTCGATCAAAGGTGTACATGTGATTCACTCCTTCCGACAAACGCCAGTCATTTATCTTACACTTAGGTATTTCCATATTTGTCAAACACCTAGCCTGAGAAGCGGAACATCCCAGAACAAGCCAGTGGCCGGTCTGGAGATCAGCCATGTGCCTTTCACATGGAAGTGTGAGTAAGTGCTGACGAAAGGAAGCAATGAACGACTCTGCAGAGGCAAACCAGTGCTGAAATAGTATTTTTATTAAATACTTTCAAGATCCAAGTTGGAGGAATAACAAAGCTATGATGAAGACCAACTAACACTCAGACAAACACTTGATAGTTGTCAATTCATGGTTGTATTTCATTGTACATCATGATCATGCAAAAAAAATCCAGCATCCATGTGAAGGCTGGGGGAGAAAGCGCAGCCCAATAGTATATCATTACAACGCAGGGAAAACGCGAACATCGAGGGCCTCATACCAAGCTACGGCTCCTGAATGCTTTTTTTTTTTTTTTAATTTTCTGTTTTTAAATATATTTTCATGTCACCTATTCAACATTCTGGACGGAGAAAAAGTCATATTTCAAAAGATGCAAATATCATATATTAACACTAGCTCCATCCTTAATCAGGTAGGTACATGGTAGAAATGTGTAACTGAAACATGCATATAACTAGGTGTCCCGCTCCGGTTCACAACGGTGTAGGTCGCACAAACCTGCACACACTCACGACAACTCTCACTCTGTCTCTCAACTGAGCAGGCACGATTTAAAACCACCGAGGGTAGATTACATTGATAAATAATTTAGTCCTGATCAATATTGTTAATTTTGTGTTGTCTTTACTTCCTCCCTCTTTTCCCTTTTTTTTCTTTTGTTGTTTTTTTTTTTCCTGTCGGAGAGGGAGAGTGCAGAACTCAAGCTTGGCAGATCGGCAAATTACCAAACGACAAAGTCAACGGCAAACGGCGACGACAACCAATAAAACTAAAAAAACCAGTAACACGGGAACGACAGAGAGGTACAAATAAAACATCTCAACAGCAGGGACGCAATCAAACACGAGGTTGGGCGCGGGTGGGGGGGTGGTGAGATATTGGAGGGGGTTGGGGTTGGAGATACGACTGTCTGCTGATGGCGACGGATAAGCAGCACAATGAGGGAGGCGCTGGTCACACGGCAGCGTTGCAGATATGTTACAAAGCCTAAACACACCGCCAGGAGTGTGTGAGTGCATATGATATGAAAAGGCGGCTCACAGCATCATGGGATCAAGAGTTAAGGACACTATTATGAAGGTATTCATGTTCGATAACACATCTGTTGGGCTGTTGGGTTAGGGGGGGGGGTAAACTACTTCCACCGTGTGTGTTTTATTTCCCCATCGTCATAAACAGTCGTTCGGCCATGGGACTAAAGATGGTCGCCTACTGAAGTGTTTTCTTATGTTCACCATGAATGATTAAGAGCTACTGATATCTTAAGGAAGTATTTTGAGGAGGGGGAATTGAAACTATCGAGGAAATGGTTTCTCCTAAACTAGAGTGGGAGTCACAGAGGCCATGGGGTGGTCCCCCCAAATGCACAGGATGAGTGTCTCTTAGATACATGTACATATATTACACTTTTCTACATATATCTATACATACACTGTATTTACACAGTGATTATAAACAAACCAGGCTCTTGCAGAAAGCAGAGAAACAGTGGGAGGAAATGCTTGAATAGAGGATGGGGAAGGGGGGGGGGGGGGTTAATGAGGGAGAGGCAGTGGGCAAACATGCAAAATGCAGACGCCTTTCCCAGCCCACTCTCTCCCCCCACTGCATATTCACAAACAGGACAAGTTAGCTTTAAATTTGCACGATAAAATCCCTCTTTTTCTTAAAAACTCTGCTGTTTTAAAAACGAGCCTCGATTATAGAACTAGTCAGAGCAAAAAAAAAACAAAACGATTAAAAAAAAAGACAAAAAAACCCCCAAAACAAACAAACAAAACAAGAGAAGAACTCACGAGGCCCTCTCTTTTTTTTCCACAGGAACGCAAACAAGTCAGGTCGCTAAAAACACATAAAAAAACAAACAAAACAGTCAGACATCCCCCACCCACTGCCCACGACACAATTTCTGTTCCGTTGAAAAACAAGCACACAAACAGAAACACAAACACATAAAAAGCCTAAAGTTCTACACTTTGGTGCTTCATGTTTTTTTGATATCAAGTTTCTCTCGTCATCAAGTTCTCCGAATGAGAAAACTTGACTATTTTTCCCTCTAAAACTCTGTCGAGGATAAGCTCCCTTCATCTTACGACCCGGGTCACGAGCACAACGCTTTTCTACCCGGTCATCCCTAAATGTGTCCGAAATCTCAGCTGCTAACTTCACACTCCTCTCCGCTCCTCCCTTATTAAATAGTGATAAATGCTTAGTTGGGTTTTGGTGGTTTCTGGTACATCTAGTCATAATTTACACAGTATATTCATAACTCATACTCATAAACTGTCACAAGTTCAACTGTAAATCCTCTCCTCCCCCAGGACGTCTCATCTCGCGCGGGCAGAAAAAAGATGGCTGCCAGGGGAGGGTCAGAGGGCAAAGTTGCACCCTCCAATCAGGCGCCAGATGCATGCATCATCCTATGGGGGCGGGTTCTTGTGTTCAGCCGGCCCCGGCAGGTCAAAGGAGGGACAGGATTGGTTGGTAACGTGGAGAGGGGTGCGATCTCGCCCGGCCGGGCTCCTGGCGCTAGCCAATCCACGCAGAGGACGCGCCTCTTAAACACGCTCGCTGAAAAAACACTGCCCCCCAAAACACACTCCAGTAGACTGGAGGCTCAGGACCACTGGGGAGGAGAGAAAGAGCGGCGCGTTAAAAGTTCTGCCGGCTTTTCAAATACGAAATAACAGGTTAAAGAACAATCTGAATGACAAACTAAAGCAAATCAAATGTCTTTGACCATGGGACCTGATTTCAGCCCTAAGGGGTTTTTGAAGGTAAAAATCTCTCATCAGATTCAACACACAGTTCATATCTGTTAGTACCTGATCACTGAAGTGGTGCAGCAGGCGCTCCCGAGCAGTGGAAGTGAACGTTCAGCCACTTTCCGTCGCGGCGGTGCCAGACCCTGGTCTCCTCCGATTGGCTGGAGCGAGGGCGGCCCGTGGAGTCCACAAACTGCGTGAGGCGGATGTAGGCGATGCAGGCGGCGTCCTCGCCGATCAGGTGCACGTGGGGGTTGAGCAGGGTGGTGTGCACGGGCTTGCTGTTTTTGCTCAGCACTGGAAAACCAACAACAAACACGCTGAAGGGCGACTGGAGAGATGTTCGATCACAACAGAAATCCACGGGGCGTCTGAGCCGCTTTTAGGGATGAATGACTCGGTTAGGGGACGGTTCAAACTCATTAGTTTCTGGTAAACCTCCGCGTTTCAGCGTGTACCGCGGCTTTAACTCTGGTGTCTGTGGGGACAATGGGGAGCTGGAACGTGGGCTGTGATGCATTTAGCGCTCACAAAGGAAGGAACAGACGGGATAAAGACGAAATAGACAACCGCAACATGGATCATTTGTGGAGAAAAGAGAGAAAATAAGCCCTGACGCCGTGTCAAATAAAGAAAAAAAGGTGGGTTTATGATCAATAAAAATGTAAATGATATTTTCAAGGATATATGTGCTGTATGCTAAAGCCACCATAGTTTCAGGGGAAGCATTGAGGTAAAAGTAAGACCAGAAGCTACAAAGTCTGAATTTAAGTTCAAATGAAACGGTTACACTACCAATTCATCTCTGTAAATATATTTGTTTGACATTTGGCAGAATGATAAACAATGGAAATATTCAGTCGCAGCCAAAAGTAAACTTTAATCCAAGCCTAAAGAAGAATACTCTGACATTATCTAAATGGTAAAACTGCTCTGTGTGCAGTTCATCACATTGTGGATGGTTTAGGAGCAAAAATAAACCCACTCCCATGATGTGCGTACAGGAGGACACTCACGGTTCTCAAAGTAAAACTTGTGGAAGTCCATGCCCTCCACCAGATTTCCCAGGGCCTCGGGTTCAAAAGAGGTAAGTCCGGGATCACAGATCCTCCTGAAGAACACAGAGGGACAGAAAACGTAAAGCCACCTCCGACAGACCAGCCCAGCATCACCGACAGCTCAGCGACTCACGTGTAGGCGTCAAAGTCTCCGTTGTTGATCGCTTCAATCAGCTGCTCCGTTATCTTAATGATCTCCTGTTTACGGGCTGCAGAGATGCGAAGAAGAGAAAAAGAGAGAGAGGGAGAAAAGGCTGGTGAGAAGCCGAACGAGCCGACCGTCGGCTGAGGCGTCCTGCCTCCCTGCACACACACACACACCCCTCTTTAACCTCCTCGTTTCGGCGCCGAAGCGCCGCGCCGTCTTTTCGCCTTCTGTGTGACAAACAAGTGACGCTGCTCTGCTGCGAGCCACCAAACCACAAACAGCTCTGCCTCTGCGTGCTACGGCTCAGTTAGGCAAAAAAAGAAAGAAAAAAAGAGGCCAACTTGACAGCTTTCTTTTGACAGCGGCAGCGGGTGGAGAGGATGTGATGATCACACACGCCGCGTCTCTGCCGGGGGGGCACAGGTTCGCTCATTTAACCGCCACCGTCAAAATAGGGGAGACTCAGAGCTGCTGCAGTCCCTCCCCACAGTCACCATTAATAAGAACACGCTCAGAAATCTGCACCGATCCAAGTCCCATTAAAGTTTAACAGGTGTATTTATACTGACGTCCATGTAATCTTTCCACAAAGCACAGGTGTGTGTGTGTGTGTTCAGTTTCAAACTAATGACCAGTTTCATGTTGCTATGACAGTCTTCTCTGTTCTCCTCCTCCTCACCCCTATTGGTGACATTTTTAGTGGTCAACTCTAGAAAAAACATTATATTCCTCTTCACTTGGGTTCTGCCACCATAATTGAGTCTAATTGCCTTAGTCTGGACAACATGTATCTAATGGAAGGTCTTATCTGATACTTTTTGGAGCAATTAGAACCACCTTTCCTTCTAATGCACTGAAAGAGGTAAATGTCTCTTGGTTTAACCTCATATTACCGTTATTGAAAATTGACCGGGCACTAAGCGGAACCATTTAGACAGCGTGGGCTCGGTTTCGGTGCCCGTTAGCTACATCACGACTGCGCCTCTTGGGCACAACATTTTCAGACTTGTAGTGAGTTCGGATGACAGATAAGTGATATCCGAGCTCATACTTCCTGTTCTGTGGGTCAGCCGCTATTTGGATTCAGAACAATTTTAACATAAAAAAGCTATTGTCTCTAGAAGATGGCTGAAGGTTTGGAGATTCTGTTTCAGCCAATGGCTTCAAGCTCTCAAATATGCAACCAAAGCCTGCAGGACAGGACTGCTCCCACCCTACAGATGGACAAAAAGCACCCAGAGAACATTCAAGATCAAATTTCAGTACAATTACCTGAAAATTGATTCTGCAAACCCAGCTGAGCAAGTACTCCGGAGTTCAGATTTGACTTAATTTAAGAACTGGTTCACTCCCTCGCATACAGTTATGGTATTAGTTCACTTAAATCATCCCCCCCCCGTTGATTTTTGTACATATCTCAACTACTTTCTGAAATCATGCAGACAACCACATCTATACAGATAATCAACTCAAGACATCCGAGCGTTTGTCTCTTTTTTTCTTGCCAGGCGTCGTCTTCAGATTCCAATACAAAAATATAAATCCATTTTTGACTTATCTTGACAATGCAGGATAAAATATCTCTGGATTGTATTTGTGTTCACAAATCTATCAGTTCCAGAGCTGGAAATGGGGACTGTGAATGCCACTCAATGAATTCAATCAAAACATGAGAATAACAATGACCTTTTAGGCTCACACGCCTGCTTTGATTTCCACTTCAGGCAGATGTTAAGCTTTTAGTTGATATTCTGTGGATCAGGCAGACTAGATGCTACACTGGCTCCTCATTTTGTGTGAGCATAGTTGGTCATCATTACATTGTCCTCACGCCCTGACCAGCAAAAATTCTGTGATTGAGTGCTGAAGCAAAAATCTTTCAAAATTAGGTATTGGCTTCTGCTTGAGCTGAAAAGGCAAACTTGGAAGGCAGCTGAAATCTCACAATATCAAAAAGACTCCCTCTTGCCAGGGAATTTGTGGCAATTCACACATGGACAGATCAATCTGTGTCAGTGTGTGATGGATGGCAGCTTCCATCCATTGACTGGATGCACCTCTTTGATCTAATTGGCTTAGCTCTGCGCTTCCCAGCCTGCGACGGACAGACGCTTTACCCAGTCAGCTGACGGTATTTTCTCAGAGCTCATGCCCCTTTTCCGAACATGGCAGGTGGAGAACGTCACAATTTTCTAATGATGCGGAATGGAATTTGTAAACAAAGAAAACTACACGCAAAAACAACAAATGTCCCCGGAGTCTCTTTTTTTCCCCTGACCTACAACTGTTTCAAAACCTAACTGTGGAATATTTGACTGAGGAAAAGGTGAGCGATGACCCCTCTGAAATCAATAACTTATAGAAACACCACCCAGGAGGTGAACGGCTGTGCTGGTCGACAGCTGCAGGGAGTAGGAGGCGGGGAAAGCAGAGTTAGTCAGTTAGTACAGGTGTGCTCTTACTCGGCTTAGTGTTGCTGTTAGCAGCGACAGTGTTGCTCCCTAGTGGAGCGGCAGGAATGGAGGAGGACTGCGAGTGGTCAGAGTCGGGACAGGAGCTGTTGCCTGTGCTGTTCCATGCCATGCGCTTTACGTCATGCGGTGGAACTGAAACACACAACGGATGGTCAACAAAAAATGGATGGAACAGCAGGAAAGATGACAAGATGAGCCACACGCATGCAGTAAAAACAAAAGCTGATGTGGGTTAGTGTGGGGTCGGAATTGTTAGGACGTAATCCCAGCGGTGAGGCGGGATCATGGCACACATGCGGATGGGGAACATGAGGACACAGCGATAGCTGAAAGCAAAAGTCGCGCGGCGCAGATTGGGATGATGGAAAACTCATCTCCCTGCCTGTACAGCTCACATCTTCTTGACTCTTAATGCTTTTCATAGATTTCTCTGATGAACTGCTGCACTAAGCAAAAAAAAAGAAGAAAAAAAAAAAGAAGTCTGAAGCCACAGCTTGTAATTAGCTCATGTTCTGCCTGAGGGGAATCTTGGCATCTTGAGGAAGGAAGGCAGGAGTGGAGAACAGAAAAGTGAAGAGGAGGAGAATTTACTGCCCTTCAGTGCAGGTGTGTCCATCAACAGCAGGAGGATGACCATTGAGGAGACATTCAGAGGATGAAGGAGTGCATATTTGTGAGGGAAGGGAACAATGGTGTATTATGTATAATGAGATTTGAAAAAAATAAAATAAGGAAAGTCAAGAAAATAACAGAAGTCTTTAGAGGAGGGAAGAGGAGAAATATCAGGACAAGGGAGAAACGTGATGTTCTATTGTGTGCATGGTTCCAGGAAAGTCAGACAGGCCTGCCAGACTGGAAGGCTGGTTTAGGACACGCAGCTGCTGCAAGGTAAGCAAGGCTCCCTCCAGCGGGAGCTGTCACATCAGGAGGACAAAGGGGTATATGCAGTGGTCACCGAAAACAAAAAACAAAAAGCACACACACACGCACGCACACACACACAGATTTCAGGGTTCCCACAGAGGCCCTGATGAAAAGTGCAACCAGTTCTTTTGTTTTCTGTTCTTATGTTGATGTGAGGAGCTCATCTCTCACAAAGTGATCTAGCAAAAGATCATCTGATCAACATACTAGAAAAAAATATATTCAATAACGCATCCCTATTAAAATGATTTAAAGATGCTTAAAGGACATTGAGTTCATTTAAAGTTTGGGCTTATTAGTTATTTAAGAACAAGGTGCCAACGCTACAAACAAGTCTAAAAAGAATTAAAAACAACAAAAAGTTAAAAAAAATGCTGACTCAGTTACCTGCACAGAGAAGGGGGCTTAAACTTATACTTAACCCCTTCGGAAAGACAAGCCTCCCTGCTTTTAACGACTGGTGGGCATAGTAAATGACATCGGTAACTAATCGGGATCTAATTCTAGGTTGTTTTCTGTGCTTCTATATGTCCCTAAATACAGACATGACCAAAAATGATTATTCAACTAAAATCAGTGGGAACCCTAAAAAAGCTTGGGGGATCAGAGTGAAGGGGTGGGGGGGCTCAAAGGTGTAAAAAGTCATTGGCAGTGACCATGAGAAGCCAGGGTGGGAGTGGGTGAGAGGGGGGGTGTTAGGTCCTTGCCAGGGGCGACCTTATAGCTTCTGCTTGCCAAGGATAAACTTACTGGCAGGTGAGCTTTGAGGTGAGGGCAGAAGTGGGGGCATCTCCTCTGCAGCGCTGCTCTGACTCAGCGCCGAACTGTCCGCTAGAACACACACACAAAATGCAGCCAGACACACGATAAATACAAAACGCACAGACACACACACACACACACGCGACAGGCACACGGTCAAGAGTGTGAGACAAATGTTGCACCTCGGCACACCTGCCAATCACTACAGTCAAATACACACACTTCACTAGATGGGAGACAGAAAGAGAGGGCGGATAAGGTCAAGAAAACGGGAATAAAACACTTGAGTACCTTTCCTACCTTTCATTTCTTCCTCATCGTTGGTGGCGTTGCTCTCCGTTGATCCCTGTGGCGTGGAGGGAAGGACAGAAACACACACAGGGGTCAGGCTAAAGTCCATCAGGGCCGGTGGACTTTCGGACGGAGCAAAAGGCAGATCTCACCTTGACGCCATCTGGAGGGTTGTGCACCACTGTGCTCTGAGATTCCTGCAATGCAGAACACGGCAGTCAGAAATCTGAGAGATCTTTGCCCCTGAAACTTTGCTTCTCAACTGGCCCATTTATTTCACGTCAGCTGGAACGTGACAGAAAAACCGTCTTAGCTGCAGTTATGTCTTTCTTAATTGTTTATAGTGGCTCAGTTCAGACGGCGAGATCAATCAAGGTGTTGATTTATGACTGTAACTCATCTGTACTTGCACTATCCAATAATGTGCCGTTTATTTCCTTGATCAATTCATTTTTAGTAAAGTCTATTAATCTATGAAGTTAGTTAATTTAAATTTCCTAAAATGTAAGAAAGACATTATTCTTATATTGTCAGTGAATGATCCCACATACAAAGCCTAAGTTGGGGACTTGCAGCACCAGTTGAGAAGCACTCCCAGTCAAATTGTGTAATCCAACCACAGCACTACACAATGTAATTCAATACATGCTAGAAAGCATCGTAAAACCAAAACATGCTAAATTGGATGAAAGGGCATGATTAAGTTTAGCAGTGTGGTCAGGATGTCAGTGGGGATGTTAATGAAGATAAACAAGTTAGAGCAAGAAAAAAAAGTGCTGTAGGGGCTAAAAACTTCAGATGACAAAGAAAGATGTTAGGATGGATGGCAGCAGGATGGTAGGAGGGATAAAAGCACAGCTGGTTCAGTAAGGGGCGTTAAGCATTCACTTATGCAGGTATAAAAACAGGGGTCGTTAAAGTATAAACCTAATATTGCTTGATACTAACAGTTTCCGTTCTCTAAACAAGAACCTCAAAGCTACCTGTGCAAGGCATATAATCGTCAATGACAAGTTCATGCTCCGTAAATATCTAAACGGGTGCACATGTAAAACCTGAGATTCATAATAATGACAGGGAGTTTGAATAGTTCGAAAAAGTATCCGTAGTACTGGATGAATAAGAGACTCAGGAGCACATGTGCACCGGAGGAGGGGTAAAATGTCGAGAGGATGGGACTGCCGGCAAAGGGAATGACAATGCAACACCTCCTTGATGGTAGATGGTGAAAAGCAGCTATGATGATGGAGAATGAAGCACATCGGGCTACTATGCAACAACTTGGCAGGGACTAACACTGCGGCGGCCTACTGTACCATCTGGGCGTTGGTTGCCATGTTGGTGTCTTTCAGGGCATTGATGGCGCTCACTATACTGTTCTTACTGTTGTTGGTAGAAGGCTGGGACGAGAACGTAAACACTCAAAATGAACACCAAAGCGACACAAACGTACACACAGAAGCATTCGAATTATACGCCTTTTCGGGAATGGGGCTAATGCTTGGTCAAAGCTCCCGGGGTGTTGAGAGCTAACAGGATAAATGAGAGGGTGAGTGCCACAGAATGGCCTCCAGATCATCCTTTTTACTGCCTCACTAACTCTCTATGCCTGTGCCACTTAACTGCACAGAGAGACCCCTGGGGCAGAGAAGACAGACAGGGAGGCGGGAGGAGGAGGAGGAGGGAGCAGAGGCTGATGGGAGACTGCTCGGAAAGTGAGCAGCAGATGTCTGAGTGACACAGGCTCAAGCTGAAAGAACAGGAACCACTGCAGATGAACTGACTGGAACTGGAAAAGTTTGTTAAAACAAGGCTTTCACAACTTTGTGAAGGGGTTACAGGAATTCTGGGGGCGAAAAGTCACAAGTCAGATTGAGAATCCCAAAGATAAGGCACAGAGGTAAACAGGGGGGAAAAAAATTAAAAACTCTTGAAGATATATTTAAGGGTTATAACACTTGAATTAAGAGGAGAAAGTGAGCTAAACATGGTGGGGAATGCAGAAAGTACAGGGGTTAGAAAAAAATATATATAACGATGCTAAAAGTGACAACATTACCTTAGCAGAGTCCGACTTCTTGTTGAGTAAAGTTTTGCACGCTGTGAAAATACAGAGGATAGAAAAGGACAGAAACAGGGAGAAAAACTGAGGTTTACAGTTTGTAACAGCCTCCAAACCATCCTACCAAGCTCTTAGCTTCTAGTGAAACCTGGATCTATGACGCATCATATCTATGAAATCCCATTAACTCAGACTTTGTGACAAAGTAAGCGGAGATGTTTCCAGAGGAGAACATGCATTTAATGGATTTCTTGCGCAATTTCCCCCGGACTGAACAGGTTGCTACGCTCTGAAAAACCCATTCACGTCTTAATCCATTCACTGCCCCCTGGGGATAAAAAAGAGAAACCTGAGAGCAAAGTAAACTTCCACAATCCATTTCCTGTCTGGAAGACCCCAGCAGATCTAGAAAGAGAGTGATGGTCAGACTCAAACTGCCGCCAGGATTGACGGTGATGAGCTAGGTTAATGTAAATCATTGATTTCCTTTAAGGGCTCCAGTCAGCTTCCTCTAAGTCTAAAGCTCTCAACTCTCTCTTGCTTCCTTTTCTCTTGTTTTCCACCGACACACACACAGGTTCCAAACATCTTATCTTGTGTTTCTTACCTTCCAAAATGAAATGGGAGAGGGGAAGATGGGGTAGAGGGGGAGGGTTGTAAGAGAGGCCTTAGAATTTCACTACAAGAGGGTAGAGATAAGGGGCACAGCATTTACAGCAGCAAACAACACACAAGTGACAACTCATGCTCCTTGATCTAGGCTTATATGCAGCTTCTAGTTTGGCCTGGTCATGCAGCATCCAAAGAGAAAAAATATACGTGATAAAAGAAGAGTTTTTCATTCCACAACCAGGAAAAAGTAGAGCTGATCGATCAGGGCGTAAACATCTGTTGGATTTTTTTTGGCTACATCTTCTGCCGTTCAGCCATCATTCTCGTTCATATGCTCTCTAAATATGACCTCCCACTGGGTGAAGTCAAAATGACCTGCTGTAGGAAGGCTGCACCACGCAGCAAGCGTGCCAGCTTGGTGATGAGCAGGGAAGATTGTAATCAGAGAGCATCTGAAGGCGCATCTATTGAGAACATTTTGGAGGATTTAAACCACACAGGACACCCACATGCGAAAAAAGCAGCAAGGCAAACGACTTTCTAGAAACAAACGAATGCTCCAAAACGCGCACACCTGTCAGACTGTAATATAAAACAAGTCATTCAAGGAAACATCATGAGCAAACCTTGCCTCGGCCAAACTTTACAGATAAATGCAAAAAAGCAGTCAGAGTAGAGAGAATTTGGATTTGGCAGTGATGAGTGACATCATCAGAGAGTCAAAAGCTTAAAAATAAAAAATGTCTAGATGATTAAAAAGAACGAGAGATGATGAGTCCAATCTGGCGTGATGATGCCACACATTATTTTAACAGAAACTTACAAACAGGCAACTTGGTCCAGTCTCAGTGAGGAAGCCCGCATTCTGAGGGCTTTAGCTGACAATTAAAGCACCACAAACATCCCAAATCTCAGCACACCAATCACACGCACACACTAAGGATATCACCTGACTGCCTGTAGGTTTCTAAACATGAACATTGTAGCATTGTTCTACCTACACATTGATCCTATGGAGAAACGTAGGAACACTGTACAGCAAAGGAGATTCTCTCATCTAAGAGTGTGAGAGAATCCAATCTGCTCCACACTGTAATCCTCTAATGTATTCGATCCATGGAGCCACCATTGGAATCGCCGACCTTGACCACCTTCTCCTCCCAGCAGGATGAGAGAGAAGCCTGATTTTAATACTTTCAAGACTGGGGGAAGACTGCCTCCAGTGTGAACTTTGTGAAAGTACTGAAACAGGCTTCGAGAGGGGGGGATGAGACGCGGGATGCCTTTAATCTCAAGTGATTCGTGAAGAAAGCTGTGGAACAGTGATGGCCCTCAAGAGTTGGCTTGCGTAGCATCACTGAAGACAGCTCTCTCGTCCTTTGTCTCAGTTTAAACCTCTCCCCCAGCTCCTCAACATCTGCCTCCATTCTCGTCCCCACCAGACCCAGGTCTGACGATGGCAGCACGCCAACCCAGCTCTTGCCGGCCCCCTGCAGTGTCAGTTCCCGCCCCCAGGATACATGCCCCTCCTCATCCCCTGCCCCAGACTGCCCTGCAACCAGCCGTACGACCGGCTGAGAGCGAGCGCAGGGGCTTAGGGGGTAATCTGGAAGTCAGGATGGAGCTTGCTAGAAGTGATAACTGAACTAATTTGGAGGATGTAATGGGGTGGTGGGGGGGGGGGGGGTGTTGGGGGGAGGGGGGGGGGGGGGGGGGGGGGGGGGTTATGAGGTGACGGCTGAGTGGTGGTGAGGTGTGAAAGTAGGAAGCACTTTGGAGTGCAAGCTGAACTGAATTGATTAAAATTTAGTAATGCTGACATTCATGACAGCACACAGAAACTACGATGTCTTTGCCATACAGCAAAAACACATCCGTGTTACCCTAATTAGGAAAAACCTGTGTGAGTATGCATGCATCTATGTGTGTGAATGTTGATGAAGATGCTGGCACTGGATGCATGCGGGAGTTGAGGGATGATGATGATGATGATGAGGGCCCATCCTACGCTATGGACCAACAATGGAGCTACGTGTGTAGAGAGGAAGTGGATGGGCGTGTCTCTGGGACGTACCTTCCTGAGCCAGTGAGGCCGTGGAGGAGGCGGCAGCAGCAGAGTTGGTATGCTGCCGGCCCACTATTGGACAGAAATGCTACAGTTGGGAGGGGCTATACAAATTAGGCAGGACTCTGTCATGATGTTCAGTCATGGGCCTAGAAAACCACAGAGTGTGCTGGCTACAGCCCACATACACCAACCACTCTGACAGAAATGGGCTAAAGCCACGACGAGCACCCCTGTGGATTTCTAGGCCCAGGGCTGAAATCATTAGCCATCGGCTGACCAGTTACTTTGAGGCTGAGAACAAAGCGTCAGCGGAAAACTAATCACTCTCATCAGACTGAGAGAAAAGGACAGAACCTTAAGCTGTCACCTGGTTTTCACACCACACTTGCCCAAAACATAAATGACTACTAAAGGTCTAGGCTTCCTTTCTCTTAAACATGCAAACGCTCCGTGGGCAGCAGAGAAAAAGGACACATACGCACACAGAGACACACACACAGACACAAGGAGAGATACATTAGCAGAGACAGAGACGTTACTGGCACTCACATATAAGAACATAACATATCCTAATAAGGTACATCAGGATGCAGTGCACTCAAAATAATCCATAAATATATTATTTGTACTGTAAAACAAATAAAATGTATGTTTCAAATCTGTTTAATGTAAACAAGTAAACTCCTGTGCACACACAAAAACAAGTTATTTAAAGGATGAGTGGGTGAGTGCTCGTGTAGTGGGGGGGTTAAAGGAGGTGCAGGGGACTCTCTCCACTCTCCTTCCTCCTCTCCCTCTGCATGTGCTGCGTGGGAGTCTGAGGGCGAAGGGCACACCCACCTGAGAAGTTTCTGGACACCAGCATGGTGGTGAGAATGGCTCCCTAGAGTAGGAGACGAAGAAGGAAGGCGATATGAAGGCGGAAGAAGAAGAAGTTTCGTCTCACTCGTGAATTTCAGTTTTTCTTGTGAACTATTTATCATCAATTTCAAAATGAGACTTTATCTTATTTGTTTTCTCCAGCTATGAAGTCTTTTTCGGCATTTAAATTGAACTGAACCTTCATTTCTGCTGTGACTCAAACATAAATTATTCTGCAAATCATTCTAAAGACAAGTTGCATGAAACTGTATCATTTTACACTTAATAAGTCTTCACATCTCCAAGTCCTGTTAGGTATTCTTCAATGCAAATTCATTTAAATGATGTGAAGAAACAACGGCTGCTACTGGATCCGTTAGTTTGCATGTGCAGCACTGGATGCAAACTACAACAACTAGAGCTAGTTGTCCTTAAAAGTTTTAATGCTGAAGAAACCGAGCTTCACAAAGGTTAGACGCCTCAAGATAGACGCATAAAAACAGCCTAAAACTAAAAACGTATATCAGGATACAATAGACCAAATGCCAGCTGCCCTTTGCAGTAGTCCTGTTTTTCAACCTTTTATTTTGAAAACCTAAAGGCATTTCCACTGGATCAATATCACATGACATCATTTTCTATGGCTGGCTCCTTTTATCAAACTGTCTGACATAGATGGTTGTCACTGTGAAATACTCCAACACTCATCAACAAATGTCAACTCCCCAACTCTGGGAATATGTGCACAAAATCAGCATTTTCATCAGGGCAAAGAAAGTGGATGCCAAAAATGTATAGAAACAAATCAGCTAAATAAAGGAAACGGAGCTTGGTAACACAAATGGGACGGCTACCTTGAGTTTTCGGCGAGCGTTGAACTTGCGGAGGCATTCGACAGTTTCCTGTCTGTGCATCATGGATGCCACTGTTGAGCGGTGCTGTAGACAGAGAGAACCGCGGCCAGTTAATAAACACACACAGTATAAGTTTAGGGGCTGAGCTGTATTATTTTATGGTCAGATTGAGATGTCGGATGCCAAAAGTTTTCCAGAGTTGTGAAATACTTACGCAGACCCATGGGTGCTTGAGGGCTTGTTCAGCAGTGATTCTCTTTGCTGGATTGATGGTCAACATCTGGTTGATCAGGTTCTTTGCCTCTGGAGTCACTGTGTCCCACTCCGGGGACGGAAACTAAGGAACATGACATAGTACAAAGGCAGGGATGGAGGGATGGGATTTGGGAAAAACCTTCGTTACTGGGGGACGGAGGGAGTCTGTGCTTGTGGTTTTCTGGCTGTGCCACATTTTCTGGTCACTTGCTCAACACTAGGTAGTTAAAAGAAGAACATTTAATAAATGCATTCGATATTTATAAATAGCAAGCTTATGTTGCAGGAGCAGAAGAACCAAAATCCTCCAAAAAGGCTGCAATGTGACTTGATTAAGCAGCGGCTGCAAGAAGAGTATACACCTTCTCATTCTCTCTCCATCTCACACACACACACCCCTCTGCAATGCGTCAGAAAGGCCCTGATAGGATCAATAGCTTTGGAACAGATCTCAATTGGACACTATTAAACATTCAAAAACTGCTTAGCTAACCCCTGCACTGCACCCGTCACAAATATCCACCAAACACACACACACACGCGCACACAAAGTGCACTTACATCGTATGCCCCAGCTTTGATCTGCTGATAGAGTTTGTGTTGATCTTCATCCCAGAAAGGAGGATATCCAACTAACAAGATATAGAGAATAACACCTGGCAGAAAATAAAGTGGGAAGAGAGAGATCATGTTACAAAGCCGTCTGATGTGCTTTACAATAAAAAGATCCAGCAACAAGTGGTATGAACTACAGCTTAACATAACAGAAAAGAAAATAAGAATTCACGTAAGCTTAGTTACTCTTAAGTAAGGTGCTGCTTTTCCTAGGTAAAAACTGGCTTTTTAAAATAGGTTTTCAAAATTACCACAATTTTAGCATTAATTTGGCAACACTATCTGATACTTTGCGGTACAAAGACTTGATAAGACTACAAAGACTGACTGTCTGTCTCCTAAGATTCTGAATAAACCAGCTCAACTGCCCAGAAGTGAATCTCAAACTCACCACAAGCCCATATGTCCACAGGCTTGCCGTAGGGATCCTTCCTCAATACCTCAGGAGAGAGATATCCAGGAGTGCCCGCAAACCCTGCCCAGCAGATCAGAAGTAGTGGGTTTTATAAACATATTTACTAAGGGTGTGTCTGTGTAGTTCCATGAATGCTTTAAATGATAGTGACCTGTTGCAGTATTATGCAAGACCAGATTATGACAGTGCAGAGTCACAAGCAACTGTCCACAAATCCTCTCATCTCTGTTGAGGAGTCAGCCAAATACTGGCAGCTCGGCTGTCAACCGAGACAGAATGACCCAAGCATGAACCAGAAAGTGGCCACAAGCCTTTTAATCAAGGCTCTCTGCAAATATTCTTTTGGCTTCTAAGTGGCAGCAGGTGTGTTTCTTTGCAGTCTTGCTGAGTGAAACAAGTCTATTCAGGCGATTATTCAGATCCATCGTGCCATCTCGTCATAGCTCAGCAGACGGACAGAGCAACAGATCAGGTAATCGCCTCACACATTTTGATACGAGTGTGTCACTGAATGTGTGTTCTTACCAAACCAAGCCTGCTGGTCTCCCTGCACCTCAATGGCGAGACCAAAGTCTGCCAGCTTCACTGCAGCTCCCTTCATCTTACTGGCCAACAACAGGTTCTCAGGCTGACACAACACACACACACACAGACACAAGGAGTGAAGCAAAATGTAGGACAAGAGATCAAGACAGTGAGAGACAGATAATTACGACCCTCTTCAGTAAAGCTCCTTCTTAGAAAAAATTATTTTTGATGTCTTTGACACAGCTTGTGTGGGGGTGGGGTAAAGGTGTGAGAAAGCGATGGGAGAGAACGAGGAGGTAGGGAGAGGATGGTTATTTGAAAATCTCCACAACACCTTATATGGACATGGGTTTGTAGCCATAGAAACCATTCGGGAGTCATTTAGGCAGCGCTGTAGACTGCATGCTAAATGGAAACTGTACTTAGTGAGAGGCGGGTGTGTGGTAGTGTTCTAAATGGCAGTTGTTTGGGCAGCGGGGCATAAAGGGACGCAGTAAAAAGCCCACTCAGGATAAAAGGCCAACAAATCAGACAGGCAGTGCTCGGGGTAAAAGCGTAATTCTGCAACACGGAGCATGCGCACTCCGAGAAGCACTGCCCACTCATGTCTCAGACATCCCTTGAGACCGTCCCCACACACAGTGCAATTGTATCATTCTGTTTATATTATTATCGTCCCTTATTCCTGGATGATGATGATCACCTTAAACTGGGTTAAGTGGAAAATTGGAGGTCGCTCTGAGGCTCTGTTCCTGTTCTCTTTGCATCTGAGCCTATCAGTGATTCCAGACAAGTGAAGCCCCTCCTATGCCGTTTGACGGCTGGTGTGATGTCATACGAGTTGTCCTGGCAACCCCTGTGGCTATACCCTTTACACGCGCACACACACACGAATACACGGTGTGTGTTTTAATGTATGTTTGTGTAGTGTCAGTCCTTGTGTTTTCTTAGCCATAGGTGAGAGACAATCGCCCTTCCATGTGGTCATGACTCAACATCTCTCTGCTCGCGAACACGCATGAATTCATGTGCATGTGCCCAGACGGAGAGCTGCACGCAGCGTTTTGGTCAAGGACAGTCAGGATGACAGATGTGACAACAGATAGAGGAACAGAGGGGGGAAAGCAGTAAACAATAGAGGGACGCAGAGAAGGGAAAAAAAAAGAAAGAAATGGAAGCAAAACTGCGGCGAGGAAGAGATACAGACGAGGCAACTGAGAGCCATCTGTGTGTTGCCATGGCCACGACCAGAGGTGTGTGAGAGTGTGTGGTTGTTACGGAAACGGGCAGCCACTCACCTTGAGGTCTCTGTGCACAATATCATGCTGGTGGATATGATTGACACTCTCCAAGATCTGACTAATGCAGTGACTGCAGAGAGAAAAAGAGGACAAAGAGAGATGTGTCAGCCGCTGACCTTCATTACAAAAACATCACATACACCAAACATTTGTCTGTCATGTGTTTCCTAAAGCCGGTGGGATTAAGGCGGGAGCACGAAACCGATGCATTTCATTACGACTGTTTAGAAATCAAAGAATATTAAGCTGACAACAGTTATGTAATAACGTGTAAACATTTCAACTTTTTCAGAGACTTAAGTATGATGTTTTAATGATTTGTGTGTGTGTGTGTGTGTGTGTGTGTGTGTGTGTGTGTGTGTGTGTATGTGTGTGTGGAGGGGGGGGGGGCTTTGAAGTTTGGAACATTGAGATGTAAAGTGAATTGAAAGCACTATTCTGTTGTCTGGTCAAATGTACAAATGTCCACAGTTTCCAAGCAGAAATGGAACCGCTGGGGTTTCAAGCACTATGCAAAGCCAGTGGGTGCTTAAGGTTGAGACTGATGGTATTACTGCAGCACACCATCAATGTACTGTTAGGCACAAGAAGAATTGAATGGCGCACCTTGGCACAAACACACAAAACGACACAAAAGCAAAGAGAGAATGTTTTATAGCTCCCCATTACTCTTTTAGAGTTTGTAAATCAGGAAGAATACATTGAAACGGACTTCATCCGTCCTTAAGGCTGAAGCTGCTAAAGAAATGCCAACAGGTACTGGTGATCAGAAGCCAAACTTTAAAACTCATACAGTGCACAGACGCTTAATGACCTACTTCAGTCCTATTTTTATCCTCATAGAACAGATATATTCTGCTCTTATGCCCACTGTAGCGAGTTTCCCTGACTATTGTGGAAGCAATAGTAATGCAGCAGCTGCTGCTGGAGCAGCAGCTCGCATACAATACATATTCAGCACAGCGTGAGCGACGACCAAATTACATGTAATCTTTATAATGAACACAAATCTCCACATGAGCTGTGCCTACTGCGAGTAACTACAAAGGCAGCTTGTGACAACACGTGTGTAAATCTATCTGTTGTACAAAAGTAAGAAAAAAAAAAAGCTAAATTCATGGAGTTTTTTTTAAAGGGAAATTCAAGATTACGCCACTTTGGTGGCTGCTGATAGAAAAGGCAGTATATGTACATTTAAAAAAAAATGTAATGAATAGGGTTGCTTATGATGTACCGAAGTACTGAACCATTATTTTTGGCCCCAGTAAAAAAATCAGCATCTGCTTACAAAAATTATGGCTTTATGCAGATATTGTGTGCTCTCATTACAATTTTATTAAGAGCAGAAAAAAAACGTATATGTTGACAGTTCTGTCTAGAATCACATCAAAACAAAAGTATGTTTAATTTCCAAAACATCGGATGCCAGCATAAAAAACTCTCCAGAAGTAAGGAGGCAGAAAAATATATATTTTTCACAGGCATTTAAAAAAAAATGAAAAAACAACGAAAAACATCTAAAATGAATTTACTTCTGAAAAATTCAGTCTTTTGGAGCAAAAACAGGCAGGAGGACAAAGCGTGCTAAATGGGAGCTGAGAGACTAGTATATACCCGCACTTGTTGACAGGAGGATGCATTTCCTGACAAGACTACAAGCAAATCAATTATGAGCGTGAGCAGACAAGGACCAAGTGGTCCAAATAACATGAGGGTGTGAAAACACATATTGGATGGCATAAGGCTGCCTGTCTGCAACAATGCGAGTGCACACGTTTGTGTCGGAGGAGATCCATCGGAGGAGCTTACCTGGCATCAGCCTCGCTGTAATACTCCCTGGCTACTATGTCTTCAAAAAGCTCTCCCCCTGTCACACTGGGAGGGGGGGGGGGGGAGGGAAGGGGGACAGAAGGAGGCGACGAGGCAGAGAGAGAGAGAAGTTGTTAGCATACACAAACAAACCGCAGTCACATGCATGGATAAAATGTCACGGTGTGCGTGGATTGAATATACTCACAGGTCAAAGACTAGGTAATGAAAGCCTTCCTCTGAAATGCTGTCATGCAGTCGCACTGCAAGAGAGAGGGGAGGGGAGTGAGGCCGAGGCACAAAGACAGCGGCTGGATGAAAGCAGCTCGTTTTAAGACGAGTTTGACAGTTACATTTCCTCAAAAACTTAAAGGAGAGAAAAAAACAAGACGCGTAGAAACAAGTGTCAATGAACGTGGAATTTTACTGCTGAAAATCACAATTTGACCACATGAAGTGGCTGTTTTAAGAGGCTCCACCAGCAGCACACATAAAGGGTGGAGGCTAAATGAAATGTGCAGTTTGTGGACCAAGAACAGTGGCGTGAAACCGAGTTAGCACCTACAGGTCAGGCTTCCTTAAGGCTAAAGCTACAGAATAAACTTGTTCTGGCTATACAGTGTGATGCGAGTCATTTCCTGTATGTACATGATGGTGCATTGAAGTTAAACTGTAGGAAGTCTGTCAAATCTTTACCACAGTGAAGCTGGTATGCTTCTCTCTTCTTTAAAGTAAATGGTTTCCAAGTCGTTCATGCTTGTTTCTATGTTCTATAATGTGTTCTACACAGACAAAATTTATATTCAATGTGGAATAATCACAAATGAACACATTAGGGCCAACATGGCTATCGGTCTACAGAGTACAGACTCCAACACATGGACAGAAAAGGGCATGGAAAGGGGCCACCCAATTAGCAAGTCATCCTCACAATATCTAAAATATACACGAACATAAAATGTCAGTGGTTTAAAAAGTACAGTCCTATTTTTAAAATGGTAAATGGAACAACCAGTCAAGCTTATTCAGTGGTGTTTTTAGATTTTGTGGCTGAACCAGGTTTGCCCCTCCGTTTGTGGCAGATGATGCCCTCATTCAAAATGAATACGTGCCTCATTATGAGCGGCCGAAATCCAGGGCAAAAATTTTAAATGTTATTTGCTTGAGGAGGACTGTAGAAATGTTTCATGATTGCTGGTATGGAGATAAGCGAGGGCTTGGTAACGAGGAGAGCTGGCGAACACAGTAATGAGCTCATACTGCCATGACACTGTGGTAACCACCCAAACCCTCCTGTCAACTTAACAAAACAGCAGCAGCATGACGAAGCAAGAAGCAGGCAGCAGGACTCTGGCACCGGGCATGGCCTGAGATACACTTTAAGCCTGGTGTCAGCAGAGGAACAGTTATCCTTATGTAAAATGAATATCAGTTGTATAATAAGATGAAGTACGATGCCCCTGCAGCAAGAAACAAGAGCGACTGCTCTTTCCTCCTCCTCCTCCTCCTCCCATCTTTTCGCTCTCTCTCCATCTGTCTCCTACTCCTCCTTCTTACGTCTCTCCATCTGTCTCTTTTTGTGCCCTCTTTTGTCCAAAGTTTGCGTTCAGATGATGCAAAGATATGTCAGAAAGAGCAGAAGGGACACGGGTGGGAGGAAAATCTATAAAGAAACTGGAGTATAGCTGGAGGATTGGGCAAAGATTAATGCAAGATGCTGCAGGGAAACTGGGACGTGAGGAACAGAGAAAGAAGGAGAGCAGCCCGAAAGGTGTCACTGACTTTCATTGTCACCCTTGAGGAAAAAAATTGGTTTCGTTACCGTCGGGTACAGAGTTGCTCAAAGGTAAATTTCACATCTGCAAGATGCGACCTCCTGCACTGTGGGACTATGTGGAAAATGGAGCCATCATTCCTACAGAATCTAGAATTTTGCGATGGGTGGATCTTGCAGGCGGTGCATTTTAATTGATCAGTGTCCAGATAGGACTCGATCCAATGCAGCTGCCTGAAGTGAAAGCTTCAGGTCGCTGTATCATTTTTGTCTGACTGGTCTGAGACATTTCTGCCCCAATATCAGAACTTTAAAAGAAAAAGAAAAAAGGATCTGGTGTGTGCACTGTTGCTCCTTTCTAGACATGTACGAAAATCCCTGTATGTGGTCATCCATGTGCGTATATATTCACTAACTTATTATATGAAATCTTTTCAAACTGAATGAAAAAAACAATATCAAATATTATCTATCCTGATAATTCAATTGTGTATCATTTAACACAGGCTACCTTTAAGTAGCTGGATGGTAGAGTCAGCAGGAGATAACCTGCTGCGTGATGGGAAACGCTTTTGTTGTGCACGTCTCCTTTTTCCATCCCCATTAACATTTAATATTCAGGTTCTTGAGCTCTACACGTGTCCCTGTAATATCTGCACCACTCTCTCTCATCGTGAGATAATATTTTCTGAATTAAACGCAAGGTCAAAAAAGTTTAAGCTGCAGCCGGAGGGGTCTCGTACACCAAGCTGAAAATCAGCTGCCGGGAACATCTGGAGCTCTCGTCTCACACACCATCTTCCCTGTCAGAGCCGATCATTATTACATGATTCTCAGTGGACTCGGTAAGTTGAATCAGTGTCTGTTTTGTCAGTAAGTAACATTGTTCTGTCTGATTGTTCAGCTGAGCTGGAGAATCCATGAGCTTACCAACTGAGAAGGTTTTTTTTTTTTCACCGCCTATCTAAAACCTACAAGCCGCCCTGTGATAATGAAAATACTGCAACAAGTATAAACCTCACATAGAAGAAGCAAACTAAAAAAGTCCAACGATAAAACACTATTGTAAGACTAAAAGACAGACCCTCCCGTAGGAGTAGATGGTACATCCCAGCTGGCCTTAGGACGTGGTCCTTATGGTGTGGTTCAAGTGCAACTGTTGTTCTGATTGGTCTGATTAAGTTAAGAGATCCATCTGGACGTCCTTTTGTTGCTACTTGCTTCTGGTTCTTAACATCAGTTAAGTAAAACTGATGTAAAAACTGCGTACACGCTCTCTGCAGCAGAAGCAAACCGAGACTGAACAAACAAACGCACATTCAGACCCATATTTCTGGTCGTCCGTGCCACTGACACCAAAGCTAAAGGTAAATACGCATATCAGAGATGGAAGTGAAGGTGTGTCCCCATTCTGTAAAAAAAATACTTAAAGAACAGACATCCGTGTTGTTCTTCTATTCCTTATGGTTTTTAAAAATGATTTTTGGTCTTGTACACTTGCCCAACCCCCCAGCAGATATCAATCCAAACTCATACTTAGTCGGCACACACTATGCAAAATTGGGGGTTCTGGTGGCTGGACACAGAGAGAACTGGTAGAACATCCTCTCAGACTGAATGAAGTGTAAATAGCCTTGTATAAGCAGTGGAACATTAGCAGTTCCGGGTGCTGCATTTCCACATGTCACTGAAAATGTCAACAGGGAAAAATCAAATCATTCCAGATTCATTCTACATGAGGTACAACATTTGGGAGGTCCTTTCCTTCCTGCTCACACCCAGCAGAGGGACAGCATGGCAAACATCACACACATTTGGTCACGAGCACAGACACTCACCGATATTGGGATGCTTCAGGAGACGGCAGATTCGAGCCTCTCTCTCAAGCTTCTGATGGTCTGAGCAGAAAACACAAATAGAAAACAAAGTTAAGGTGAGTGAAACAATGAAGGAAGAAGTCTGAAACTGATAAACAAAGAAGAAACATTAATAACCAGGCAGTTAGAGGGGATGTGCACCAAATAATAGGAGAAGAAGGGCCACTGTCACCAAATAACATCTTACTTCAACAGCTTATTAGTAGTAATTAGCTAAACTGATATTGTCACAGACCTAAAAAAACCCCCAAAAACCTAGATGTAAAATTAAATTCATAAACATCTTTTTGGACCAAATAAAAAGTTGAATGCGAATTTGCAAAAAAGAGGGGGGGAAAAATTAAAACAGTTAAAACAAAAAAAAGCCTTACTCTTTAAAAGTGCAGAGCAGCATTCATCTTAGTCGACTGAGCTCTTAGAAAAGAGTGTGTCTGTATTTGGCACAGGAAACCATCACTTGCGATGTATAACCAAAGATTTGGGTGGTACAGATTGAAGTGTCACAACCACAGAGTGGAAATGAGACAGAAGCCATTTAACACATGAACACCAGATAATGTTTGGACTTTGCCCTCCCTTTCACACACGCAATGCACAGCAGGAGACTCACTGCATGGGATGTGTTTTCACAACTCGGCATACTCCTAAGTGGGGCCTCCAAAAGCCGAGCGGAGGCAGGACATGATGCACACGCGGTGTTTAAAGAACATTTTGGATGTAGACGTGGTTTGCAAATTCTCCTTAATGATGGAAAGAGTAAAAACTAAAAACATATGAAGCAGCAACAAATGTCAGCGTGCAAATGGAGCTCGCTGTGATATCTCAGAGAATTTCGACAGTTATTTCAGATCATGTTCAGTTTGAATGAATTTATCAGAAAAGTATCAAGTAAACAGGAGGATAGCAGTCAATGAGAGCGAAGGCTGGACTAAAAAAAAGGAATTAAATACTTGGACCGAGACTGATCAATAATAAGTGCTTCAGGAGTAGCTGCATTTGCCTCCAAACCAGGGAACAGACCATTTGTAGGTTGGAGCATCGACATTAATCATGTTTGCAGGTGGAGAGTCGACCCATTCAACTGAACCACCGCCCTTGTCCCGGTGTACATGTACGGGCAGGAATCAAACTACTGAGTCAAGTTTGTCAACTACCAGAAAGTGTGAAAAAGCATTCTTGCTTCTATGATTGTTCATCATCTATTTCCATGCTTCTAACCTCCTCTGTGGGAGATCCTCATAGATGTAAGCACTGATGGGAACTTTACATCACTCGAGGTCCATTTAAATGAAGCATCTTGATGCTGGTGGTTTGATCTCCACCTACACAGGTTATAGGTAATATTCAAGCATTTCCCCATGAATGAGCGTATTTGCAGAGGTCTGTGATAAGCCAGTAACAGAACGCTGCAGTGTTTACACACTGCAGACCGGGAGGAGATGCTCATGAGAACACACACCAGACAAACCGACATGCTTATTCCGGGATTGGCTGGAATCCTGTTGTAACACTGTGTTTGTGGACTCGTCGGGGATGTCGGTGCACAAAACACTAAATACCGCTAAATTATCTAATCGCTATGGGATGCGATGGCCACAAAAACATCCCCCGGCCGCGCAGCTGAGGTCAGAGGGCAGGCCGAACTGTAAAAAACATCAAGCATGACTCAGTGTGTGTGGACATGCGCGTTATCTCTGTGGTTAAGCCAACTAACGCCACAGCTCTGTGGCGATTGCATGACACAGTGGCAAGCTGGCGAAGATTTGCATTCATTTCCCCAAAGCAGCAACAACCAAGATAAAATGCACACGCTGTTGCCGAGCCACCAACTATCACCTTATCCGACTGATCTTTTGCAGCTCGCGCGGGCGTAATACAAGAGCACATTATTATAATTGGAGCATCCCTCGCTACACGTTTGAGATCCTGCCCGGCCGTCGTGTCCAACCTCTCCTGGGCACGTTTCCTTTAACTTGTTGCTCATTTGGACGCATTTTAAAGCGGCTGACAGGTGTTTGGAGGCACCGTCTGCCTCCCTCTAACCTCTCTACCGTGTCCCTGCAGGTGTAGTTTTCCCTCATCTGAGAGAAAGCGAGTGGATACGAGAGAGAGACCTGAACCTCCTTCTAATTACACTGGTGACGCAGGACGGAGGGACAGACAGAGACGGAGGGAGGATTACATGGAACGTCCATTTGCTGGAAGAGGATCACAGCTCCCCTGTGTGTGTGTGTGTGTGTGCGTGAGTGTTTTTGTACAATTGCCTACCCTGGTGCAGTGTCACTGCAGCACTCACTAATTCATTCAACCTCCTTATTTGTTGATGTGAGTGTGTGTGGTAGTGGGAGACAGGAAAGAGAAGGCTGGAGGGTAATTACTGGCACTTCCTGCTGCTTTCTAATTGGCCATCTGCTTTGCCATGGGGCGGGCCTACAGCCATCTTACATCAACTGAGAAGGATGGAGAGAGCCCGACAGCACACACACACCCCTGTATCTGCTACATGAGGCTGACAGTCTGACAGAAGACTTGAGGTTTCAGTCCAGTATGTTTCAAGTTATCAATCTAAACTGTGAGAAATCAACCGGAGCACCTCAATACTGTCGGTGTCTTTTCACCGATAATGTTTTGTATTTTAAGGCCGGCTTGACTCTGGCTGACAAATGCAGCATCCTGTCGAGTCACTTTAATACTTTAATGACGGTATTTATGAACAAACATTAAAGATACCAATCAAATGAATCATTTGACGACACAGTAGTGTTTTGTTAGGATAAGCAAATAGCAATTAATCAATCAGATGACTAAGCTGAATGCATTGTGTTGCTCCTGGGCTTCTTTTCCAGGAGTGCCCTCTTTTACTGTGGTAATGTTAGCAAAATTGTGAACAGGATGATGCAGACAAGTTAGTGCACGCCTTTTTTCCTTAAAAATGTAGTCTTTTGTAATTCTTTACTATTGCAGAGTCCCAAAACCATCTATCAGAAAATTATATATCCAGAGTTCTGGTTTTAGATCTTTACAGTTTCCCTGTTAAATTCAGAAAAGAATTTAAATTTTCTCTTAGCACATATAAAGTTTATAATGATCAAGCTACATTAGATCTTAAAGATGAAAAAGCTCAACATGTTCAAAAATGAGTACTTTCCTATGAACACTGCACACTTTATGCATTTGATTAATCACTGGAGTATAACACATTTACATGCCATCACTGCCCTTTCACACATGATGTGATGAAAACAAGAGGTTAGTTTGAATATGTTTATTCTATATTTTCCCACTCAGTTATTGCTATCAAGTCATTAATGGAAAAATAAAGGGAACAAGAGATAAGTGACGGGTGATATACACGACAGCGCCATCAATTTCAGAGCAGGTGCCACGTTCACATTTTTCTTTTCCAGTCGGCCACCCCTGCTGCAGTCCTCGGTCGCAGTGGCCAGGTATCCTCCCAGCAAAAGCTCATCTGCATTATGCTGGTGCCACATAAGAAGTGAAATTTTGTGGTGATGTGAATGAACAAGGGGTGGCCATTTTAGTTGCCATGGCGAGCCACAACACACGATACCTACGTCAGCTATCTGTTAGAGAGCCGCTTTGAATTCTCGTCGGACAACAATGTTCATGCCTGCCCTTTTTTGCTTTCAGAGAGCAGAGGAATCGATAACTGATCATAGGAGCGCTCCTTTTCAGTTATGACTGCTGAGACTGCAGATTGCTTTTTTATTTTATTTTTTTCAAATACCAAAGTGTCTTAGAAAATCAACAAATTTTACAGCTGCAGACTAATCTCACGGCTATCACGTACACATTTTTTCCACAGGTTTGTACGGCTGCATGTGAGGATGAAGTCAACACTCTTAATACACCGAGTGAGTCGTCTCCTGAACAGGGAAAGTGACAAAAGAAACATAACACCAGCACTATTCACACTGGCGTGGGCACTGATTCAGGGGTTTGGAACGAGGCTGCACACAGTGCTCTGCTGCTAAGACTAATAACATTAACAAAGAGGCGTTGGCCACGAAAGGTGAATAGTTAACCAAATGGATTGAGGTATCAATATGAAAAACTGCTGAGCAATAACCACATCCAAAATCATTTTCAATGAGGCCATTGTTCAGCCTACAAGCAGTAACTGTAGGACACCAACAAAAAGCATTGAAGTAGTGCTTTAAAGAGGATGGTCTAGCTCACTCTGACTCTCACAAACAATTGCGCACACGCAAATAAATACACACAGCGTTGCAGCAGACAATGCATCGGCCCTCCAGTTTCCAGTGTCACTTCAACAAGAAAACAGAGCATTCATTCTGCACAGATAAGCTCCTATTACACCTACGCAGCATTTTATGCACAGCCGCGATAACCAACACGGTGTGCATGCATGTACATCACGCACGACGACAAATCACTGACCGGTGGTCGGCCAACGTAGGCAGAAATCTGCATAAGGCTTGCAGCTCCAGACTCACAAACCTAAGAAGCCTTCGACCCTCCCACTCAGGTTTGAGTGGGAGGGTAGAAGGCTTCATACGTTGAATTAGAAACAGCCGGTGCCTCTAGTGATTTAAAAGCAGGTTTAACATCAAAATCATCCAAAGTGCCTCATTTGTTTGAATGTTCTTTCTTATCTAACTTCACAAACCACCTGGGTTGACCTGATTAGCCTCAGCAGTGGCACTACATCCTAAGTATTACCTTGTGTGGCAAAAGATCAACTATAAGAACAAAAGGAGACACTAAGCAAAGAAAATGGCTGTGCTGTAATTTTGAGAGAGAGAATAGCTTTTTAACATTTCTCTCACACGTGCAGACAAACCAGTTGTGTTGCTACTGACTGCTTTTCTCTCAGTTGTGTGTGAGCTGCTGCTACTGGCTATTGGTCCAAAATGTTTTAAGAATCTAAAATTCACCAGCGGCTTAACTATAAAATATCCAAACACACAATGATATGGATTTAAAATCTTAGGTTCAGTGGGCAATTTTGGGTGCCTGAAACACATTGGTAAGCTTAGAAATGAAATCCAGTTCCACAAGTGCACTTCGCTGATGTTGACACATGTTTCAATGCAGTTAGTTGAAAAGTCTCTCCCTTTTTGGGGGGTTACTCTGCAGTGTAAGCAGTAACTGCAGAAGCAATCACTTCTGTGGGACTTTCTGGAATTGAATTAGGCTTTTCAGTTGTCTGAAAGGCTGTGCAGAGGCATCAGTATTTGTTGAACAGCCACAGAACCTATGCTGGAGCATTTATGACGACCATTTATACCTGTGAAAAGCCTGTCTGCGACCATTTGCCGTCAGAGCCTCGAGGAAACAGCGCTTGGCATTATGGAAATAAACAAAAAAAGTGTGTGCTGATAAATCATATTTGGAGAGCTAATAAATGTTTAGCCACCCAAAAAATTTCTGGAACTTACTTAGGATTAAAAAAAAAGGGGAAAAAATGCAAAGAAGTTGATGCATACGAGCAGTGAACCACATGATTTCTCACAGAGCTGTAACAGGAGTAGACGTGTAATCAGGACACCTATCAGGACCCTGATCCGACACCTGAGGTTAGACATACACATTCTAATCAACAACCTGACTAATACTTGGATTGGCCAAAATCTAATCAAGGATCTAGGTTTCTAAATATTTGGTGAATAGGATTTTCCCTCAAAAATGTCAAATAAATTATAGCTCTTTGTTTTTAAAAGGATTTTGATTGGGCTTTCTTGCTCTAGTGGTTATTCTAATAATCAAGAAATTCTCCACTTGCATTCCTTTTGCAACCCAAAACAAGCAGCTAACATGTTGTTTCAGCATGACTTCTTGAACTGAGAACATGTTGCATAATCCGTTTATCCATTTTCAATGTTAAGTGATTTTTGTGCATTTTGCCATGCACTTGCATCCATCTAACTGTGCAGGGGGAAAACACTACACCTATCCAACATCGCATCCTCCCTCATATCCTTCCTTCTCTGGTTTCCTAACTTCCTTCCTTTCCCCTCCCCCTACTCAGATTACTGCAGTGTTTACCAGAGCTTTGAGAGACTTACCCACCAGGCCACGCGTGAGGCCACACTCACCCTGTCAGGCTAAAAAAAAACCTACCCAAATCCTACCGGGCAGGCTGCCTGGTCACGCAGTGATGGCCTAGTGGAGATGTTGTGTTTTGTTAGCATGTTGGTGCACGGCTCGTCAGAAACCTGCTTTTCACTCCCCCCCCCCCCCCCTCATCACATAATACACTCCTTCCTTTCCCGTTTAGAGTTCATCCGTCTCATTTTATAATTTCACCTCACTTCTCTGGGTGTCACTGTGCTCCTTGCAAGACAACACTGCTCAACATCATCATCCTTTCATGGCTAACACACATACACGCAGCACACATGCCTCCACAGTTCTTCCTGCCTCTGCAAAGAGCCCACAGCTTTCTGCTGAGCACTTACTTTTCCTCAGTGGGACATAAATACTAGAAGCTGCTCTACGTGGACACTTGATGGCAGGGATAGAACAATAATAGCATTACAACACACTCACACAAAACAGGCATGCTTTATTAGAATTACTCTTTGCTTCGTCTGCCTCCCCTTTGTACGCACACACATGCCGTCAGACAGACAACAGGGCAAACAGGGAGGTGCCTATGGAATCTGTGTGGTCTTAGTAGTTGATGAGATACATTTAGCATAAGTGGATTAGCCTCATTACAAACCAATCCCCCTTCGCAGGAAGACAAGAGACAAGCAGAGAGGGAGAGAGGTGTAATGGTGACAGGAGGGTGGAGGAAAAGAATAAAGGGAGACAAGTGAATCTTAACACCAGAAAGTAGACATCATGTCCGCCTCGCCAGATACAGAAAGGAAAAGAGCAATGGCGTATCTTAGTCTGAAGCCAAGAGAGGACCTGACACAAAGACATGGGCGAGTGTCATTTCTTAAAGTGACATCGGGAATGTACACGTCAGTGCACAAGCAAAGCAGCAAAATCATTTTGATGCATCACGAGTACAACTGGCTAGTTAGGACGGCCAGGCCCCGATAGCACTGTCTCTGGATGGGGGGTAGTTTACAAGGAAAAACAGAAGGGGTTCCATATCGATTCCCTTTAGCCTCCTCATATGTGGATGCTGGTTGTTAGGAGGTAAACAAGGGGACTGAATCCTTTCATCTTACAGTGGCTGACCAATCAGACAATACAGCAGTGACTGAGAATGTTTCTGTCCCACTAAAAAGAAGCTGCTGATGAGAACTTCTCTCAGCATCAACATACCACAGCTGAAAAGTGTCAAACTGCTTTGTGGTAATATTTGTTTCCTTGGATTTGGCCATCAATAAAACTGCCACAAAACCGCTGTAGCACTTCCGATTTTCATTGATGAATTGCTTCCCAAAATAATATCCTGAAACTTGACTGTAAGCGAAAAAATAAATGTTTAAAATAGACACTTCTTCACATTTGACAACCCAACAAGCGTGTGTGTGGCGTTACCATACCTCTTGCAGAAAGCTTCTTAGTGTTGATTATTTTTGCAGCATACTCCTGTCCTGATGACTTCTTTACACACCTACGCACCACTGAAAAAGCTCCCCTAGGAAGAAACGACAAAAACAAACAAAAATTACTTCCATTTCACCTGTTTTATATCCGAGATACACAAAGTGAGACATTTGCTGCTGCAATCCACTCATGTGGCAGCGGCTTGTTTGTGTATGTATGTTAACGTCCAAGCTCTGTTTATTTCACAAACGCACTATAACGACATCTGTGTAGACAACATAAAAAGGTGATACAATTAAGCAGTAGCCCAATAAATAAATTCCAATTTGTGACATGCACACATCACCATTCAACTTGTCAGCAGACTAAATCTAGTGTCAAAGCCATTGCAGACACTGAGCAGAATCTGCCACATTAGTCCACATTTAATACATTCCCTGTTCCAAACACACTCAAACACGCAAGCAAGCACTCAATATGAGCGCACTACAAAATGACTGCTTCTCTGAAGAGTTGCACATTGACGTATATGAACCGTTTTGAGCGTTACAGAAGGAGCAGATGTACTTGACTTTTGTAGCCAGCCAGCACACTCGGTAAGATTCTAGTCCTCCAGGTTTCCTGACGGAGGAAGGCTGCTTTTTACGGCTCCCAATGATGCATTGAGCACTGCTGCTTTCTGCTGCACTCTTCCCCTGCTCTTAGTTTCAATTATTTAACAGCAAATGAGAGGTGACAGGTGACACAAGTACAAGCCAGCGCAGGGACGTTAATGACCTATGACGGAGCGAAATGCACAAACATACGGGCGCGGAAACAAAAGCAACGGTAACTGCCAAGTTTAGCGAAGGATCAGGAGCAAGCGAGCCCAGACCCACTTTGGCGGATGGGTAGGTGTGTGCATGTGTGTGGGCACATCGGCTGTGCAATCAGTGCCATCGATTCCTGTCAATTATAAGGGACAGAGTGGCAATGGCTGCTGGAAATTAAGGCCAGTGTGTCTTTATGGGACCAGCGTTGGCCTGCCGCTGCTGATTTGGGTACAAGAAAGGGAGGAAAAGAAAAAAAAAAAAGCTTTCAGTGGGTACAGCTGCAGATGATGCTGCTGAGGCAGAGGATGTGGTCCTCTGGTTCAGCTGCCGCTGTGACCTAAGGTGAGAGACTAACTTCACTATATAGAAAGAATTTAAACCAAAAAAATAAGCTTTTTGCATTGTATTTACATAGCTCCAAGGATTAGATCTCTGCTTTTTTTTTTTAAATGCTGGTTGAATCGTTTTAAGCCCAATCGACGACGCTCATAGGCTGTCAGTGTAGTACAGTCAGTCATCGCAGCTTCACCTAATACATCTTTAAAAACCTGCGATCGTCTCTGCAATATAAAAATATATTCCACGCTTTGTGGACATCTTTTATTTTTATGGCCGATGCCTATAATGTACCTGCAACACAACACTATAAAACATTCACTCGGTGGCCATAGAACTTGCATTATTCATGCACTCAGTGTCACAGAATTTGGAGTTACAGTCATCCCCAATGGGAAGAAAAAACACACCCCTGCATCCCACACACAGCAGGATGCAGGGGTGCACTGCCGTGCATTAAAAAAAAAAAAATGACTGCTGCAACAGTCCACGTTTGGAAGGAACGTGAAATACGCATAAGGATAACCTGCCTTTGGGGACAGCTGGGGACTGGGGCGTACTGGTGTTGCAGTGCAAGCATTAAACCGGCGTAGCCACGTCCGAATAACTTCCTCATAAAAGTGATCTTAGGGGGGTACGCAGCGTTGCTCAACACGGTTCGACAAATCATCTGCAGCTGCTAGGGGTGGGAGAAAAAAAAAAAAAAAAAAAAAAAAAAAAAAAAAAAAAAGTGGCCGGCCTAGTTAGCTCGCGATCACAGCCGCAGGTAGACCGAGCCCGCGCGGAGCTGTCAGAGCCGCGGGCCGGCGAAATGTCAGCGGGTTACGTCCCCGGCTTGTCTCCCCGGGGCCCCGCTGTCGGGTCCAAACGACCAGAAAAAAAACGAAAAAAAAAACGCCGGTTGTTCAACACGCAAGGGGCGAACAGCTGTTAATGAGCCGACCTCCGTGCAATTTTATTCATCCGCAATTGCCAATGAAAGGCGCAGTGATAGCGGGCTAACTTGGCTAGTTTATCAATATCAGCGTGGTAGCTCGTTGGCTAGTGGGTGAACCCAAGTGCGCCGTCTCCCGTTATTGCGGGAGCAGCTAGTTAGCCAATAGCAGCGGTTATTTAGCCCGACTGCAGCACGGATACCGCTGCTCCGGTTCAAACACATATGTGGAGCAATGCCTTCATTTACATGTACGAAACACAGTTAAGTCGTCAACGTGGCAGGTCATATTAGCAAATTTCGGGTTCATATCACCTGCTAGCGGGCTAAAGAGAAATAATATGAGGCGAGGTTGTTGCGGGGGTGGGGGACAAAACGACAAGACAAACACGATGCACACTGCTGCTTACTTCCCGAGCTCCTCGTAGAGCTGGTACTCGTCGGTAAACCGGGTGGAAGTACCGGTGGTTGCCATGGTTAGAGCCGTGTGAGGGGAGCCCAAGCCTTAGGGTACGACGGCGGCTGGCTCTCGTACGGGGTCCGAGAGGGGGTAGCCTAGCCTCCAACACTGGAGTACCTTTCTGACAGGCAAACAAGACTGAAGAGGAGAGTGTCGAGCAGAGACGGAAAGGGAGGGGCTGGGGAGACGAGGAGGAGTGATGATCGTGGTGGTGTGCGTGTATGTAACTCGCGTATATGGATGTGTGTGTGGTATAGGGGAGAAAACCTCGCGAGAGTAGCCTCGTGCAGCACGAGATCTGTCCTCTCAGTTTGATGAAGTCATTGAAAACGTGGGGAGACGATACTGCTGAATTACTTTACTCATTTAGACAAAAGCCGTGGCTTTTTTAAGAATAACAGATCTTGGTGAAAATATACCTGGTGCAGAAACATGCACGACTCTGTGATGGTGTAGATGAATGGCTGAATAACAGCTTTAATAACCATCTTCTGTAAGTGTCTACATAAAACATCTGGTTGAAGCCAGGCCCTGACAACACACTTCAAAGTACTACAGTTTTTATAGGAATTTCATAGGTAAATCCATTCTAAAAAAAATGGCATGACAACAATGCTTTGTTTTGAATAGTTGCTTTTAAAGAAAATAACATCCTATAGAAATGTACAGTGAACAGTAAAAACCACAAAAAAGCACAATAATGTACGGGAAAGAAAAACTAAACAAATGCAGCATATCAACACAAGCACCTCAGACCAACCTTCAAGTAAAGACGTACATGGCCGATGTTTTGAACTTGCTTTGCAGTCACAGGACATAAACACCTTGCGGTCATGGTCGACCGCCAACTCCTCTGAATATCAAAGTATTGTGGACTCAAATGTGAGTTCATCTGTCCCACAGCCAAAGCTTGTCTGAAACTGGGTCATCAACCAGACAATGATCTTAAACACAGCAACAAGCCTATGACATAATCTCTGAAAAGGGAAAGGGTCAAGGGGTTACGATGGTCCACCCAAAGTCCAACGTTAACCTTAAGAGAGGTGCGCATTAACAAATGCTGCACAAATAAAAGAACTGAAACAGCATCGTGAAAAAGATGGAGTCAGATAAAATCGTTAGAAAAAAATAGGAGTTTGCTGTATTTAGGTTTAGTTTCTATTCAGTAGATGTGGACATAGTGCAATATGTGACATGCCACTGTTAATCTGAAGTTCTGTTCAGCTCATAAGAGCCAAATGACTTTTTAAATCATCTCTGCACGGATAAAACCTTTTTATACGACTTTATCTTTCAAACATTGCAGGGAACATCCCAGCGGCAGTTTGCTGCTCGGGTTGGGATGCACCCAACCTCAGGGTCACAGCTCACTGCAGCAGAGGCGAAGTCACAGACTGATTATGAAACAACAGGCTCCTGGGCACAGAGGGGAACGAAGACCCCCACCCCCCCTGCTTGTCCTCCAGGGAAGATATGCACACAGATGAAAAGAGACACATACCACAGGCAGCTCAGAAATGATTCATCGTTGATTTGGTTTTCTATGTGATCAATGGCTCATTTTTCTTGCATTACATTCTTTTTTCTTAATCAGTGTTTTATGTTCTGTTTTGGTCTCTCTGGATTTGATTTTGTTTCCTAATTTAAAACCATAATCTTTTCCTCTCAATTAATGTCTCATCCTGATTGATTTGCATGTCTTAAGGGATGATTTTGTACATTTGTGTCCAATTTTGGTCCTTTTACTAAATGTACAGCATTTTTTGGGCTTTAAAAAAGCTAGTTTTGACTCTCATTTTGCTCTGTTTTTAATCAATGGGTAATCTCTCTTTTTTTTAATCTTTTCAACTGTTTCTCACTCCTTTCGGAAATCTTATCACTCATTTTTAATCTCTTATTTGATTGGCTCCTATTTGATCTCTTTGCTTCTTCCAGTAAGGATTCTATATGCAGGACTTACTATTTTGAGAGTCAAATTTAGGTTGTTTTACATTGCAGTGTTTATTTGTGCAGTAACATTTTTCTGGTAATATTATGATAATTTACCCGTGAATATTTTATGTCTCAGTTCAGTTAGTTCATGTCTTGTATAAATGTATTAAATTTAGAGTTCATGAATGTAATTTTGCAATATTTTGCACCTTTTGCTATATTCTGGGAATTATATTGTAACCCTCTTATTTTGTTGTTTTGGTTGCTTTGCATCTCCATGTGTTTGTAAGTCTGATATTATTTGGTATGCAACTGATTCTTGTCACAGCATCTTGCTTTAATTCCCAGTGTTTAATTCTCCTCTTTGTTTAATTTTGTGTTTTTTTTTAGATATATGTATTTCTGAGAGGAGATCCGGGGTGGCCTGGCTCCTCGGGCTTAGGGGACATTAAGTACTTTGCTCATGGACTAACTATACCACACACAAACACACGTACACACACACACAATGTATAAGTAAATGCATGTAGAGACATACATGCTGTTATCTGTTAATCAGTACCGGTCTGCTTCTGTGAACCAGTGATTTTTCCTTGTAGTTCAGGGCATGTATTTGTATATGGAGAAGAGAGGTGGGGATAGGTAGTAAGAATAGTGTGACTGCTGTATCACGTTTCCACTGACGAGCAAGCACCTATGTTTTTCCACAGTGTGAGGGCTGTTAGCTTGGTGGCGCTAAAAGATGGTGTCACACAGATCCAGAGTGCCTCACTAAATGTTTAATGTGGCATGAGTGGGAGGCCATCAGAGGACAGGCGGGTGGGGCTGCAGGGATCTACAGAGCTTGAGAGTTACAGTTAGAGGCTGCGTGTGTGTGTGTGTGTGTGTGTGTGTGTGTGTGTGTGTGCGTGTACATCTGCATGCTCAGCACTCCAGCTCAGAGGTGGGACAGCAAACAGCACTGACAAACAGAGAGGGAGCAAAATTGCGATTTCACTTGAAACCCTTTTCTGCGTGGTTGTCAGCGTGGGAAGGCAAAACACCGAAAAGTTCAAATATTACGAGGCCATATCTGCAAGTGCAGCCTGCTGAATGTGATGGAGAGCAGGAAAAGGAGGCCAGCATGCGCGTGTGTAAATGCTTGTGTGTTCTGTGCAAGACAAATGAGCACTGCAACGCAGGATCCTGACTCTCTCCTGCCCTCCTTTTCCTACGTGCTAACCCTACTGCTCTCCTCCTCTTCCTCCACCTCCTCAGCCTCCACAGGAGTTACATAATGGTGAACTCCTCAGCCTTTGTTATCTCACACCAACCACACACTTTGCCTTGCCCACTTCATGGGAGACAGAGGAGCAAAGAAGGGAAGAGGAGGAGTGAGAGAACGTAGGATGATTTTCGTTGTTGAAATCAACCCTTGAAGAAAAGAAAGCCTGTGATTTTGCACATTGCAGTATTCTTACTGTCACATTTTTTACTGCCAGACCTGCTGGTGTCTTCAAGTCTTGACTAATTCACGGTCATTACGCTGCATACTATAACATTTGTGATGTCAAACCACCAGCTGACTGAGGCTTCCTTCGTGATTTTGTAATGGAAAAGGTGACATGCTTACGTTGCCGTCAGTTACTGTTCCCATGCAACGTTGCGCTGAGAAACAAAACACTGTAAAACGTGCCAATATCATTGACGTCCCAAGCTCAGAGAAGCTGTGAATCGGGAAAGCAAATAACAGTACAACTATGTTCAAATGTTATTGAAAGGAGAGGCTGTCTAGACGTCTGCTTTATTTTATCAGCATCAGTTTGGACTTCTCAAAGTGAACTTATAGCAGGAAGTAGGTGTTTTTATCTTTTTTTGTAAAAAAAAAAAAAAAGCTGATCAAAAATATCCCATGCTCTGTTTACATCAAGAATAGACTAATAGTGAGAGCAGGAGCTTCAGAAGCTTTGATACATTTGGGCCAGACTTTTCCTTTTGTTGTGACTAATGAGGTTGAATTCGCCATCTGTTACATCATCACAACAGAGAGGGCGGACGGGGCCAAGAGCTGAGTCATGACACTCTTATTATCCAGTATTTTGGAGAAACGATCTGACTTGGGGGAAGTGAATGAGCAACACTTTTTTCTTCGCTCAGCTCGTGCAGTTGTGATGCCCAGAGACAACAGGCCCCTGACCCCCGGCCGCTGAGCTGGACGGCCCCTGACAGCCGCGGCGTCCTGGCACGGCACACGGTTGCCTGCGTGTGCAACTATTTTGACAAAAAAAAGCAAGCTGTCACTGATTAAACGTCCATGCGCTTATCCAGCTCGTAGACGATAAATACATAATGGCACCTTTTTCGGCATCGCGACCGAAATGAAAAATCGGGGTCTCAAAACACCTGACTTAGCAGAACTTCGCCATACCCAGTCTGCTCAATCTAAATCCAAATCCGTCTCTTACTAAGTAATCGATGATGGACGCTACTGAATTAGCTGAGACGCTTACTTTGTGTTTCAAATAAACACAAAACAAGTGTGTATTTTTACTTTGTGCCAGCATCGTTCATTTGTAGGGCCGGAGCTGGGGTACACCTGGACAGGTGTCCATCCAAAGGTCTCCCATCCAGCCATGTAAAATGGTATGGGCATCCCCAGACAGGTGGACAAATACAAATGCAATTATGGCGTTTCCAGTATAACATCAATACAAATGGATTGAATGTCCTTTTCAGGTTGAGTTTGTTTAGCTTGTTCTGTAGAGTGAAAGATGTTTCCGCCTTAAGGAAGATAACGATCCGTCCTTTCTCCATGTAGACGCCTGAGAACGTGTGGTCTGCCATCAAGATGACCTCCCGTAGGGGCTCATGGTGGCTGAATGATGCAAACATAGGTCTGGAAATGCTTCCTGATGACTCTGGCTGTTGGAATATATTAATTCTGTCAAGAAAAAATAAACAAACAAACAAAAACAACTAATGTTGTCTTGAAAATTATTGAAATTAAGTTCGGAATACATTTAGAACATGGCATGTGTTGTGAAATCAAAATATACCTGATTCAGTCTTAATCTGAATGTGTCCTACTTTTCAGTAGGTGCTTCTCACCCAAAACATTTTTCTCCAGGGTGGATTTGGGGTTTTGTCGTGTTGCATAAGTCCAGAGTTTATTTGTATTTTTATTTCCTCCTTTCCTAAATCTGTGCATTCTGATTGGTGAGCTGGGAGCAGCCAAGAGGAATAACTGAGGTATTTGTCCCAGAGCAGTGGGGTCTCTCCGATTGGTCCCCTGGGAACACAGGTGGAGGGAAGGAGTTTATTTCTAGTTGGAAAACTGAGGCTTATTTTTCACTGTTTATCACAAAATTTGTACCAAAGAGTATATTGCACGTTCTTTGGAATGAGTTGAAATTCCTGCAAGCGTTTAAATAAATGAGTTCCTTTTCATTGCAAACGCTCAAAGCTTCCAATGAGATCCAATAAAATAATAATAAAAACTAATGGAGAAACATGGGAAATTGGAAAATTGTGGACAAATCCAGTGGAGAAACCAACATTACGCAGAAACATGAGAGATAACCTGACAAAGAACCTGTAGTCAAAGCACAACTGACACAAGTTGTGCTCTGACAGATGTAATTTGGCAGAGTGGAGGACGAACAGGCTTTGAGCATTCATATACTAAAACTGGTCAAACTATGGGCTGTGCTCCCACCATGTGTTCAGCTGACACAATTGCAGCACGCTGGACAGAGAGATGGAACTTCTGACCTCATGGAGAGTACAGCTGCTCTTCATGTTGTCACACATGTGAGAGAGGAATCCCTATTAATGTCTGACAGTCAACCTATTACAAAACTATGTATAGGCTGGTGCTGGTGTACAAGAAAAGGTGCCACGGATGTCACGGTCGACTTTAGTACCCAAGAAAAAGATTTGACATAATAGTGGGCCCGAAGTAAAATGTTGCAGTGTTCCAGTTAATTACTTAAATGGAACCAACAACAGTCCCTATAATCAAAGAAGCATTTGAATACAACAACAAAAAAAAGACCATTAATTTGATCTACTGTCATAACAGTCCCAACTGTGACTCACATTTTAATTGGGGTGTCTGCCTGTAGATTGACTAAATATAATTAAGAATTCAAACTGTAAATCAAAAGAAGTCATCTTAAAAATGACCCAGCATCTTTGACTGGAAAAGTATATTTCAGCAGTGTAAATAGTTTCTTAATTTTAAGAGATTTGCTACTTTCACCAATAAATTGAAGAAATTTGAATTTTTATTAAATCACTCAAAATCAACATATAAAGCGATGTGGCTTTTTCTTTAAAGGAAGTCAATTTTGGTGGAAATGAAACTGCAGTGGTTTGTTCGCTCAGCCTTTGAAAAACAGCAGAACGTGCAGACAAGAAACACGGCTTCCTGTTTCTTTTATAAGCGTTACAGAAGAAACATTGCTCCATGCTCCATTTGCACACCAGTCATTGTGTGAATACCGCTGCAGTCGTAAGTAAGCCTTTCTTTGATTTGTTGATATTTCAATTTTCAATATTTCGGTATCTCTAAGTTTTTTAAGTTTGATTGCCTGTCCACAAACAGTAAATGGGTGAAAGTGTAAAAGCTCACATGGCGTTCACCTGTGACGTTGTGTACCAACAAAATGTTCAAAACGATGGACCAAAAGAGAGCTAAAGATCACTGCTCATAAAATGGAGGCGTTATCCCAAGGTGAGATTGCCCTGACTGGGATCAATTCAATAAGATAAACTTTACATTCACATCTTCGCTCTCATTCTTTTTCAAGCTAAGATTTGTGGTTTTTACACGCTGTCACTCCCCTCAGTTCAGGCAACAGTGCACCATTTCCAGCCACACTTCAGTGCTCAGACTGGCGGCTGTGTGGTTGCTCCTTCCATCATTGGTTCTTTCCATGGAAATGTCAACATCAATATCACATCAGTAAGACAAGGTACTAAAAGTATAAGTGTAAAGGCAACTCAAATTGAATCAATTGAAAGTCAAATGATGCAAATTGTACCACACTTAAAACATTTAAATATTTGCTGGTTGACTGAGCTGATCTCAACAGTTCGGATCAAACTTCATAGTTTTTTTTAAAAAGGTTTCAAACCTCACAAATTTTAAAATTGATAGAAATATGGCTGGAGCGTCTATCTCTGTCTTTTTTTTAATGCATCCATTGAGGTTGAAATGTTGTTTCCATCATATTTCTGAGGACACAGATACTCTGGTAATGGGCCTGTTTGAGGATAAAAGGAACTAATTTATTTCAATGATCAATGAATGTCTAAAGAAATTAACACAGGCCAATTTTCTGTGTTGTAGTGAGTCCCAACTTGAGATCTGTGTTTTTTAAAACAGTCTTTAGAGGAAAAACTCACTGGTCAACCTGGAAATGATGCTACTATCTATATGTGATACAGTTTGCAGAAATTTGACCCAAAGCCGGATCTTCCATTTGAGTGTAATGCTCTTCTGTAAATAACATCAAAGTAGAACAAGACTTTCTTTATTTAAAAAAAACCTCATTTGCAGACCATAATGATCAGTCAAAAGAAGAACCAGAACAAAGCGAAAACGACAGCTTTGCTACTATCCCCCCTGAAAGTAAGGACTTCTTACTTCTCAATTCACAATAATGAGGAATTTAACAGAAAAAACAACTGAACAGTTTGCTTAATACACAAAAAAATAGATAAAAATAAATAATGATTTCAAAATGCATTGTCTCCTTCAGATAAGATCGCAAGATGTCAGGAGAAACTGAAAGCCACTTTCAGGAGAAAGTTCGGCCACTTGCTTGAGGGGATGACGACGGATACAAATAGAACACCTCTCAATCAAATCTACACAGAGCTGTACATCACTCAGGGAGGATGCGGTGAAGTCAACAAAGAGCACGAAGTGCTACAGATTGAGGCGGCATCAAAAACACGCGTGACACCGGAGAAATCAATCCACTGCAATCACCTCTTTGCACCCCCATCTGAAGGGGACTGGCACATCAGAACTGTGGTCACAAGAGGAGTCGCCGGCATTGGAAAAACTGTATCAGCCAATAAATTTACTCTCGACTGGGCCGAAGGGAAGGCAAATCAAGACCTAGAGTTTGTATTCCCCTTGTCTTTTCGAGACCTGAATAGGATGAAAGCAAGGACTTTGAGTCTGGTGCAGCTTCTCTGTGACTTTTTCCCTGAAATTAAAGGCAAGCACGTCTTTACCAGACTTGACAACAAAGTGCTCTTCATCCTGGACGGTCTGGATGAAAGTCGCCTCTCTTTGAACTTTGAGGAGAGTGAAATTGTGTCCGACGTGAACAAGAAAGCCTCAACCGCTGTAATTCTGACCAACCTAATCTGGGGAAGGCTGCTTCCTTATGCTCTTGTTTGGATCACGTCTCGCCCGGTGGCCTGCGGCCAGATCCCGATGGAGTGCGTTCACCTGGTGACCGAGGTGCGAGGGTTCAACGACCCGCAGAAAGATGAATACTTCAGGAGAAAAATAGCCGACGAGAGGTTAGCAAACAAGGTTATTGAACATGTAAAATCCTGCAGGAGCCTCCACATCATGTGCCACATCCCGGTCTTCTGCTGGATGGCAGCGAGCGTTCTTGTGAAGGAGTTGGCGACAAAACATAGAGAAGAAACCCCAAAGACCCTCACACAAATGTACATCCACTTCCTGTCCTTGCATGTTGACGACATGAAGAGGTTGCCAGGAAGAAGAGAGTCCAACGCTGACATTGTGAGGGCTAACCTCCTTGCGCTTGGTAAGCTGGCTTTCAAGGAGCTCGAGAGGGGTCACCTGATCTTCTACGAGAAGGACCTGCTGTTGAATGGCATCGACCTCACACAAGCGTCCATGTTCTCCGGGGTCTACACACAGATCTTCAACGAGGGACTGACGATGTGCGAGGAGAAGATGTTCAGCTTTGTGCATCTGAGCGTGCAGGAATTCTTTGCCGCCCTCTACGTCTTCCTGACGTTCCACATCGAAAACGTCAACGTCCTGGTCAAGAGGTCGTCTGCTTCGCGCTTCTTTGCCTCCAGAAACTCATCAGAGGTCATCCTTTACAAGGAAGCAGTAGAGAAAGCATTGAGGAGTGAGAATGGCCATTTTGACATCTTTCTGCGCTTCCTTTTGGGCCTGTCTCTGGAGTCCAATCAGACTCTGCTGAAAGATCTAATGACCAGCAACAGAACGCACCAAAGGACCAGAGGTGAAGTCATTAAACACATAAAAGAGAGGATCAAGACCAGCCAGTCCCCAGACAGGTGCCTCAACCTCTTTCATTGCCTAAACGAGCTGGGCGATCATTCCCTTGTGGAGGAGATTCAGAGCTACTTCAAGTCAGGCAGGCTGAGCGACGTCAGCCTTTCACCCGGTCAGTGGAACACTCTGGTCTTCGTGTTACTGACATCAGAGGAAGAGGTGGGCGTGTTCGAACTGTCCAACTACACCAGGTCAGAGGAGGGTCTTCTGAGGCTGCTGCCTGTCATGAAGGCCGCCCGAGTGGCAGAGTAAGTGCTTAGTAGTGGTTATTTTCATTTTTCAAATGATTTAAGATCCAAGAACTGTGTTGAATTCATAATCACGTAAACACTGAATATTTTGTATACTACAGCGGCGATTGGGTAGTGGCAACTCTGAAAAGTCTGGGCCTGTTGGGGCATAATCCATCCAGAGAACCATTTGGTTTGCTGTTTAATGCAGAAAAACATTATTTCTAAAAGGCTTTAAAAAGCACATTTAATCTGTTAGATACCAGGCATTTGTTTGATTTCACAGGCCGTTTGATTTATCTCATTGTACATCCAATTCTCCTACTCCAAGCCGAAGTGGTTGGCATTCACAATGGATACTTAATGTCTTATACTACTTTTCTGCCACAGTCTTAGTGCCTGTAACCTCACTGTGGCCTGCTGTGAAACCCTGGCCAGTGGCATCGCCTCGTCCAAGATTAGAGAGCTGGACCTGAGCAACAACAACCTGACAGATGCCGGACTCATGCAGCTCTCTGTGGCACTGAAGAAGAGCAAACTGGAGACACTCAGGTATCACACTTTCTAACACTTACCCCGGAAATGGCTTTAAATGCTAGGAGCCATCGTTTGAGTCATTTCTTTTGACGTTTTCTTTGTTTAGGATGAGGAGCTGCAACCTCACGGAGCACAGCTCGGACGATTTGGCCTCGCTCATCAGCTCTCCCTCTGGCCAGCTGAGACTCCTGGACCTTACCGACAATGACCTTTGGGACAAAGGAGTGAAAAATCTTTCTGCTGGACTGGAAAATCCTCACTGTGCACTGGAGATACTAATGTAAGCGCAGTTCTATTCTAGCACCGATAAGCAGGCAAACAAGTCTGTGGCTATCATTGGTGTGGCGAGGAGCTAAATGAACCACCCTGGTCTGTTTTCCTGAAGTTTGTCCTGGTGCAGAGTGACAGAGAAAGGCTGCACTTTCTTGGCTTCTGCACTGAACTCGTCCCGACTGAGAGAGCTGGACCTCAGCTACAACCACCCGGGAGACTCCGGCCTGAAGCTGCTGTCGGCTCTGCTGGAGGACCCGCACTGTAGCCTGCAGAAACTAAGGTAGTGATGCTGACAACATGGATACCTGCAAAGGTGTCAGTTCAACATTTTTATTTACACGTTTCAAGGGTGAGAGTTTTTTCAAAATAGTGTCAGGCCTAAAAAGACCTGGAAAGAAGCTCTCTACCTTCAATACAATACGTTCAAGACATTAAAAAACGTATGCCCTTTTTTTTTATTTCAGTGTGGAACAGTGTGGTGAGTCCAGGATCCAGCCTGGTCCAAAGAAATGTAAGTAACCAAAAATATGGACTGGGACACCTGGAGTGATCATTTGTCACTAACATTCTGCACAACGGATTTTTCAGACACAGTCAGCCTGACGCTGGATCCAAACACAGCACACAGAGACCTTACTCTGTCCGAGGGAAACCGGAAAGCCGCGCGCTGGACCAAGCAGCCGTACCCGGATCACCCGGAGAGGTTTGACTACTGGACACAGGTGTTGTGCAAGGAGGGGCTGACTCAGCGCAGCTACTGGGAGACGGAGTGGAGCGGCAGAGCCTGCATCGGGGCGGCCTACAGAGGCATGTGCAGGAAGGGAGAGGCTCACGACTGCTGGCTAGGCCGGAATGCCTCCTCCTGGGGCCTGAACTGCACCAGAGATGGCTACAGGACGGTGCACGGCAGTGTGAACGCTGCTCTAACGGCTCCACCCAGTTCCTGTAGAGTGGGAGTCTTCCTGGACTGGTCAATGGGGACGCTGTCATTCTACAGGGTCTCCTGTGACGCGCTGACCCTCCTCCACACCTTCAAAACCACCTTCACCGAGCCTGTGTACCCCGGGTTTCATCTTGCATGGGTGGATTCCACAGTGCTTTTGTGCTAAAGCTGATGAACGGATAGTCGACGTGTTTTTAACAAAAGTTTGGAAGGACCATGTCACTCTATTCTTTATCGTACGTTTGAAGAACCTTTTTGTCAATCCTCTCGGTCTTTTAAAATCTTGACTAGATATCAACGTTTTGAAATAGCAGGAGTCCGTTGAAGGGGATAGCCTCCATAGGCTTCAAGTACGGACTTCGGCATCCAATTGCTGAGGCCCTTCTTCCTTGGCATTGTGCTAAGAGCAGCTAACTGACAAAACTTCTGCTTTTTACATGGTGCTATCGACCCCTGATTTTCACTTAATGAAATGTACATACTTAGCAGGACCGGGTAGCTACTAACGCGGGTCATTTTAACAGAAACTCTCAGGGTGTTCTCAGGTTCTCTGAGATTCACGTTTTGACAATATCCTGAATCCTTGGATCTGTAATTTGTGAGAGATGCTTGCCACACAAGTGTAAAGTTTTCCAAAATGTTCATGTTGGCCGCCTGTCCTTAAAATAGCTTGCTAAAGCAAACACAGCCAAACTTAGCTCTGGGAACAGGACCTTTTACGTCCTTCATGTGCCATGTGAAGAATGTACGGTGCTGCGTGACAGTTTTTCTGATCGCACTGAAATTTGACTCCACACAATCCTGGTTTTCTCCTTTTTGGTCAAGTCCACTTTTAATCAGGGTTTTCTAGATGGTGAAATGAACATAAACTCTTGAGGATTGGTGAACTATCCCATGTTTGGTTCTGACCTAAAGCCTGCTTTAAAACTGTTGATAATTTTTAAATGTAAAGTCATTAGTGTACAAGTGCTTTGTACGTTCCTCTGCCCAAAGTTTGAGACATGAGGTGCATTTGATCATTGTGCAACTGCACACTCATATATTGTTATTTCAGACTTTTTTTATGTCACACTGAAACAAAACAACTTGCCATTTTAAAGACTTCACACACTAAATTTTGGGAGTAACGTTATCTGTTATGCAATTAAAAGTCAAATATAAAAGGTGCAACATCTTGAGAAACATGCAGAACTTTCTCACACTCGTGTTTATACCGGAATCTGTATAAACCGAGACAAGAGGAAGTGAGACTAATGTGTAATTTGGAAGAAAAAAACCCCCGATGTCTTGAAAAGGGGAAAAAAAAGAATCTGTGATGAAAGACATCCTGCAGTGAAGACAAAAGGGTGCAAGAAAGTGAAAATAAAGACGTATTTCCACTTTTAACAATCATTTTATTAGTAGTCCCAGGAGGCAATGAAAAAAAAAAATCAAAGAAAAAAGAACCGAAAATAAGCTTACAGTCAAGACGGTGGGTCAATCACAATCAGCGCACATGAAGACGGAACAGAGGGCAGCACACACACACAATACACAGTCATATCATTAAAACAAAAGAAAAAAGAACACAAAGTGATAAATGAAGACCAAATTTAAACCAAAGGTAATGTGGGTGTCTGTGTGTGTTGACTGATCCCTCTGTTCCCCGGGAGAATTCACCAGGATCGACCCCTACATTCACACACACACACACACACACACACTTCACACAAACATATCAAAACGCCCATCTTCTCTTTTCAGTAAAAGCCATGATTTTCTGCGTCGGCCATTTGGGACAGAGGAACCATCGATCGACCACACCGGCTCAGGCAGGTCGTCTGAAATTTGTTATCTATCAATTCTGTACAGATTATATATTTTATTTACACACCGAGCGGCTTCTCATCCCTTCAGTGCGGACACAGGTCAGCCCACTAACTGGCGTTCACTCCTCTGCCGTCGCTCTGTGCTCACTTCAACTCCTCTGATTGATACAAAGTCTGCAGCACGTCACGTCATCCACAACCACTCACAGGAACCAATCAGGAGAGGAGTTTCCATCACTGTGGTAGGGAGCAGAAAAACTCCCGTGCCTCAGACGTCAACTTAATCACTCTGCTGCTGTCAGTAATCTGAAACGCACATCTTGGTTAATCAGAAGCCTGATTTAACTAAATCCTTTTCACTACAAACCACTCTTATGCATCTTTATTTTCAGTTTATTGCAGGCAATGAATCCGATTTTTTAGTCTTAAGACGCGTGCTTGACAGAGTGTCTTAGACACTTCAGTATGGTCTGTATGAAAGAGTTCGTCGGCCTCGTGTCTGAGCTGCGCTTTAATTCAGAGGCTTGCACCTGGGCACGCAGACGGAGATTAAAAATGGGGCAAAATGTCAGCTAATCCCTACACGTGAGATCAAACGCACACGCACATTATGGATGACTGGAGCAGCATAGGGAGCGCGTACTAAGGCCAAGATTAAAGTGGATAAGAGACAGAACAGCATTTATTTAATTCCATTTTCATACATAGGTGTCTGTCACTGTATCGGGATTGGATCATATAAAAAGTGTTTGCTATTAGAGTTGTTTATGCATCCCAAAAAAAAAGCCTCTCAGTGCTAATGATACAGACAGTACAGCAACTACGGGTAACATCAGCAGTCTCTCAGTCTGTTGCATACATAATTGTTGTATATACATTACCCTCCCCTGTCAGTTATAGAGCTCCTGCTGTGTGGGAGCAGGTCTGAGGCAGAGTGAAGCTTCACCAACATCACATACACAATCTCTCCTTTTCTCATGAACACACACGCTCACACTAACACACACGGTCACATGTGATGTGATCTGCCAGCTGGTGTGGGGATCTTGCTGACAGCACGGACAGATTTAGTTTATTAGGTTTTGGGGGAAAAAACAAAAAAAAATTCAACCAAAAGGAAAAAATAAGAGGGAACAAAGCGCCTTTTTTCACACGGGAGGAGAGGTGAGCTGGGCTAGGTGTGGGTGTGTATATGGTGGGGCACGTAAGTGATGGTGGGGAATCTGGAGGCCTAGCTGAGAAGCTGGCGGATCTCCTTGTGCATGTGACACAAGAAGTCCACGTACGACGCTCCCCCGCTGTTGCTCTTGTCCTCCACTAAGAAGTGTTTGAATATCAGCTCGGCTCTGTCTTCCTGCTTCACCACCATCAGCTGCAAGACGGGGGGAGAAAGAGAGGAGATGAGCAGGGTTTGGTATGCGACAGCCACACAAGTCAAAAGAAAGGGGATCGAAAAGTTAGAAATAAACATTGGATTTCTCAGTTGATTTGAGACACAACGTCTGTTTTTTTACTTGCATTTCTTTCACTGGGTAGAATAAAAGGTGTGTTTTATTGTTTCGTAGGTTCTGTGGAACTCCTAACATTTGGCATGGAAAGGCCGGTGGATTCGATTGACAGCAGTTTGCAGAATAATAAAAATATTCACTTGGATGTATTAGCTGATTTAAGAAAGCAGTGGATGAAAGGTGCTGACTCAGCCGTAATCTGCGTTCAGACTTACTCGGCACCTCGACAACAGAAAAAGAAAACTTGCCTTCATGTATCGCGGCCGCTGTGCTCTGAAAGAGTCGATGATGTCTCGAAGTCTCTCGGAGAAGGGGTTGTTCAGGGCGGGCAGACTTGTCTGTAACACAGAGCAGCAACACAGTTCAGCCAAACATACTGAGCCAAAGTGAGAAACAGGGATTTAGAACACCAAAACTACACAAAAACACAATGTCTTTCTTGTTTAATTCACAGGGGGATGGCTTCTGTGGTCCCTCCCCCTATGGTGAGCAGGGGCGGTCTGCTCACCAGGTTGGAATCGATCTGGCTGAAACTGGGCGTGCCGAAGATGTTGACGAGCAGCTCCTGCTGAACGCTGGCTCCCACCCACAGGAAGAGATGGAGGCCGGTCTCCAGGAGGTACACGCCACCCTTTGACAGCCTCTCCTCCGAGTCCCTCACCGCGACGGGCAACGAGCTGCTTTCCAGCTTCATCTGAGAGGTTGAGCAGAAATCGGAGAGTCATTATGACGCCGTCCACCGGCCAGCAGCCATTTAATCTCTACGTATTCTACTGGTAGAAAAGGTGCCTGAAGAGGGAGCACATGTGTGATTAATGCTACTGGCTCCCTCTACAGGTGTGGGATGTAACCACAGTCATGCCAGTGCTGTATGTTTACTGTGGTTTTTGGGACAGAGGGATCCAAAGAAATACACGATAACAGAAAGCGCTCTCACCAGCGGCAGCAGGCGGGGGTAGAAGAAGACGTGGGTCTCTTCCACGCCCATGCAGCTGATCAGCTGCCGGATGTAAGCCCTGTCGTCCAATGAGACGTCGGCTCCCGGCAGCAGCACGTCACTCTTCAGCACGCAGTTCAGATAAACCGGCAGCAGCTTCATGCATTCTGGGAGAATCAGCTGGGCAAAAAAAACAACACAAGATGCCAAAAATAAAGTTAGGCCACCTTGCAAAAACAAACTTATTCCATTTAATCTACATGACAAAACTGCCGTTATAAGCTTCAGAAAGTCGGGATGTGGGACCAAAGATACAAATGGAAAACATTGGAGTGCAAACTATCTGCGCTTTGATGGAAAAGAGGTGTCCAGGTGTGAGGTGTTCTTTCGGTACCTGGCCAGCAGATGAAGGACTAGCACAGTTCTTTCTGTAGCACGCCAGAATCTGAGCACACTGGTTGACCAGTGTGTCTCTCACTGCCTTTGTGGGGTTGCTTAGGACGCCGCGGAAAGCTGCCAGACACGAAAACACACATTTACAGGCAGAAGTGAGGAATTGGTTCAACTACCAGGAAACAATATACCAAACACACACAAACACAAAACGTGCACCTTCACTAGGCGCAGCTTTACACTACTTCAGGCTACTCGCCACTCCAGATTTAAACGAATAACTTCAGACAAAAACTCACCGTATTTGGAGATGAAGTTGATGATGGTGTCCGTCTCGCAGTTGCGGTAGAGGTCAGCCAGCTGGGAGCAGCAGTTGACCGACATGTTGTGAACGCGGAGGCGCCGCTGCCCGCTGCAGCTCGTGTACAGCACCGCGCACTGCGGGAACACCAGGAGAGCGCGTATACGAGTCAGCTGACGGATAAAAAACGGCCTGCAGAGCTACCGCATCTGCAGAGGCCGGCTTAAAACTACGAGGGGGATTTCTACCCGACCCCCCTGGCGGCCGACTTGCGCACCTGCATGAGCGCCCCCGTCTCCTCGCTGAGCTTGTCGTCGTGCTTGAACTCCACGGTGACGGCTTTGTCGCAGTCCAAACCCGCCAGCTCCACGTCGGTGGTGTTGCTCATGTAAAACGAGCCGAAGAAGTCTGTCGCCCGGATGCCTTTGGAGGGGAGGAAACGCAGCGCCGTGAGACCTTTGGAGGCGTGCTGGGTCTCTCGGCCTGGATGAAACGGGCTCGCTCTGGACGGCCGGGGGTCTTACCGGTGCTGGTTCGGACCCTCATGACGGCGTCGAACCCCACTTGTTTCTGGACGTCTCGTCGGAGGTCGTTCAGGAAGCGCTCCTGGTCTGACTGAGCCTGGGATAAAGCATCACAGTGCTTTTCAGAAATCACACAGCACACAATAAAACTACATAAACCGTGAGCTAAAGAATCTCACGGAGCGGCTGATTTTTGCTCACCTGGAAGTAGGTGTACTTGTAGACCGAGCCTCCAGTGGACACAGGAACCACCCCTAACGTTGCAACATCCACGTACTGGTTAGGGAAGAGGAACAGATCCACACAGCAGCCCTGTGCTACGCAGTCCTTGGCCAGGTTGTTGTAGAATCCGACCTGGGGCTGAAACAGAGACTGTGGGAGACGGCAGAGTGAGCGTCCAACAACAATAAGCCGGCACCAAATTACACCCCCCCGCCCCTCCCCCCGGCTGCACTCCTGTTTACCTTCTCCTTGTCGGTCCCGATCAATTTCTTGTCTTCTCTGTTCTTAAGTTTCCCGGGAGCTTCGGCGATGGGCAGAGAGGTGTGAAACAAAAACAGCTTTCCTGCACAGTCAGCAGCCTGAGGGCGTAGCGGAGACCGACATCAGATCAGCTGCCACTAAAGCTACATTACAAACTTACCCCCCCATTGTCTCCACACATCTACATTTTCAGAGCTGCCCTACGCAAGTTCACCCTCTATTAAAATAATCATATTCTAGCAAGAGAAAGCTTGTCAAAATGGGTTTATCAGCAGCTAGAAATACTACAGCGTCACCCTTTTACCCAGTATTTGTACATAAAAAAGCTTTCAGAGCTCTCAAACCAACCTTGAGCGCCTCCAGTCCGGCCTGGATGACGGGCCCAAAGACCGTCTCCGTCTCCCTGGTGTCGGCAAACATCTCTGGGATCTGGTCCAGCAAACTGAGGAGTCATACAAACCAAATCAAGTGCCCGAGCGGCTTGTGGGCTCGTTTGCGTGTGGACGTCTGCTTCAAAGCCACCCACCTCTCGATAACCTGCCGGCTTTCGCTGACATTGACCAGGAACCCGTCGAGCAGGGGCACAAACATGTCGGACACGTCCGACACCACCAGCATCTGGGGCTGGGCCAGGCTCGCCTTCACGTTGTAGAAGTGCAAAACCTTGTTGTAGGTGACAAAACCCACACGCACCGCAGACTCAACCTCTGGGTTTTCCCTGGATTCAGAACAGAAGGAAGGAGAAAGAAGAAGGAGGAACATGACAGTCAATTCCTTCTTTGTTTTTTGTTTTCTTCTCAATCATCCTTCAGCTCTCCCCAGTCTAGTTCTTCCAAACCATTGTGCCCATTTTTCCTTCGGCTTCCCACAGACGATTCATTCACTCCGGAGCAGGTTAGTGTGCGAGCACCTTGGCAGGAGGTCCAGCAGGCTTTTCAGCTCCTGGCACACGATGCTGACCATGCCGCTCTTCACAGCGTTGTAGGATACATCGATCAGAAAGATGAAAGCCGGGGGCTGAGGGATCTTGTTGTTCTGTTGGACCAACAGTAACATAAAATCAACACACTGTCCTTTAAAAAAAATCATTCTAACTAACCATAGAAGCAAATTTCTCCTTTTGCTCATTCATACGATGATAATTAGTAAATATAGGTTCCAATGGCTGTATTATGTCACCAGACACGCTCTATATAATCACTGGTAAAAAAAAAAAGGTCTCATATCTGAGAACACGAAAGCTGACAGCTCAGGAAACATTTCCAGTTAAATTGGAGCCGTCTTGAGATACGGAGAGAAAAAAAAACGCTTCCATCTGACATCCTACCTTACAATAGTCGACTGTGGCCAGGAACTCGTAGCTGCCCATGGACAGCTCCGGCCTATCGTAACAGTCCACCCTCTTACCAGTGTGGTCCAAATGCTGGAAGTAATGAGGAGGCACTGAGGGGGGGGAGAGAAAGGAAATGGAGAGGTAAAAGGTTTAACCCAGCATGGTGACCTCGTTTGAGAAAACATCCAATCCCGGACATTTCCACATCAGCACAGAGAAAAAAAAACTCACCCTCTGTGACACAGCTGCAGAAGCCACACTGGAAGCGCCGGCCGCCCTCGATGAACTGCATGTAGGGACACATGTAGGCCTTGCATCTGTTGCAGCGGATTGGACCGCTCTCGCCGTGGTCGACCACGTATGGCGGGGTCTGAAAAGAGGGTCGGTCAGCGTCTCGCACAGCAGGCAACGTGTTCCACCCACTTTTCCCTCTACTACCAGTTCAGATTAACTCTAGCAAGGGCCCACACAGACAATAACTAATCTGTATGAAAACTGTACATCACAGGGAAAAGGAGAAGAGGCGTCCCTCACCTCGTCTGGCGGCAGCGTAGCGAGGGGCTTGATGACGGCGGCCAGTGGCACCTGAGACTGCTTGGCCATATCGGCTGTGCAAGGCATGTTGTAGGCCGTACAGCGGATAAACCGGGGGCTGGCATTCCCTAAACGCAGACACAATAATTCATTAATATCAAAGCGTGTTCAGATTCAAGACTCCGACCTGATCTGATCTCATGTGAAAATAATGAGGATTCCAGATTTGGATCGTTGGAAATGGAACAGACCTTGATCTTTGACCTGAAAGTTGGTGGTGACCAGCGGAGGGGCTTGACCTCTGACCCCTGTGAGGAACGGCTCGGTGGTCTTAACCTTATCATCCTCTATTACCTGGATCTAGATCGAGGGATGAGAAGAAAGAACGCATTTAGCCCGATGTTGCCCTCAGGTCTGACTACGGTTTTCAGGAACACCGGTGTCCATGCAGGACAAACCTTTCCACATGCACGCTGAAAAACGCCAACATCTACAGACCAAAGTTTCACAGTGAGGGTGATGCACGGCACAGATACATGCTCAAGCCGACAAAGCGTGACGGAAAATATAAGCAACAGCAAAGTGAAAATCTAAAAGAAATGCGGCAGGGTTTTGTAGAGACGGGGACGTCTAAGGAACCAGAGGCGGGTCAAATGCTGGAAGCAAGCATGCGGGGGAGAGAACTGAGGTGGGAGGCGGCTGCCTGAACTCGCACATGACAGACTAAAGGTCGCACAAGCTGACAAAATGATGACCTGTATATGACATGTAGTTCATATTAACGGGTTATCTAATAGACTAGAAAAATATGTTTGAAAGGACCATCAGTCACGTTTGGCCTGTAAATTTCCACGTTAATTTAATACTGAGGTCCTTTTCAAGTATTGAAAAACATTGATAAGTTTCAGCCCGAATGAGGAGGAAATCCCGGACTGTGTGGCCTCAGATCGATGGGCCAGGGGAGTGTGCTCACGTGCCCCTTCAGCTGGACCGCTCGGAAAAACTGTATAAGGGAGGCGCCGAGTGGCGATTTAAGGGTTAGCCATGAGATGCCTCCTCTTCAGTGTCCTCACTTCCAACTGCTAACCAAGAGGTCTGATCAACAGCAAGGGCTGCCAACACAGAAGGCTGCATAGGAAAAAACCAAAAACTGGCTCGACTGGCAGCTTATCTTCACTTTTTCTCACTACATGTGGCCCTGTTTTTGGAAAGCTGATGCCTGTTTTAGATGAACGAACCCAACACATAAGAAGAGGCTTTCTGAGGTAGACTTCTGCATTCCACCCTTCTCTGGTCATACAGAGCTGACGGTGTGTGCGCTGAAGCTACAGCAAACACAGACGTTCCCGAGGCTCTGATTGCCATCTTGCTGTGAAATGTCCCTGACATCCTTTTTACGGGCAGAATGCAGGGTTTTCCGGTTAAAAAAGCCTTTGTCGCCAGCTGATCTGCGTTGCTAATTTCACCTGTCGCTGGCTTTCATTTCTCGTCCTACTCTCGTCCAGACAGATTAGTAGGGATGGCCGATCCATTTATAAAAAGGAATTCAATTTTAACAAAACAAATTAGCACAAAAATACCCATGGGGTATTCTGCCATGGCTTGGTCCTGCACAAACACACAGATTTCTTTTGAGCTGGGAACACATTTGCTCTGAGGCTTCTCTACAAGCGCATCCTCAACAAGTTCTGTGCAGCTGGTCAAACTTAAAACGCCGTTTTGTTGAGGTATGCTGAGTCTTTCAGGGGTGATGAGGGGGAGTTAGTGCATTCAGGCAGAGAAGACAGGATGGAAAAAGAGGAGACAGGCACACAGGAAACTTACTGGGCTGGGTATAGCATCTGGGTCTATTCTATGTCTCGACTTCTGCACTGCCGGCATGTCAGATGCTTGCTTTACATTTCAAGTTTGTCCAGCAAATTGTGCAAAACAAGACAAAATAAATAAATAAACAATGAAAAGATAAAAAAAAAAAGGAGTGAGAAGACAAACCACAGCAGCACTGCTGAATAATAGGCAGAATTGGTATTAGGACAGAAACAGCTCAGTCGTATCGGTTACAGATTAGTTGTGTTTGACAGTCGAGTGCAATTAGCTTTAGCAGCGGCCGAACATGCCAAATATTTCCATAATAAAAAAACACACAAAAAGAGAGAGTATGAAAGGTTTCGAACAACAGAGAAATATACAATTAGTGAGGGATGTGATACACCAAGTCAAGTCCATAAGTATGCTTATTGTGTCACAGAATTCTCCTTTTGTATAAGAACAGGTGGTGGTGGGTTGATGTAGACTCATTATTTTTTGTGTGGTTGAGACAGCAGATATTTTGAATGCCATATAAAATACGAAATAACACTAAAAATGGAGAGTTAAAACTAGTTGATTCACACAGCATTAATTCTATGATATTACACACAAGAGATTCAGATGATGAAACATGTTACTGAAAATGTTAAAAATTTGACAATAACCATAGTTAACGGGCATACTGAACTGTTAAGAATGAGAGGTAGCTGTAATTTTCTATTGACTGAGGATATGAAGGGGATCGATACAGCACTCAAGCTCAGCACAGAGTGCTCATCGCTGTGTAAAGGTGACAAAGAGGCCAGCGGGAGTTAAGACAGAAAGCCAAAACAACATTCGGTCTGCTCACCGGGCTCGGGATGGCATCTGGGTCCAGTCTTTTCTGTGCGGGTGGAGCAGGAGCTGGTGCCGGCGCTCCATAGTTTGGTTGTCCGGGATAGGGACCTGCATAACCCGGCTGGGGGCTTCTTGCCTGCCCAAAAGCCCCTGGAGAAAACACAGAAGCAGCTGAGACATGATGGAAACCAACTCTTTTCCCCTCAGAGTCCACGCCCCAGAAACCGTCTTCTCACCGTTCTGCTGAGGAGGGTAGCCTGCCTGCATGCCGGGCTGAGGGGGTAGCTGCTGCATGGGCCCGGGGGGGCCCTGTGGTCCCGGAGGAAGGTGGTTGCTCTGAGCCATGGCAGTAGGGGGCATCTGAGCTCTGGGTGGAGGGGGCCCTGAGTGGTAGGGGGATGGCTGTGATGGGGGGGGCTGCTGCTGCTGCTGCTGCTGTGGTGGCATGGCACCAGGGTACTGACCAGAGGCCGCCGAGGTGGGAGGAGGCCCAGCAGGTGGAAAGGACCCAGGCTGAGAGGATGGAGGAGGTGCTTGAGGTGGGAAGGAGCCTTGGGTTGGCAGAGGGGGGCCTGTGGCGAAAGGAGATTGACTGGCAGGTGGGGGTGCTGAGGAGAAGGGGGGCTGGGACGGAGGGAAGGACTGCTGTGGCTGGGAGACCGGAGGGGCAGAGTGCTGACTGGGCGCAGGCATGGGACCAGAGTGGGAGAAGGGAGGAAAGGCTTGCTGAGTAGCAGGCGGTGGAACAGAAGAGGTGAACTGCTGCTGAGAGGTAGGAGGCGGAGCTCCGTAGTATTGCTGAGGAGCAGCTGGACCGCTGGGAGGAGGTGGCTGGGTCGGAGCGGAGGACGCAGGAGGCGGGGCCTGAGTGTAGGCCGGCTGGGATGGAGCCGAGTATGCAGTGCTGATGGGAGGCTGGGAGCTGTGAGGTGGAGCTGCACAGAGAGCAGAGAGTTGTGATGTTCACAACGGGACACAAACTAACCACGAAAGCAACTATATCTTTGGTAAGATGTGTGCAGGTTGCACGCCGTTTCACTGGCCACACACATTCCAAATTCTTACCGTATCCCGGCCCCGCAGGTGTCGGCGGTCCAGATGTGATCTGCATCCCGGTCATCTGGTTTGTGACTTGCTGCATCGTGGGTGGAGGACCAAAGTGTTGGGGATAAGAGGGGTGCTGTCCTGACACGTTCACACCTCCCTGGTTGTATGGCTGAGAAACGGCAGGCCTGCAGACATTGCAAATGTCAAGTAAATAATGATGAATAAGCGTAGTGCCAGAGCTATGAGACAGGCTGAAATTTTGGATGAACTTTGAAGACAAAAGAAAATAAAAAACATGGACCCATCTACATATATTACCTGGGCGGTGCCTGTGTCATAGGTGGGGGTCCATTTTGGATGTCCCCCGGACTGTGACTGTACTGATTATACGGCTGAGGTGCTGAGACAGGAGGGGGTCCAGAGGCAGGAGGACCCCTGACAGGACCTGCCGAAAAGCAAAAATCATTACCACACACCACAGGTTGTACCGAATCAAGGATCCCACATGAAGCTGTGTACAAGCACGGGATATGGAGAATAACCTAGCCGGGACCATGCATCTGACTTCATGTACGAGCTGTTTTTATTTCTGGCTGATCCTAATACCACCTAGTAAGACCAGGACTGCTCAACTTAATTCACACACGTTGCGGCTTTAGAGGTGTCCACTGTTAAGAGGAAGATGCGGCGTAAAGAAAAATGCCTGCAGATCCGGAGATGACCGGATAACTGCAGGGCACATGAAGTGTGAAATGAGCGAGAAACACAGATGAGGCAGTTACCTAAGTCAAGAGGAGAGGAGAGGTCAGAGACTGGGTTGGCTGCCACAGCCTTAGAGGGAAAGCTTGTGAAAGGAGAATAACCTGGAATGAAAAGAAAAGAGGGAAAGAGGGCAAATACAGAGACGAAGAGTAATGCCTGAGGCTGAATGAAGGAATGACAGGGCGGCTGAGATTCAGATTAGTTCGCACAGGTGCTGCATTTCCGTCACACATGTGCCATCGCATGGTGGGAAGCGGGAAGGAAGCTCCCAGGCTTCCACGCTCACATGTACTCCTGTTTTGAAGCTGCCGTTTACCTTGCGGTGGAGCTCCAGGCTGATAGGCCGAAGCGGGGCCGTTAAAAGGTGCGTAAGGAGCAGGGTATCCGCCATCCAGGGGGGCGTAGCTGGGCTGACCGTAGCCAGGCTGCGGCTGGCCGTACGGAGAGGCCATGGGAGTGTGCTGGTTGACATTCATCCTCAGTTCATCCCTAAATCTGGACAAAAATGCCACAATCAGAGAAAGCTTTCACTAGTTCACTCAGCTGGTTCAGCCCGTTCGCCACTCGTGAGCAACAAAACAAAACAGGTGAGTGAAAGTCGAGGTGACGTAGACGCCAGGTTTGAGGAAGGCTGACTTTGTTTTTGCTATGAGCAGAACACGGCAAGCAAACAAAACACACTGATAAGTCAGCGGGGAAAAGACAATAACCATCACCTGGGAGGTGTATTTGTGCAGTTTAATATCCTATTTGGGGGAGAAAAAAACAGAAAACAGTCCAAAGCCTAACCCTATCTTGGGAGAGTACGTCACCTGAACAAACAAAAACTGTGTTAAGAAAAACTCTTAAGCTCTTGCAGTCATAATGTCCTTATAAGTTAAAGTTTCCTGGTTTGGAGGTAAAGTTTTTTATGGGTTTTCTTGGCCACACCCTCAGATTTCATTGTGCCCCCTTGCTTTTAATTTTCACTGGTTCATGTTTAACTTGAAATAACAGTTTGTCAGGTTGATATCTACCAAACCTTAAGCCACATTATCACAAGAATCAGGAAGATAAACACAAATATAAAACACTGGCATGCAGCACTTCCTCTGGTCTGAAGGAGGAGTTAAATACCTGATAAAAGTCTTACTGCGTGGGTACACAATTGACAGGTTCTAACAGAGAGAGAACCACAAAATAGTAACTTTTAATAGGTCTCTTTACTCCACACCAGCACATATCAAAAGTCAAAAGTAGCCTTGCTAACAGATGACAGCCAGCGTTGTTTGGTTTATGGAGACTGGCCTAAACTATATGGAAGAGAGATGAGTATCATCTGACAGACAAACACGGGCTAAACGAGCGGAGGGCCTTGAATAATTCAGCAATGTAGGTGCCACAACGAGAAACACAATCGCAAGAGCCGTGGAGCTATTTAGTAAGTCAGGCCTGCTACGTGACCCACATCGACTCCTCAGCCTTGCTGCATGATTTAGAAAACCGGGTCAAAGTCATACCAGACTGAACTTTTAGGCCATGGTCGCAAAGAAAAATATTGAGAAGCAGAATCACGAAACGAAAACAGAAAGTGAGGGACAGCGGGAGTGAAGTGTTAACTTCAGAAAACCTGAAGAAAGGCTGTAAGCGTAGCACTGCCGCATTATAATTAGCCGTTGGCTAGCCAGCTAACATTAGCAAGATATCCTATACATGAAAGCCAAAAACACTCTGGTTAACAAATGGTGTTTTTCACCTGTCGTGAGATTAACAAGTGGACAAAACACAGCGGGTTTTGTATAACTTTTCCTTATTTACGTGCACGGGGGCTAACTTGTATGCTAACGTTAGCAACTTGAGTCATGATGACAGCAGCAGTGGTTGAATCAGCTGTGAGCAAACATTCACAGCCAAGGGATAGCAAATGTTAGCCAACTGGCTAAGCTATTAACGTCCAGCTACTTCCCCGATAGCAGCTAGCCGTGCTTTTTTAGCATGAGCTAGCTTTAGCAGACGCAGCGAAATCCAAGATCCCCCCGCGAAGCCGGGAAAGGATGACACACACATAAAGCCGACCCAAACCCAAACCTACCCCCGAAGAGGTGTAAACGGTAAGGCTATCCTTTGTTTGCGGCAAGCGGCGAAACCCAGAGGCCGACGGAACTAAGAAGCCGATGTCGTCCCGGGGTGTTGCTCACTAATCCCTTCTCGGCAAGCAGAAGCGGACATTCAACGGAACTGCCGCAACGCTGTGCCACGTCCACATCCGGACACCGCGCAGCCACTTCCTCCACAGGCCGAACAGAGAAGGGCCAATTCGGAGTTAAATGTACAGTTTCACCGGGTTTACATCTTAAAAGTTTCGAAAGCACTCATTCTTTGTGAAAGTATGCAAACATTAGCTGTCACTGAGCCTACCAGGAACAGAGTTCGGGACCCTGGTTGCCTTTACCTTTAACTCACACACAAGTTAAGAGAGAAGAGGGATGACCCCAAAAGACCCCAGAAGACCCCCAAAGACCCCAAAGTAAAGATAAAAATAGCGTTAAATGACATACACTATGGATCAAATGATCACATAACACCTACATAGTTATGAACAAATGATCTGTTCCACTATTAAGGATTGGACTATCTTAAATTAATTTGAGTGTAGTTTTTCTTTTTTTCGTGCAGGGTTGATGGTTATTTCTGGAGTGTATATCAGCAAGCATCTCCTCCTCTATGGTGCGCTTGAGACTGACATAGCAAGTGTTGAGCACAGGGGAGACAGACACACACACCCACACACACCCACCCAAACGCACGCACATTTTGGCCCCCTATCGCCCTCCTACCCTCTGACGCAGCATGTCGGTGCAAGCAGACGAAAGCCAGCCACCCCCACCGTCTCCTAATGGGTGGGGTGATCACGGAGGGCAAATAGAGACACTTATTGATACTCTCAGAGTGTGAGTAACTGAAGAAGGGGAGATAGCGTCTCAAACAAATACACGGCGGTCTGAGAGAGTTACTGGGATGGTGGCCGAGGAGATCGTGGTGTCCCTCTCAGGTGGAGCCCCGTGGGGCTTCAGGCTGCAGGGAGGAGCAGAACAGCAAAAGCCTCTACAGGTGGCAAAGGTACAGCAGAGCGAACACATGTGTGGGGATATCTGTGTGTGTATCAGTGCACTTACCATGATTCCTTTGGAAATGTTAAATATGGTTCGGGAACTTCATTAATTGCTCTTGTAGATTGCAACGTTCCAATCTTAACTTTAAGCAAAAACTTATTAAAGATTATTTGTGTTTTCCCGCATTGGTGTCACTAACTTTCTTGAAATGTTTAATGTTAAAATGTGTTTCTATATAGGTCTCATTCTGCCATCTGTGCATAAAAAAGAAGCAATTTTTCTGCAGAGGTTTATCACAGCGGGTGAATTATTAAGTTTGTGTGAATTAAGGCATTATACTTCTCTCAGACTGACAAAACATTTTTTGCTTCACTGGATTAGTTTTTTGCCTCAGTTCTTGAGATTATTATGATTGTCTCTCTTGTCACTTTGAATTGCGTTAAATCTCGAATCTGTTGAAATATCATTGCTTATTGATGAAAACTGACTTGAACAAAACTGAAAGTAATTCCCAAATGTATTCCTCTTCAGAACTGTACTTGTTCTCCCGTGTTTGGTCTGTGGGATTTACGTTTGGTGAGGTTTAAAATTCTATTTTGGGGGGAAAAAAGATGGCTAGTGATATTCTAATATTTAGTTGCTTGTTTATCATGTTATGACTTTATTTACAGTGTTTGCAGCTATGTGGGGGTAGAATAACACTGGCTTTTCAGTCTCATCTGGCCTTGGCCAAGTTCCAATTTAAACATCACCTGTTGTGATTGAGTTTCTTGGTCAGGGAACGGGGGGGTGAAGAGAACCTTGGGGGTTGATCTTAAACCATGGGTCATCATTTTATCCTGAATGCAAGCTGAGGTAGAGATTGGGTCTGTAGTATGGATCTTTGTCTAGGTTTGTGAATAGTAAAAAGGTAAATGTGTATCTATAAGTGCAGAATATTAGATAAATAGAAGACATATCAGAGTGGAGGAAGAAAAAATGTTGCTGAAAGCTAGGACCTCATCTCACTTTTTCTGAAAGTTGGATGGTCTTTCAGCTCTAAAATGGCTGCACTGATCCTGGCACAGGATGCCCCTCTTTATCCAGGGTTTTCAGGAAGAAAAGGTCACCTGAACTGAGTGTTCTATTAGTGTGTGTGCTTCTTGTTCCTGTCATTTGGGTGTGGGTTTATATGGGGCTGGACATAACTCAGATAAGCCTGGCTTGGAAGCGAGCACAAACTGGAGGATCAGAATAGCTCGTTTAAGAGGAGCTGGAAACCGAGCACGGAAAAAAGAAGCCCACCTCTTGTTCACACGCGGACAGAGACGCTCATTCATTTCATTTTCTCATTAAAATCTTAATTCCAGCATTGTGTGTGTGTGTTTTTTTCTACGTGTGTGCATGTGTGTCCCATCCCCGTCGCGCCTGTCTCTCTCTGTCTGTCGAGGAATGTGGTTGATTTTCCTGCATGGTTTTATTTTGGGTTTGCGGGGGACATATGGTGAGTGACAGATATGGCTCCTGCTCGGGCCTGAAGAGGCAGCTGTTCAAAGCGCCTCTTTCATGACTCTCGCTCGTGCTGTGCGGGAAAGAATGAGACCGATCATTTGTCCTTCTTCTACGGTTAAGACAGTAACTGGAAGAGAAATACAGCTGTCTGATAACTGTAAAACTCTCAGCAGAACCTTGAACGCTCTCAACATTTTGACGTTGGACGGTGATGAAGTGTGTGTATTTGTGAGAATGAGAGGGAACAGATGGGACGGCCTTATCTTCTACTTTTAGAGGCGACTGTAATCTAATGGGCAAGAATGTTCACCTTCTAATCTATGCCCACTAACCCCCACCCCACCCTTCGGACATACTTCCTGAAAGGGCCTATGACATCATATTTCAGCGACCTTCAGCTGCTGCATGACTACAAAAGTTATTCTGATGCACGTACTCAGACAACATAACCCATACTACCTTTGATGAAGTGTTTTGAATATTTCTTTTTCACACACAAAAAATCTCAATGAAAGTACAACTCTGCCAGTGATACTGTTTAATTCTATCAGGCTCTTCTAATATACTTCAATAACCTGAGCTGAGTTGATAAAATGTGTACTTGTATGCATCTTACTGAAAAAGTACCGTATATCAAGATGTTAAAAACAGAAATATTAAACAGAAGGCTGTGAGTTGACTTAAAATTGACTATAGATTATTCAAAAAGCAACCTGAGCCTTATTTTTAATGTAAAGGTAGTATCTTGCTATCAGGCTAATATGAAATAGTAAACAGTAAAACTGGTATTTTAATCATGGATCCCAATGTTGAAGCATTATTTTCCTAATTTACAGGAATAAAAAGAAATCATTCATTTGATCACTTTTTGTGCGAGCTGCCCTTGATTTTGCATATACTATCAGGGAAAATGTGGACTTATTGAAACATGGAAATAGAAACAGCCCTTAATTGTCTTGCAAAGGGGAAATTCAGGTGTAACAGCAGCAAAAATGTACAAAATGTGCAAATGTACATGTACGCAAGGCAAAAAGAATTTGAGCAAGTCTAACCAGTCTCACAACCTGATATGAATTCTAAAGCAGCGGATACTTTTCTATCCTACTTTTTCATGGCAATTCATATTTTTGCTCATAAATGATAAATGCTTACAAAAAGAAGTCCTATATTCCCTCTGGACAGGTCCATTTTGGAAGTATGTCTGGGAAATGTTAACTTGGGAAATGTCACTATTTCCACTCTGAAAACAAATCTGGAAACAAGTCTTATTGTTTCTTTAAATTCTTTTCTTTTCTTCAGGTACGCAGGCGCAGCAAAGCATGCCGAGCCGGACTTAAAGAGCACGATGAACTGGTTGCCATTGGCGACCACTTGTGCGCGGAGCTCAGTCACGCTGAGGCCATGAGCCTGATAGATACAGAGAGCGCCACACTGGATCTGAGAGTCAAAAGGTCAGCGCATAAACACCCGCGGAGTGGCGGCACATGACACGGTCTCTGGCCCCGTCGTGTCATACAAACTGCAGCTTGTTCGGCGTTTTTCACAGCTTGACATCTGCTTGTTCCCAGGGCTCCCTCTGGACTCCACTCCTCATCTTTCTCTGGCCGTTCCGTGTCCAGAGTCGTGTCTCCGCCCGCTGCGCCCCTCAGATCCGGCAGTTCTTCCCTCCTCTCTCCCACCGACATGCCCCGGGGCATCACCTCCCCCCCAGACAGCGAGGCGTACTACGGAGAAACGGACAGCGACGCGGACACACACTCTCACACTCACCAGAGACGCCAACGACGCACACCTCCCCATGCTCGCTCACCCTCGCGCTACGAAAATCAAGAGGAGGAGACCTCAGAGATGAGCGGGTAAGAGACCAGAGTTATCTGATATCCCACTGAAGCTACGGATGATCCAGAAACTCAACTTTTCAACAACAAAGTTTACACATTAAGACTGATCAAGTTGATGTCATTTTTCCAGATATGAAAGTGCGACGGACGCCGCAGTGGCCACTCAGGCCCACTGGAATGGTCAGTGTCTTGTCGGTGTCCCTCGCAGAGAGCTCATCTACGTGCCCCCTCAGACGGAGTGGACCACCCCCGTGCACACACAACACACTCCAAACCCTCACACACTCACTCCGACTCCCGACCAGGGGGCGTTGGATGTAGAAGGAGAAGGGGACAGCGGATTCCAGGAGGCCGGAGCATGCACTTCCCTGAGCTGCCCGCCTCTGGTGTCACCAGAACGGGCCAAAGAGGCTCTGAGGCTGAGCTCCGGCGGTCAACTGGTGCCCATGGTTGGCCTACAGCAGACCCCTGTGAACGACGAACTCTCCACCACGTACATGGACAAAGCTCGACAGGCCAGTGAGTGCATATCTTCATACTCATTTTAGATATAAACGTATATCAGGCATGGTTTTTTACCTTCTTTTGCAGGGACTGTGAAGTAAAACACGCCCTCGTCCTGAACTGTTCTTTTGCACGACTTAACACAATTTAACACGCTTCAGTTTTATCACAAATCGTGGTGGCATAGGCTGTAATAGAACACTGGGCACGTTAATACTGGCTACAATTTCCTTTCCCGTTTCCAAACTGGGATGAAACTGTGCAGTTTTCATGAATTCATTTCAATCGAGTATTTCCAACTTGTAGTTTTTTGGTTGAATATCCCCTTGTCCCCCTGTTACAAAGAGGACTTTTTAATGAGACCAAATGGCCGTGAACTTCTTTATTTCTGCAAAGCCGGAGATTTAAAGACAGAGAGACTTTCAGCAAAATATGTTGCTCTTTAGCATACATAATGTAGCCAGGGAAGAACCTTTTGAAAAGAAATTGTAGTCACACAGACAAAAACATAGAAAGAGTCATTGCTTTATTGATCTGGTTAAAAAAAAAACATTTCCATGGTCTCCTAAGGGACGAACTGTTTGGCTCTAAATCTTTTGCTATATCACCCTCTGGTGGTTATTTGTTTTTTCTCCTGCGTGTCCATTTATATGTGGAGGCTGCTGGTGAGGTGGTGAGATTTACCAGACACCCACAGAGGAATTCCACCTCCTCCTTTTCCTCTCTTGGGTTCCCTAAAACAGCAGTTTATCTCTTCTGTCAGTATTCTGAGCATTTGCCTTGGTGGGTGTATTTATAGCTTCTGATCGAAAGGCTGAACACAACACTGATTTACACACCGGCTGAATTTGTAGTGTATGAGGGCCATATTTGAGTGAGAACGTGTTTAGGTAAATTGTTGAAAAGATGTATTTCCCATTCTTTAAATTGTCCCATGTATCTGAAAAAAAAAATGATTTAACCAAAATAGTCAGTTAAGTATTTGGTATTTGTATTGACTTAAACTGGGTAAACTCAGTTTTTGAATATTTTAATATGTTAAAGTGAGAAGGGGAGAATGTTACCCCTTTGTACTTAGAAATTATTATGATTCATGTTTAACAGGCAGTTTGTAAAACAAAAGAGAAAAGGGTGCTAATGATAAACATGGAAGTATGAAGTTAGAAAATATGCGTTATTTTTAAAAGGCTGGTAGAAAGTGAACAACACAAAAGATCATCTCTCTGTAAATGCTATAGATCTATCTTTCAGACCTTGCAACATAAAAATTAATATGTAATTCCAGGACAAAGAAATGAACCCAGAATGAGAAATGAGAAGGCAATACAATTTCTGAGGAGCAAATGTTGCTGCAACGAGCAATCTGTCATCAGGTACAAAAGCCCAAGGACCCGGCTGACTTCGGCATAGGATGAAAGCTTTACCGTAGGACAAACGATGGCCGAAGTGTCCGGGGAGCCGGCCTTTCTCAAGTTACCGGCTCGGAAACAGACTTTGGATTTGCGTGTGGGATTGTCAGCTCCTCTGATGCAGAGCTGTGTGTCTGTGTGGGCAGTATTACTTAGGTATACGGTGTCAGCAACAGAGAAGCTGGGATTAGCGAAGAGTTAAAGATGCACTCTCTGCTATAACCTATAACGGGCTTTATGAACTCATATGCACACAGGAAGACACACATGTATGCACACACACACACCCTAAGTGACACTGCTGTCTAAATATCCTGCAGCGAGGGGGTCTTCCCTGTGTGTGTGGGCAGAGAGGGGACAGGTGTCCGATGCCTGTCAGACAGATGGACAGGAATAGAGGGTTGACATCATGTGTTAGTTTGGGCGGCAGGAGACAGACAAAGGTCTTTACATGGGCCGTGGCCCTCCGAGAGAGGCTGGGAGACAGACACTAAGCGGGCCACTGTTGGGAGCAGATTTGGACCCCGTCAGGGTGTGTGTGGGAGGGTCTGAGGGAGGTTAAGGACACACACACACACCCACAGTTGTGAGATGAGGGACCTCATATCTCCTTCAGGTTCAGACAAAGGTGGACACGCGGTCCCACACACTGTGTATGCAGGTAAGACACACTCTTACATAACCTGGTTCGCTTGTGGATTGAAGGCAAAATCAGTTCTTTTAAGATAAAAGGATTGACCTTATTTCAAAGGATTTTTCAATTTCTATGATACGTAAGCACTGTGGGAAGTTTACTATTTTTTGCAATTTTTTTGCCATTGGTGTTTCTACTTGAAATGATCATGACAAAATTATTCAAATAAGAGGTCAATCTAAGTGTAGCTGAATTTGTGTCTTTTGAGGATTACGAGGCTAAAAGCTTGCATATGGGTTTTCTTCCTATTGCAATTGTTTATAGTTATTTTAAACATGTCGGTGGCTTAATGTTAGGGATAGAAGGGGATGATTTGTTGCCACCAGTCCAACTCATATATGCTGGATATGCATGGATTACGAATGGATTTACAGGCATCAGGGATTCTCAAAGGATGAAAACATTATTTTTTTCAAATGTAACTGGAAAGATAACATGATATCATTTGCACATTTGATGCATTCAAGTGAAGGCGTGTTTGAGGCTTTTCAGTATTTCAGACTAGTCAAAATAATGTCAGAAAAACAACATTCCCATCAGTATCACAGCTTCCGTTTCATACCAGTTAGCCGAAAACATGCCTGTGGCTTCTTATTAGCTCAAGATACAACCCCTTTAGATCAGGCTTTGTGGGCAGTGCAGTTAATTTTTTAAAACGTTATCACAGACAGTTTGATATTAGGGCGTTGTGCTTTTTCTGTTCACACCCACCTTTGTTCTGCTACTTATGTGAAAGAAATTAAAGTCCATTTATTCAAAGATATATAAAATACCAATGTGTATTTGCATAGACTTCTTCAGCCTATAACTATGTCAAAAGCAAATTCATGTGAGGTGAGCCAAGATACTATAAAGAGTCAAATAGCCTTGGACTGATCAGAGACACAGAAAGAAACATGCACACAGTTGTTATTCCATCACATCAAATGAAATTAGAATTACTTACATTTATCTTTTCACCACAGACTCCCTGGCAGTAACTCCTGGTTTCTTTTATTCTGAAATAATAATCACAACGTCAGAGAAAATACACCCAAAACTCAAACAATAAAACAAACAAAAAGAGATTTTAGTCTCTAGGTGAGTTTGGGTGTAAGAAACAAAATTATTATTGATTATCATAGGCTGCACCACCACTGTTATTAAAGCAAGCTTTTTAATTTTCACTCCTGGTGAAAAGTAAAAAGTCATTTGCTTCCCAAAATAATCTGCAGTGAAGAAAGGCAACATTAAAATTACCCTTTTCTTTTTTTTAAATGTCACATCCAAATGAGATTTCTGGGAAAATGTCATGCGGGGATGATGTTCGCTTACTAGGAATAATTGTAATTACTTTTAGGCCCCAAATAAACCCATTTGCCCGTGTATCATGACTGTTTTGTGTATCCAGTTTTGTTTGTGTATGCCCTCAGATATTAATGCTGTGCCTTCATGAGCCACAACATGTAGGTGACCCACACGGGCAGTTCGAGCTAAATTTGACTGCATAAAGGGTCAAAGGGTCTGTAGTGTTAAATATAACAAAACATAATGACAATTTTTTAAGACAAGTTTGAAGATAATGGTTTATAATTGGTTGCATCTTTGTAATTTCTCTTTTCTACTGCACAATGATATGCTTAGAAAAAAATCAAAAATCCAACCAAATAGGAGTCCAACTTGTTGTTTTTTTGATTAGCCAAGAGCTGAAGTCACCTCTGATTATCCAACTTTATTTAAAAAAAACATTTTTATCCGATCTTCATGTTCCCAAATATTGTGTTCGCCAAATATGACTTCTAAACTGAGTAAATGCACACACACAAACACACCGACATGTACTCACAGGCTCAGTTTGTGAAGGACGGACACTGTGATCTAACCTTCCTGGAGTGTAGGATTCAACTCTGGAGAGCTGCAGGAATTCTTTGTTCTAAATCCACAACACGCTCTGCTGTCTGTCACTAATGCTCCCTGCAGCTCAACACTGAGATGACTACTATCCGAATCGGTCACCAGACACACTGCAGTGAGCTGTCTCACTGTCATGCTTTTTCATGATGTTCCTGCCTATTTCAGCATATTTAATTTGTCTTCCTTTTATTTTTCTACCATTCTTGCAGAGCTGCAGCGTGGAGAGAGTGTTGTGGAGAAACAGGTGAAGGAGGCTCGAACCAAATGCCGTTCAATTGCATCTCTGCTGACTGACGCCCCAAATCCCAACTCAAAGGGGGTTCTTATGTTCAAGAAACGCCGGCAGAGAGCCAAGAAGTACACGCTGACCTGCTTCGGCAAAGCTGAGGGTGACAGAGGAGGGGAGACAGAAGGAGAGACCGGAGGAGAGACTGAGGAGGAGGGAGGAAGTTCAATCCTGAGTGGCTCAGAAGTTGATGAAGAAGGATTTTCAGCATCTTTTGACCCGACGTGGGATTCTGGTTATCTTGACCTGCTGGACAGGAGAAGCTCCGCCTGTCCATCGACAACTCCGACCACTCCAACCACACCAACAGCCAATCACGGTGCAGAGCTGGACCTCTCGGTTCATCAAACACCGCGACTTGTGATTTCTGACAATCAAAGTCCAGGGTTCGTGGTCTCAGGGTTGGAGAGCTCAGCGAAGCACGGCTCAAGGCTGGAGAGCAACATCTCAAAACCATCATTTGGTCACCACTCCTCTCAAATGTCTCCTCCAGCGGTGGCTCTGACCAATGGGGGGTCGGTCGCTGTCAGCCGTGCCAGCGTTGTTCTGACCTCGCCCTCACAGACACTCCTTCCGAGTCAAAATGGGCACCACGGCAACCCCGGTTCAACTCCTAACCCTGACTTTAATTCAGGCCCAAACACAGACTCGCTCAGCTTCGGTGCTAATCCGAGTGTCCTGAACCGCACAGCCCGCCCCTTCACCCCTGGCTCCACTCCTTCTCGTGCATCCGTGACCTCTGTGATGTTCCGGCCCCCGCAACCCAAGCCCACCGCCATAACCATGGCGACCAAACCTGTGGCCGCCGTATCCATGGTGACTCTCTCGCCTACTCAACACCAACCTGATGCAAGGAGAGCGGTGTCTAGCACCTCTCTGTACATCCCTCCAAGAAATAACAACAGCAACCCTCCCTCAGCAGTCCTTTCACCTCCATTCTCCGTGCCGTCTACGCCTTTCTCTCCGCCTCCTTCTGCAAATGCACAGTTGTACGCTTCGCCTGCGACCCCACTCTCACCATCTGCTGTTCAGGGTTCTCTGCTTTGTCCCTCACCTGCCCAGCCATTCTCCCCTCCAGCTCCGCCACCATACCTGTCTCCCACTGCCCCAAGTCATCCACCTGCATCAACCTGCATCTCAGCCTCTCCCGCTTACGCCCTCAGTAACCCATCCGATTTGACCCAAGTCTCTTACCCTGCTCCTTCTCCCAACCAACACCATCCATCTCCGTCCGTCCACCCTTACATCAACATGACAGGAGCGGCGAGTCCCGCATTGCCCCCTCAGGCCTCGTCCAATGACTCCCTGTCCACACGGGAGCAGCGCATCTCAGTCCCGGCTGCCCGCACCGGCATCCTACACGATGCCCGTCGGCGTAGCCAAAAGAAGCCAATGTTCAGTGCGCTCACAAGCAAAGATGTCTCTCCAAACCCCGACTTGTTGACGATGGTCCAGAACATGGATGACCGATTCGGGAGAACCCCGGCCGAGCCTGGAGCTGAGCCTGGAGCAGAGCCTGGAACAGCACCCGCCGGAGAGGCTGGACATGAATCGGGGCCCGAGGAGGACTGGCTGAGGCTGGGAGCGGAGGCCTGTAACTTTATGCAGGCCCAGCGAGGACCCAGGCCACCGCCAGTAGCTCCCAAACCCCAGAGCCCTCAAGTGCCGCAGCTCGGGGGGAAGGGAGGTCAGCTGTTCGCCCGCAGACAGAACAGGATGGATCGGTATGTTGTTGAGCGATCTCCATCTGTGGCCGCAGCCCCTTACTCGCCCGCTCAGACACGGGAGCCCTCGCCCACACCTTCACTTCCCTCTGCCTGGAAATACTCGTCCAGCATTCGCGCTCCACCCCCCATCAACTACAACCCGCTCCTCTCTCCTTCTTGTCCTCCAAAGGCTCAGAAGAAACCAGAGGTGGCAAAGTCGGGGACTGCTACCCCTAAGGGGAAGAGGCCAGGTATGACGTCTGTGGACATTATGAGCCACCAACCATACCAGCTCAACTCTTCCCTGTTCAGCTATGGAAGCGGGACTCCCCAGGACACCCCTAACCATCAGCAGCAGAGGGGAACGACCGGTGCGCCTCAGAAGACAGCGAGAGTCTATGAGGTGAAGCGGTTCTCCACACCCCCACCGGTGGCCACAGGGCCTGCCCTCAAAGTCATCGTTCCTCGATCAGCTACAACCCTCGGAGAACCACTGAGGCGCTCTGATGTCACCTCTCCTCAGCCCACTGCTGGTTCCATGCTTTACCAACAACAGCAGCCTCCATCCCAGCCTTACCAGTCCCAGTGGGCCGCTTCCACTTTGTCTTCCCCACCCCCTCCCGCCCCGTCTGCACCACTCCCTCAGCTCCCCACCTTCTCCTCTACTCTTGCCCCAAATGCTGTCCAGATTCCTACCTTTACTCACCTTCAGCCACCGGCGGTTCCGCAGGCCAACAGGCAGTTTAAAAGTGCCCCGGATCTAAGTCCTCTCGGCCCGGCTGGTACCCCACAGGCCGTATCCGGCAGCTCTCAGCCCACAAGGGTCCCCCGGCCACGGTTCAGCACCTCCAACCTGGGCCTGCAGCCTTGTGTGTGGCGTCCTGGATCCACAACGCACTGAAATAGGTCCTCGTCTGGACATGATAAACGAAGCTCTGTGGGATTTTTAAACAATGTGTTCTTAGTTTTTTGATAGTCTTGTTCCAGCCTGCAGAAGGGGTTTCATCAGTCCTGTTTGATCACATTTCATGTTTTGACTGGCCGCACGTGTAGCATACTTTGATATTTAATTTTTTTTTTAGCAATAATCCATCCCGATATTTCTCAAAGCTGTGAAAAGGAACCCAGTTTTGGGAGGTGGGAATTCAGTGTGGGCACATGTGATGTTTAAGGTATGGAAACAAACCATGGACTGTCGAAGAAGAAATTACTGATGGGAAAAACTGATATGAAGTTCTGTAAATATTGTCCAGAATTATAAAGTTAAATGGTGAAAAAAGAGGAACAGAGGATGTGTAATTATAAGACTGCTTATTAGCAAGGTGGAATAATGGGAAAGGATAAACATGAATGAAAGATAAGTAATGGTTGAAAAACTAGTTAGTAGAAGGTTCAGATTTGACTTATAACTCCAACAACCTGTAACATCCCACCTGTTACTATTCGACTACAATATATTTCAATAGTCGTTTTACCAACAACATTTATATATATATGTGCTTGTGTGTGTGTGTGTGTGTGTGCGTGTACACAGAATTTGTTATTTTGGATTGATCTTTTTAGACGTGAGCTTTGTTTTCTGCAGTTTTCAATAGGGAAAAGACGACTTTTACAGTAGACTTGAATTGAAACAAGAGAAGCATAACAAGTCTGTTTAATGGTTATTCTTTTCCACAGAGACATGCGGCTGAATAAAAATAGGCATGACTCACCTCAGCTGTCATTATGTTTCTCCTTGTGCCACCCGTGTCATCACACTGAGCTATAGTATCTCCTCCCTCTACCATTATTATTATTTTGTAATTATTTTTCAACTATTTGGAAACTCTCGCTGCAGTTTCCTTCAGATTCAGGCAGTTTTTCAGACAAGTTAATTCAAGAAAATGGTTTTAAATTGCAGTTCAAGCTTTCACCACATGGAGGCACTGTTGGATGCAACTCGGACCTCTCCCAACAATTCACAGCCCCCCCCCCCCATTTCTGTGATTAATGAACACTTCACTCTTATGTTCACTCGCCCCGGTTACTTAATTGCTTTTTATATAAGCTGTAAATGCATAGAAAATCTGACATCCCACATAAAAAAACAGGATAAAAACATTTAGAAGATATGCCTTTATTTATCTAATTTTGCCTCAGTATTTGGTTGAACTTGGCATTGTACTTGTGGGGCTGTTGACCCACATCTCAAAGCAGCTTAATCACATCGAAATGAATGGAGCTTGCAGCTTTGAAACCCAACTATGGCCACTGAGAGGGATCTAACCTCTGACCCTTGAGAGGGATCAGTTGACAGACATGGCTAACTTTAGCTGCTAACTTTAGTCCAGCACAGGTCCAAAGGTAAGTCTAGCTGATGTGTCGTTGGAATGGAAAACACACAAACAAAATGTGCAGCAGGTTATTGCTAATGGTTTTAGTAGCTGTAACAGACAATTCTCTCTAAATCTCTGACATACGCTTGGTTTTCTAAAACCCTCCCTGCATTCATCACAATGTCAAGTGTAAACCTCAGTCTAATTCAAGCCCTGAGCCTAAAATCAGATTTTGTTAATAGATAACATATAAAAACTTGTGGGATACAGCATTTTAGTCCTTTATAAATTATGTACAGTTTATAGTCCTCAAAAAGCGGTAGGACCCCACAAATGAGGACAGTTGGATGCTTTTGGATTGTATGAACATAATAAAGCAACACACACGAGACCCATTTCACCTATTTTTAGAGCTGTTAATCTCTAACTATTTGGCACAGTACTAAACTCCTAAATCGGATGGGTTTTTTACAACGTGATGCAGAGCAAAGAGGAAGTGCTACCTCTCATAGCCTCGTGGATCCTGTCACCATGTTTCTGCCACAGGGGGTCGAGTGTTTGGAGTCAGAGGTCAGTACGGGGAGATCATGGGCAAATAAAGGTCATTCTCAGGCTCACGTAAAGACGTGATTTGAAGTTTTTCTGTCTGGAAAATGTAACTATCACAGCTCTTTCCTAATTCCATGTTTATTTATTAATTTGACAGATATATGTTTTACTAATAAGAAACCAGGGGACCTCCCAAAGTGGTTCCACTGACCTTTCAGTGAGTGGTTGTACCCATATTATGTAATTTAACGGACTTCAAGGTTTGCACCTACCCAAAACATTGAAATTTCCATTTTCTCCCAAAGCGTTTTTGTATTAGCCATCACACTTAAGCTTCAGTTCAGCTATTCACTATTGACTTCATTTATAAATTTAGAGACTTTTATGTTTTGCAATCATGATAAAGAAAACAAAGAGTTAAATGGGAGCTGGAAATGTTAAAAAGAAATCACAGGTTGCATTATGAGGATTTATGGCAAACTTCAACAAAAAAAAGGTGACATTCATAATCACAACAGCTGTGTTTGGCTGGAGAGATGTCAATTCTCACAAGAAAACATTTGACTCTGACATTCTCTCTTCTGTCCAAATCATATTAGTATCACATGACATGTAAATAATTAGATGACACAATTTTGACCCAAAGTAAGTATCTGTTATCTCGGTTTTATCTCGGGCCTTGACCATGTATAATTGACAGTAATCTGAGCAGTTTGATATCAAAACTCATCAACTTTGACTGACACTTAAGTTGAAAAGTGAAAATTTATTTTTCAATATATGGTTTAATGGGACTTGATTTAAGATCTCCAGTGTGATGGTGGTTTAATCCCCACTTTTACTCACTCCTACTAGCTTTTGAACATGTTGAAAGATGTTCTAGTGGTGTGAAACCACACAATCAAGTCAGGTTTAGTAAAAAGTTGTCATGACATGATTTAAAATACTGGAACATGGTGTAACCATAAAAATATATATTGTTTGCCAAAAATTCTGAGAATTTCTTAAGTCTACACCCCCCACCCACCTCTTCCTATGCCCCGTTCTTGGCCCACCCCACCCCCGGGTCTGGTCTATAGCACTGGAACAGCCCTGCTTATTGGGTTTCACTCTCTGCAGGGCAAGGAAGAGGGCAGGCCGTACGATTAAATCTCTGGGAATCTAAATTCCTGTTCCTCTGGGACCTGCGTCTTGTTGTGGATTCCTGGGTCTTACAGGTAGGACATAAGAGAGGTGAAACTGTGTGATAGAACTGATGGAAAAACCAAAGGAATCACCTCACACATGCTTTGAATTTTTTCTTGGATTATCTGATGCTAATAAGATAGTAATTAAGTCATCATCTTATCTGGGCTCTCGTCTCAATACAATGAGACAAGTTCAGCTGAATATGGGCTCTGTGAGTAACACATTTTGGCTGTGTGGTCCACGTGGACCTCTGGGATTGAATGAAATATTCAAACAGCAATCAAAAGCTCAGCATAACACAGAATGAATCAGGCAAAACCATAATCACCAAGGAAAGCCCTCAAGTGAATTGAAGGTCATGAATATTTTCAAATATGTACCATGATTTTCGTCATTATGAAGCTTGTTTTCAAACCAAATCTGAATCACTGCGCGGTGGAGAATAAGCTGAGGAAGTCACTTATTACACGGTGGTTAATGAGGAATGTGGACCTCTGTGGTGGAGTTTTTAGTCCTCAGGGATGGATAGATGTGTGTATTTGGGAATGTGCTGACTGATGCCCTTCCTTCTCAGCTGTCCCTTCGAGATTTATCTGGAGCTAAAACAGGCAGGTCGAGGGGGACAGGAGCGCCTCTTCTTTTTAGTGAGGCAGTAACAGGACCCAGGCCTTCGCACACAGATCTGCTGGCTGCCATCAGCGCAGCATTTTGCCTCCATCTTGCATTTCTCAGAACATCCTAAAACACCTGTAATCTCCCGTTTTTGATGCCGCTGCCACTGACTTACATCAATCACTAGACTAAAGCTATCTAAGGGGTATATTTGTGTGTGTCTGTGCAGGCGGAGGAGTTGCGTGCATGTTTTGTACTGATAACTATCCCACTCACCGGAGTGCTATGGAACATGGGCTCATAAAAATAGCTCACACAGGACTGAATCCCCAGCTAGGAAATGAGCTTCAATTACAGCGGATGAAAAGCAATTACATTAACTGTCTCCCTGTAGACGGGTCCTCCTGCTTTTTGCCTTGTACAGGGACTCACCTCCAGCTTTACATAATTGCTTTCGACCTGTGCAACTGACAGCGACATACGGCCTGTGCCCCATTAGAGCGGTTAGTCAAGAGAGACACAAGCTGCCACCAGGAATTAGTGTCCTCAGGAGCATGTCGAGGTTATACTCCATGCTTAGAGTGTTCCTAACTTGATTAAGGTACCCACCGAGGTTCCATTGGAGCCCACTTCAATCTTAGGTGGATGTGCAACTTCATTATACATAAATATCTCAGGGGAGTAAGCTCTCAGATAAAATGGATACACTTGACACTTTTATCCTGTGGCCGAACATATCAGTTGGACACCGTGAAAACCAAATAAATGCAAATATCTGGACAACGATCCTTAAAATGACATTAAGCCTTTCTTATGTTGCAAATATGTTCACTGCTAATCCATTGATTGATTGGCCACACAAATTGGGAAAAGTGGAGCAAAGTGCTTTATTGAAAATTCCCAATGCCAGTTTGTAATTAGATTGAAAAAAAAAAAAGTTAAAATTAAATAAAATGTATTTACATCCCCTAAAATCATTCAAGTAACAGATGGTCATCCTTTTCACTTTAGAAAAGGTTAAACGAGTAATTGTATCCTTTGATAAAATCAGAGGTTGTGCCATCCGCGTCTCTCTTTTAGTATTGTCATAATTAAGTAATTAGATCTTTGTCACATGATGTCAACAGCTGGATCAAGAATCTCAACAGAATAAGATGACTAGTTGGGATATAATGTTAAAATTCAGACATTTGCCTGACTCAGGTCTCTGCAGATGTGATTCATATGGATACGTCACAACATTAACATTCAGTGTCTGTGTACATCTTGTTATAATGAATGGCCACTACTATCCAGTTTTCATTCTAATCACTTTTCTATTATCCTGCCACTACTAAATTACTGCTGGAATTAGAATACATGTCTCAATTTAGGTGACATGAAATAACGTTAGTATCTGAAAAATAAACTGTTCATAAATTGTTGTTCATGTTATGCAATGTGAATGTTACCCGACACAAAACAACAACAATGTCACAATATTCCTCCTCTCCCTCCCTCCTCTTATATTACCTCCTCCTGGGCAGAATATGCTCGTCGCACTGGCCATTGTGCAAGCAAACTATGATATCCGTTCATTTCATCCCAAACAGTAGGTGTCACATACAGGAAGAAAACTTTTCATACATAAACTTACCTCATTGGGAATGATGATGTCTGTCAGAAACCAGTGGATGGAGATCCAGCTGGAAGCCTTCACTTAATTTCTTCTATTTCTAAAATTCTTTTGCAAGTGACAAGTTGTAAAACCAGGTTATGCAGTATTGGTAGAAATAATAGCAATCTGTGCTGCACATTAAATTCTGTTATCAAATTTAGCCAACCACAAAGTTTTCGTGTTCCATGTTTTTACTGATGAGGGATTATGACTTTTTTGTATGTTCTGTGTATGTGCAGAAGAAAACACTTTTCTGTTTGTAGCCACAAAGCATTTGCATTTGAAATGAATAATAAAGGTGCATGTAATGCACTGAAAACTGACGAAGACCACTTCATAAAGTCTGTTGTTTTAAAAAAAAAGACTATAGATGTTTGGTATATATTCATTTTAGCTTTAAACTTTCAATCCTAAAGATTTAATTTCATTTCCACCATGCGCAATGCTTTTGATTGATTTGGTGTAAAACTGCAGCTGAATACGTTTAAAAGCTGCAATCCCTGTGCAGCAGAGTGGTGAACATGATTATGAAAGCTGCAACATTTCTTGTCTGCTCTGTCTTGCAGCCATGCCTCTCTCAACTCCTGCCCCTCCTTACAAGAGGTCAAAGGTCAACAAGATCATCACTGATCTGTCCAACATCAGCCAATGTGGTAAAACACACACACTCTCTGACATACAATCACACTTTAAACGCACTGTTTAGATATCTAACCATAAGGAACTCCCAACAATATCGTTAAACAGTTTGGGAAATGCCATAAAAATAAAAGTTTGCGAGCTGCAAAGTGCACATGTCTCATTTAAACCGCATGGATGTGAATTACCACACATAATTGCTACTACAATTGAAAAAAGACGCACACTTAAAGCAGTAACAGAATATCTAACACGAGTGAGGAATCTCCTACAGGGATGTGACTCATTATCAAATGGCAAAGCAGCCACAAATCTGTCACCATTGCAGGCAACACAAAATACCAGCTGGTGATTCTGATCACTATATATGTCTGAGGCCAAAGCTATGACTAAATTAGAATCAATGCAAAGCAAAAGAGGTCAAATCCTGGCAAACTTAATCTGATAGCATCTTTTAAAAGTTCAGCAGTCACTGTAGGAACGTATATGTGTGTTAAAATGAATTTCTTTGCTTCAATACATATATACACAATATACTCTTTTTATTATGCAGCGTTTACTTTGTTTAACTACTGGCTACCCAGGTTTGGTTTTTTATATTCTTCCTGTATTTCTGCCCAAAAGTCCCCTCCCGTGAATGAGAGACTTTGCATTCTGCAGGAGAGATCCACCAGAAACAGAATGTTTTATGCAGTTTTCTCTGCCAGACCCACCAGTTGGTCCATCTGTTTAAACTCAAGTCGTGCAGCTTATAATGGTTCAAACCAAGCATAATACTTCTAATTATAGCAGTCAGCCCAAAGTCTTGATAAAATACCAAAAGTATCAGGATTAGTTTTTGGAACGTAAAGGGAATCAGAACGGCTCCAATAAGAATCAGAGTCAAAACAACTTTGGGGATTTTATTGTACACTTACATTTTTCTGCTACTTGAAAAGAATAATGGAAAAACTTTGGTGGCTTGCACTGATCTGCATGTGCACGATTTTAAGTGAACTGCCCCATGTGAACCTGCCGCAGCGGCTCTAGCATTTCTTCCCAAAGCGACGACACCTTTGATGGGCAGGTGAATTGTCTGAGGCGTGTTCCGCTGCTCCGTGTCAGATGTGATCAGCTCCGGGACCCCCCGAGATCCTCTTAAAGATAAAAGCCTGTATTAGCTAATGGATGCTCGGACCAACTCACAGGAGGGGATCTTCTGCATGAGTTGATATTTCTGTTCGTGAAAGTGTCTCGGTGAAATGTACGACTTGCTTTTGAAGTGCAGTCTTTTTTTTAAAAATAATTGTACATAATTATTAAAGTGCTTTTGCTCAAGTCGTAGAAACTTAACATCAACGAGGAAAAGATCACATTTTTGGGGCTTAAGACATCAAATATTGAATCACCACATGTAGCTACAGCTGAGCGACGTCTCTTTTAACAGCGTTAACAGTGCAATACGCCATGTAAATGCTGGCTGAAGATGACTGTCTCAAAGTGTAACATCATTTAAGGGCAGTAAGGCATCCGCTTTGAAACAGTCTAGGTCTGACTATGCTTTGTTTAAAACTATTTCAACCTCATAAGGATATACTTAGGCAATTGATCTATGCTTATTGGCATAATATTTGTCATTACATATTCAAAAAAAGTAAAAAAAACGTTTCAAGTGGAGGTGTATTAGTGGGGGCTGTGCATTTACCATAGTGGACACAGATCCATATGCGGACTCTTAGTCAGGGCACAGAGGGGCTATTTTTGTTTTCATTCCGAAACTGTCACAGACTGACACCAGGAACCTGCAGCATAGGTTTTTAATGCAGAGGGTACCACCAAAACATCCTTTTAGGACGGGCTGCGTAGACCTGAATTCAGTTTTTCAGAAGTTCATCCAGATGGACAAAAAAGTTCTTATTTGCTATAGTGATTTAGAAATTAAAAATATATCTGAATAGGAAGATATGGCAAAGTGTTAAGAAATCTGATTGTTTACATGTTGCAAATTAAGCATTAGAGACTATACAAAAGTTATCTGGGATTTTTGCATTTTTTGTGCATATCCAGTTGGGTTACAGCTATCAAACTCGAGATGCAAATAAAGTCAGGGGTGGATGATCATGTATTCTGGACTAGAAGTGGATTTAAACAGATTTTTGCAACAACATATGTTGATATGTGGACGCATTTGATTTTTAGGTCCAGTGTTTATACAAAGGAAGATCTGTCTGTGTACAAATCCTGCTAAGCTCCACTTTGGAGCTTGACTTTGCCAGACATGCTGAGAAGGGCACAACATCTTTTCTGTAGTTGGTCATGTGGGGTTTCTCTCTTTTTTTAAATGATTTATCTCTGAGCATTAAAACCTGCCACAGAAACGAACCTGATTGTGTGTAAACACGCCATTGGACAATCTGTTGATGCCTCCCCGCATTTGTCTCATTTGCTTTTTTTTTTCTCCCCCATGCCAGTCCTTCTGCTCTCACATCTGTATCCGCATCTGTAACTTTCCACCAGCTTGTTTTCGGGCAGTTCCAGGAGCTTATCCCGCTTATCCCCCTATATCGTCCCAGTTAATACGCACACATCTCTTCATTATCCCGGCCACTGTGTCTTTCTGTCAGTCTGTGTCATCCATCTGTCCTCTCCTCCCTCTGTCGGTGTGTCCGCTTTCCTCTCAGTCAGCAGCCCGCTCTGGTTTCGCATTCTCCTAAATTAACGCCGATATATATCCCCGTGGTGGGCTTTCATCCGCGCGGCAGCCTCAATTATTCTCCCTCAGCCTCTCACGCGTACATGCGCACTTAAAACACAACTACTCGCACGGGCCTGATTTACGAGGGACTGCGACCGGCTCTCTGCTGCCTTGCGATGCCAACTCGTGGCTTTATAGATGTGCCTGTGTGAGTGGGTTTATGGCCGGACTCCAGGTGTTATGAGTGATATCAGTGGATGCGGGCTGGCGGTGGGGAGCGTTTTATGAGGAGCTCTGTGGAGCCGTAAAAGCCATCACGTCTCTGCCTTGGTGACAAAGAGGCTGAGAGACCATGCATGTTATAAGGATTTCCCTCCATAAACAAGGGCCTGTTTCGACGTTCCCCGGTGGGATTTTGCTTCCATATCACCTTGGCCTACTAACCCCTACGACTCCCCTGAACACATCCTCCTACGCCACACAACAGGTTTCCACTCCAGTTTATCACTGCGAGTGTGGTCGAAAACCTCATCATAAAAATATGCCCCTTAAAGCCTTGAACATAAATAAGGCTGACCATATAGTGTTTAGATGGTCACAAACCTGTGTCCAACCAGCCAGCACAAACCTTTCTTCTTTCAATAAGAAAAAAGCCGCCTCACATTTTCATTTAGATACTCAAGCGTCAAACTAATGCTGATTGATAGTCTTGAGATTACATTTAGTATTAATACATTAATACATCTCAACAATAACCAATTAATCTTCCAGTCTTAAAAAGCCACCAAACCTTTGGGATGAACCTACGTCTACCCACAACAGCTTATTTAGTACCAAAGACCTGTCTCAAATACATTGTTTTGTCTAATTTTTGTCTTTAAAAGAAAAAGCTAAACTGACTTTTTTGAGGAAAATGGATTAGTGGAGAAGTAAAGAAATATAGTCAGACTTTGGACTTTTATTTGGGTTTGTTTCTTTTTGGGTATTTCTTTTTCTTTAATGAATTTAATGGCCATTACCACCTTAACTCAGCATGATTGGACAGAAATGAATAGTAATCATTAATTTGGATGTTTTTTGCAATGCAGACTGAACAAGTATCTCTGTGTTTTTTCACTCCATTCCTTTCCCCGACAGAGGATGAGTCGGAACCCGATGCTAATGAGTTCGACTTGGGCACCAAGATCAAGACCCCCAAGGATGTGATGCTGGAGGAGCTCTCCCTCCTCAAGAACAAGGGCTCCAAGATGTTCAAGATGAGGCAGCAAAGAGTGGAGAAGTTCATTGTGACCACCGAGAACATGGTGAGAGAAAAAGAAAAGAAGCACACACAGTCTGCTTATGCTGCATGCAAAGGTTTGCTCTGATGATCTTTTATGCTATGTGTTTAATAATCTACCAGCAGAACCTTCAGAACCTGCTGATGTTCCCTCCAGTTCCACCCAAGCCTGTGATGCCCAAGGAAGAAAGTAGGGACAAATGTTTAGTTTTTAGTTACAATCTCTCTATCGAGAGTTTGCTTGTAATCTGTCTCTGTCTCTCTGTCAGAGGTGGAGGAGACAGTGGATGATGAGGCAGAGAAGGAAAAGAGGAGGAAGGAGTACGTGCGCACCTACGTGTCACCATGGGAACGTGCAATGAGAGACAACGAAGAGCTCAAAGCCACCATGAGGGCCTCCATGCCAGGACCCATCCAGTTCCACCCAGACCTGCCTCAGTACAAGAGCTTCAACAGGTACACAAATGACCACTGTCCCGAAAATAAAACAATTGAAACAGTACAAAGTTCAGTGCCTTTCAGTTATACATTTCACCATTTATGTTGTTTTGAGAGACTTAAACCTGCCTGAGAATTGTTTTTCAATGTATAAATTCTGTCATGTGTAAAAGCCTCAAAACAGAAAACTTAATCATAAATGATGCTGAAAGACCACAGAAGTAGTGAACAGAGTTGCTAGAAACTAAGTACAACAGGTTGGAATCTCTGCCAGATATAAATAGTCCTTCAAATCTTGATCTAATATTTCAGGAGACATCAAGCTCCTATTTTGTCTCTTGCCCTCCTGCATCTGCTGTCTTTCTGATGGATTTGGAAGGCTTTAGGAAGGCCAAGTTACTAAAAATTAAGCACTGTAAAGAGGCATTGTAGATTTAGACATATTTTTGCATATGGAGTTATGACTGCGCCATCCGTCTCAGCCTCACTGTCTCTCACTCAACCTCCATCACTATGACAACAAGATTCCTGTTTGTCAGCGCTGAAAAGCCACTTCCTCCCCAGCTGTGTTTCCATAGCTTTTGCCCCCTCAAAACTTGATTCTGTGGCGAGGAATTAAGCTCCGATTCAACCAGAATGGAGCGTATGATGTTGACTGTATTTGAGAGTTTTTTTTCCACACCGTACGTTTTTAGGTGTCCACGGCTTCCGTTAGTTTTAGTGCTTTAACATCTTGTTCTTTGTGTGGCTTGCACTTCATCATTTTTCTCCGCTTTCTTTTCCGTCCCCAGGACGGCGCTGCCGTTCGGCGGCTTCGAAAAGGCGTTCAAAATGCTGACCTTCGAGCTGCCGCAGGTCAACGTGGAAGACGAGGAGCCCGAGCCCCTCCCCTCCCTGCAGGCCGACATCCGCTCGCGGCCCTCCTTCAACCGCACGCCCATCGGCTGGGTCTGCAGCGAGGACAACTCGCACATTCACATGGACGTGGACGCCCCGTTCGACGGGGAGACGGACGACCTGTGAACGCGCGTGCAGACATGAGCATATTTACAGTGCATGTAGTCAGAAACACACACATTGACAGAGGCACTGGACCTCAGAAACGCCCAAAGAATGCACACAGTGATTTCCAGATTAGAATTGACACCACTGACACGAACCAATAAGCACTTTTAGACCTGTAGAGGCACAGCCGAACACTGAATGAAACCTGCTTTAGTTAAATGGAAACAAAGACCTTTTAAAAAATGTGGAAAAGGACAAAGCATCTCCTTGTGTGATTTCTTATTACTCAACTATTAATGAGTCTTATTCTGATTTTGCATACTGTGAGCTGGTGTGAGACCTTTGTGAATAGCAATAGATACGCATTCTGCACTCTTAAAACAATGTAAATATGCAATAAATCTCCCCTTTACAGATTGTCTGGTGACTTTTCATGATGAAATCTGGTCTGGAACATTTTTTTTCCCATTCAACACGAATAATAAATATAATTTATTGCCAAGTGACCCTTGCCATCTCCAAAAATGATTTATTTTACAGCTTCAGTCTTTAGAGTCAGGGTCAAAAGTTCAAAATACAACTCAACTCAAATGTACCATCCAAAAAGCATGCTGTATTCACCTTTCAGATATTTATTGACTGCAAACCGCTCAGTCAAACTGTGTTTTCCCATCTAAACCACTTTTTAAAAGGGAGCAGTGGGCTTACATGTAACTTGCCGAGCGAATATTATTGTTTCATTATTGTGAAATGTTTTTCCCTGTCCCAGTATAAATTATAAGATAAGAACTGATTTATTGATCCATCTATGTATGTCTTTAATATAGGTGGCAATTCAATTTGTTAGTATTTGGCTTCTGACGTTGACATCAACAAATGAAACGCATACTGTCCCTTGCCGTTCTTCATTGCTACCAGTTTTTGTATGGAAAAATGTAGAGCATACGGAAAGCCCCTCGGCTAGTCAGAGTCCAAAAATGCATGCAGGAAAAATAAAACTCTGTGGCATCATCTGGGCATGTCGGACTTTAAAAGATTTCCCACAGCGTGGTTTAAGTTTGGTTGAAAGAGATAATGGACAAAGATAAAGGCTAAAATCCAAATGTCTCTACATGCAACCACTAGGTTTGTGGTGACCCTTTAACTTTTTAGGCCTGCATGTAAAGACGTCCCATGTGATAAATCTTTACCACTTCATGGTGTCCCTGAGGCAGTTGCATTGCTGGGTGATGGTTAGACATTGTAAGTACCTGACCATGACTGGAAAACAGGTCTTTTTTATTATTTGAAGAGTTTCTTCCTTTAACACAAAGGTTAGTGGTGTTGGCCTTTACTTTTTGGGGAGCAAGAAGAGCTTCTGTTTGTAAATCTGCGAGTCAGTGCAGTTGATACCAGCTGGAGAATAACAGAAAACAGAAAAATCCATCACTTTCCTTTCATGACACTCAATAGTCACTCTGTGATTCTATCATGATGTATTTGTCACTGACCAAAGCACAGGGCAGTACACAACGTACAGACGTACAGTAACGTACAGACAAAACGTAGATGCAGAAAAAGAGTTGACTTATTGAAAATGAATCTCTGGCGCGCCTCCCTTGCCAAACTAAACGGTGACACCGCGACCTCTCACCTGCTCTATGAATAGTCTGACTGTAAAGCGGATACTGGCAGGTCTCCAGTTACAAAAATGAAGCAGATGTCTTCTGCCTGCTGCTGCCAGCAGGTTACACCAAAAGTGCAGAGAGGACGCTCTGATAAAAAAAAAAGAGGTGAAACACAGAGGTGAGTGTGTGTGTTTGCCCAGACAGGTGAGAACCTCACGGAGATGACGTCATCGTCCTTGCTCACAACAACTCTCCCGGTGCCCGGCAGGCGGCGGCATCAGGCCGGGACAAACAACACCCCCCCTCTAAACCCCCCCACCCCCCACCACCACCACCTGATGTGTGCTCCGCGACGTCACCGCGCACACTCGAGCTGAAGAGGGCTTGATGGCCATGCTATCGCGAGAGCGGCGTTCCGCGACCGCAGCGCTCGATGGCGCTGGTGGGGGCTGGATGCGCCCACGGCTCGTCCCCCCTCTGCCGTGTAGATCACACGCGATCGGACGGAGACTGGCGGAGGCAGCAGTCGCGGTGAGTAAAAAAAAAAAGAAATAAAAAAACCCGCACATTGCGCACCGCACGGTGCTCGATCACCGCAGGGGGCTGAGGAAGAGGAGGAGGACGAGGAGGAGGGCTGGGGGTAGGGGGGGCTCTCGTGCGTCCACACCGGACAGAGTAGGTGCGCGTCACTTTTTAGACCTCTGTTTGGGGGGTTATTAGGCGGCGAGGGGACGGGCGACCAGATGTGATCCTCTCCAGATGTGCTCCGGTGACAGCCTCGGCAAAAGGCTCTCTTATTCTTCTCCATCACCATCCTCATCATTATCCTCCTCATCCTCATCAGCAGCAAAGTCGCCTGATATGCCTCCTGTGTCACTCCGTGATTAGTTTTTGGTTTCATCGGGGGTCATTGATTCCCAGGTGTTTTACACCCCCCCCCCCCCCCCCCCCCCCCCCC